ACTGACTCACTCATCATGCACTGACTCACTCGCACATCATACACTGACTCACTCACTCATCATGCACTGACTCACTCATCATGCACTGACTCACTCGCACATCATACACTAACTCACTCACACATCATGCACTGACTCACTCACACATCATACACTGACTCACTCACACATCATACACTGACTCACTCACACATCATGCACTGACTCACTCACATATCATACACTGACTCACTCACACATCATACACTGACTCACTCACACATCATACACTGACTCACTCACACATCATACACTGACTCACTCACACATCATACACTGACTCACTCACTCATCATGCACTGACTCACTCACACATCATACACTGACTCACTCACTCATCATGCACTGACTCACACATCATGCACTGACTCACTCACACCATGCACTGGCTCACTCACTCATCATGCACTGACTCACTCACACATCATATACTGACTCACTCACACATCATACACTGACTCACACATCATGCACTGACTCACTCACACATCATACACTCGCACAACCACTGACCCATTCACTCATCATACACAGGTTCACTCAACGTGTGCTGGCTCACTCGCACATCATACACTCACTCACACTGCCGCTGACTCGCTCACACATCATGCACTGTCTCACACATCATGCACTGACTCACTAACATCATACACTGACTCACTCACACCATGCACTGACTCACTCACACATCATGCACTGACTCGCTCACACATCATGCACTGACTCACTCACACATCATACACTGACTCACACATCATGCACTGACTCACTCACACATCATACACTCGCACAACCACTGACCCATTCACTCATCATACACAGGTTCACGCAACGTGTGCTGGCTCACTCGCACATCATACACTCACTCACACTGCCGCAGACTCGCTCACACATCATACACTCACTCACTCATCATGCGCTAACGCATCGTGCGCTGACTCACACATCATGCACTGACTCACTCACACCATGCACTAGCTCACTCACTCATCATGCACTGACTCACTCACACATCATACACTGACTCACTCACACCATGCACTGACTCACTCACACATCATGCACTGACTCACTCACACATCATACACTGACTCACTCACACATCATACACTGACTCACTCACACATCATGCACTGACTCGCTCATCATGCGCTTACTCACTCACACATCATACACTCGCACAACCACTGACCCATTCACTCATCATACACAGGTTCACTCAACGTGTGCTGGCTCACTCGCACATCATACACTCACTCACACTGCCGCTGACTCGCTCACACATCATGCACTGTCTCACACATCATGCACTGACTCACTAACATCATACACTGACTCACTCACACCATGCACTGACTCACTCACACATCATGCACTGACTCGCTCACACATCATGCACTGACTCACTCACACATCATACACTGACTCACACATCATGCACTGACTCACTCACACATCATACACTCGCACAACCACTGACCCATTCACTCATCATACACAGGTTCACGCAACGTGTGCTGGTTCACGCGCACATCATACACTCACTCACACTGCCGCAGACTCGCTCACACATCATACACTCACTCACTCATCATGCGCTAACGCATCGTGCGCTGACTCACACATCATACACTCACTCAACCTAATACTGACTCACTGATCATACGCTGACTCACACATCATACGCTGACTCGCACATCATACACTCGCGCTGCTGCTGACTCACTCGCACATCATACACTGACTCACACATCATACACTGACTCACACATCATACACTCACTCACACTACCACTGACTCACTCACACATCATACACTGGGAGTGTCGTGCTGCCAGCTATGGCTGCAGGTTTTGTCGTACGTATTATGTATATCGTTTATTGTTAAATTTAAAATAAATCACTAATCTACAGTGAAATCTGAGTGATTAAGCGTCACTCCATAAAGCAGAGGTTTAAATGTTATGGGCCGTCCATAAATGACGTCACGCGATTTTGGACGATTTTTGACCCCCCCCCCCCCCCCCCCCCCCTTCGTCACACGACGTCACAAAAAGTCAGACCCTCCCTCAAATATGACGTCACAAAAATAACATGCTTCAAATCGCTTTAAACTATTATCATTGTCGTGCGTATTTAATGTGGCGCTGCACTCTGATGACGTAGGAGAAAACATTGATGAAAAAGTATATTTAATTAAGTAGAACGTGTTGTCTATATTAATTTAAAGGTGCGCATTTTGATGTGACGTCACATTTCTCAAAGCCCCCCCCTCGTCACAAGTTTCTGACCCCCCCCCCCCTAGGTGCGTGACGTCATTTATGGACGGCCCCTAAGGTTCACTCGGTGGGGAAGCCAGATTTTATGCCGGGGCGTGAAGAAGTTATTTTCGTGTATCTCTTAAACAAATTAAATGTAAAATTACCATAGAGCGCACGAGCAAGTCATGCCATTAACCGAGGCATTCAGGGGCATAGACGGGTTCACCAACTTCCATACAACAGGCACGCTTGTGGCTCGAGAATTGCGAGTTCACAAATGCACGTCAATTGCATTTATTTTACACTGGTCAGCTTCGAGAGGTTTTACAGTACTGTACATGGACTCCTTTCCGAGATCCGAACCAACCTGTCCGTATGTCCAGTTCGTTGTTCGGACCGAGAGTCGTAAGCTCAACCGCCGTGCAATAGATGGCAGTGGTGGCATCTACATCTGCAGAACGTGAAGAACAAAGTGACATCTACAGGAGATTATACAACTTTTAAAGCCATTCTCTGTGTTTAGTGTACATGCCGTACATCTGGAATCGACAGGAGTAAAGTTGGACTTACGGACAAATCGACTGACGAACAGACCTCTGGAAACGATCTCGTTCGTAAGTCGATGAGTCCCTGTACAGTATTATTATTATTGGGCCATGAGCCAATATCAGATATTACACTTGCCAGTGACACCAGGGTTAGCATAACTTTAGTGGTTTCAATTTATTTGTGGCCAATAACAGTGAATTATATAACCATTTGGAAGTAGTAGGTTATCAAATTATTCAATCGTATTGGCCATATAAATTGGTACTGTAATTATAAAGTGGTACCACATTTTGCGCTGGCAGATCTATTAAATGTGCCATCACTTTTCTTTTATGTATTTTGGAAATAGGGGAGATGATGAGGTGTGCAGAGCTGAAGAATATAACTGGGTGCATGACCTAGCAAACTCTTTTGTCACCGAAATGACCAGATGACACTCAAGAGATCGTCTCAGCGCACATAAGGTAGGCACAGTCGGTGATGCAGAAACTTACAACGTTTGCAACAAACCAACTCGAACACTTTCAGTATATAATCACACAAACTCATCAGATAGAAAAGCTGTGTGCCGCATGGAAACAAACGATGAATAATACATGAGAAGGGTAATTTATAGACATCATGACCAGAGCCACACTGCACTCGCAATGCTTTGCATGATGCCGTCTTGTGACTCAAGGTCCTAATAAGAAGAGTAAGCAATTGTCTATACTGTACTGACGATTTGTCTTTACTTTGTCCTCCCCTCGGCTGACTGCCATCAAAGACGGTGGTCACTGCATCGCGCGCTTTCAGGTGCGCTTCCATGGCCATCTGGAATGCTCTTCCTTCCGATATTAGAAAGCCACTGGAGTGATGGACCTTTAAATCTAGATTGAAAATGAATTTCTTTAAAGCTGCTTTTGTGTAATGTCTTCCTTCCCCCGCACCTCCAAGTAACACGATTGGCTACATATGCTGCAAAAGAAGTTCAACATACATACAGTTGGTATTTACATTTTATATTACATTACTCTCGTTTACCGAGTCTCAAGACTGTTTGCAAGGTCTTGATACGTGTTTTGTAAGGGGGGAGACGATTGCTGTTGTCCAATTAAGTAAAACAAACACATTCCTGCGGAGGGGGCTGGTAGGAACGTTGGTTGCTCGGTCAGTGACCAGGGTCAACGGCGGCGTGGTGTATTCCACAAATATGCCCGACTGTGAGGGCGGGCACAAGCCGGCGTGAGCAGGTTAAACGTTGCGTTTTATAAGGGCACCACGGGGTGACCAGCCCCACCCCACCAAGCCCCACCCCTCCCACCCCCCACCCAGCCCCACCCTCCCCACCCAACCCCTCCCCACCCTCTCCCCACCCAGCCCCTCCCTACCCTCCCCTCTCCACCCAGCCCTACCCCTCCCATTTTTTTTTTATATCCGAATGTCCGGATACACGTGGACAGACATCCACAATTAATCCCCTGCCTCCTGTGAGAATTAATCCCGGTTGGGCTTCAAGTCCACTACGTTTCCTACCAGTACCAGTATAAATGGGCACTAGGTGACGATGTTTTTATATATCCGGGTGTCCGGATACACGTGGACAGACATCCACAATTAATCCCCTGCCTCCTGTGAATTAATCCCGGTTGGGCTTCCAGTCCATATAAGGGCACCACGAGGTGACCAGCCCGTCCCCACCCAGCCCGACCCAACCCAGCCCTACCCCACCCAGCCCCACCCCTCCCACCCCCCACCCAGCCCCACCCCTTCCACGTGGACAGACATCCACAGACATACACAATTAATCCCCTGCCTCCTGTGAATTAATCCCGGTTGGGCTTCCAGTCCACTACGTTTCCTACCAGTAATAAAGGCAAATTTGGACCATCGCGCAGGCGACAGTTTACTTACTGTAATTTCATTTCCTCCATTTTTGTTGATATTTTCCATCTTATTCAATTATTTGGCATCACTTACTAAGAAACCCATTTTTCCTAATGTCAGAAAGTCGCACATGCTACATAGAGTTAAAGTAACCGGAAAGAGTTATTAGATTGAGACACAACGTATTGTCCACCAAATTTCGGTATTATTATTCGTGTCGGGGCTGCAGCTATTGAGGCACTTTTCACTCTTTATTTACTCTGTGGAATGAACCACAAAGATAAATTTTTGTATTTTTTGTTTATTTGTTATGGAGTCCGGCGATAACAAAAACTCACCAATAACTAAGACCATTTAGAACTAAATACAATATTGAAATGAAGCAATGTTTGAATCGGAATAATCTTTGAGATAATGACATGAATATTGCAATAGTTTATATTCTGCACGGCCTATATAAAGTTACCGTTTTGTCTGTGAACCCTGAAGGGACTCAGATGCCTGCATATAACATGTTGCCACACGCGTGCTATATTGTTACATAAATTAACTCAAATTGCTACCGAACAATATCGTGCGTTAACTACAGAAAGGATGGAAGACAAGGAAGAAGAAGAATTTACAAAGCACTTTGAGCCCGCCTTAAGCTGACAGTCCACAGTGATTATTATTTTAATTATCCTAAAACATTACCAGACTCATCCACAGCATCGGCACGGGAATTCATATTAAGACTATTTTCAACGACACTTTCTGAACTTCGTTTAAAAAAATAATTGTTCCCATAAAGGCATTACAAATAATATGTAGTTTACATTATGTAAGCCAGTAGGGTTTGTTTAAAAGTGTTGATTTGTTGATGCTGAAAGAATCCTGAAGTGAGAGTAAAAAAAAATTGCCATCTAATCTAGATCTGAACATAGACATAACTTCAACCGAGAAGATGGATACAAATTTAGCAATCATTGGAAGGATGTTATTAACCAGGTAAAACCTGAACTGCTTTATAGTTTGCCTTCATATCCGCATCTCCAGTTTCTTCAGCCTTCTACTCCCCCAGGCCCACTCACTGCCCAGCTCCGGCATTGTGTCGAACTTGCGGTGCAAGCGGCAGAGTCTCACTCCCCCTACCCCACACCCACTCTATTTCTCCTCCCTGGCTCCTCCCCCCTCTTGCCTTATATAACCTCTTGTCACAAGCAGCTCTTTTGCCCACTACAGCAATTTGTTTCTTGCTGTGGCTGTTCCACCTGATGACATACGCTTGTGTTGCTTCCGAAACGTCGTGATTTATTTTATACCTACGTTACTTTACCGAAAGAACGAAAGAGTAAAAAATGTCCATACCCGGTGTTGTATTACAGCAACAAGTTACCAACTTCAGGAAAATGTTTCCAAATACTGTCCAGATGGAAGACAAATCTGAGAAGCACGTACAGCAGCTCTACAGCTTCGAGACTGTACAAAAAGTCTTCACCCTCCATATAACCTTATAAAAACACACGAATCCTGTCATTTTCAGTAACTTTCCATTGCATTATGTTCTCATATTTATGATTTTCAGGTTCAAACCCACTGTCAGCGATATCTTTTGCAGGGGAAATATTGCCAATCATACGAATATATACTTTTATATATACATATATTGACGTTGGAATTTATGCTATAAGCAGTGACACACAACGGCTTGATCTTAATTACCATATGGGTGGTACACTGGAGCAGTGGCATGCACGGTGGTTCATTGCCTGCACTATTAATCTCACGACCTCAGTTTGATTCTTCACCAGAGCTAATATTAGGTGGAGAGTGATATCTGCGCACAAGTCCTGGACCTCACCCCTTCACACCACACTGACCAGCGCCGTGAGTTGAAACAAGCCCCGTAACTGACATTGTACAGGGAGGCCTTTATCCAGCAGTGGATTTCATATCGAAATTTGCAGTATGCTTTGCTGCAAAAAAACCCGTTTCAGCAACTCCTCTCAGAAATAACCAAGAGGTAGAAATCAACTGTCAGCCCTGCACACATCGGGGAAGTGCCAAAGCGTCAACTATTAATGCTGTACAGCTGTTAAAACTTGATTCGTCAATGCCACTCACAAACGCGTTTACTAATTCGCAATGTCGCACACTAATTTTTACTGAGTGGATGACTGAAAAAGGGTTTAATTGTATTTTTTTTATGGACTTTGATAATAGTTCTAATGAAAGCATCATTTGATAGACATCGCATGTAACTGTGCAACAGTTACAAATACTAACAAAACAACATAAGGAGTGCTCTCAGTTTTACATAGGGAATCATAAAAAAACCTTATAAAAACGAACACAAACATTCAAACCACAATATTCCAAAACAACAGTCAAACATCACAAAGGCAGACTTGAATAAGGCAGAATTCTGGGTAAGCACATGCGCACTAGCAATTCTAAAGCTACAATACAGTACTTATCTGTCATATGGAATTCAGTGAACTTGACTGCTTGTACAGGTTAATTTACTGTTAGTGCTCTCAAGCATTTACTTCACACTTTAGAAATATGACATGAAGCTCATTCAGCGTGATGGTGATGCAGATTAAACTGTACAGTACACGTCGTGATTTTTTTTAAGTGTTATGAAATTGTATAATATGTAGCTATTTAGTAGTACGGTATAACAAGTCCGTTAGATGTGTATGGGTGTTCCCGGTTAAATTAAATGCAAGTATTATTTGCTTAGTTTCAATATGCCAGGCATACCCCAAAACCAGGCAACTCTCTCTCTCCATTGTTACTCTGGCTTCGAGAGATGTTACTCTACATGAACTCTGTTTACATCTGCTTCAAGCAATTAAAACACACGTGGCAGGAATAGAAAATGTTAAAACTATATCATACACCACTGACAAAAAAAATGGAAGTTTGAAGCCGGAGAAATACAACGCCCAATCTATGTGCATATATTAGATAGTGCCACACATTATTTGCTCTTAAAGTAATTCAACGATAAGTCAATTAGGTGAGACTTTAGTTTAAAGAGTTAATATGTTAAATAAAGGCCTTTAAAAGAATAGTTCATGTTCATCCGTAGACGTCATCGCTTAGTCTGATGTACTTTTCTTCAAGTAAGCAATCAGGTTGTTACGTTCGTCTTTTTTCTTTATTCCGGCGAAGATCATCTTCGTGCCGGGGATGTACTTCTTTGGGTTCTCCAAGTAGACATAGAGTGTATCTTCCTCCCAGGTGATGCCTTGATATATCAGTGTAAATCAGATACACACGTATACACAAACGTAAAATTATACCAACAGAGATACAAAAAAACAACATGTTTGACAATAAGATTTGAGGTTTCCACAGCCTTTATTATGTTCATATTTAAACTTTATTTGGATCGCACTTTAGCGTGCGACTTCATCACCAAGTTACTGCTCAAGTCTTCCTCCTCGTCCACAAGGTCAAGGGTCAATTGGGAGTGGGAATGTGACGAGATGGCAAATTACATACCCTTCGACTTGTTGGCATCGGTGTACGAATAGCCTGGAGCCTGGCCCGTCTTGCGACCAAAGAGGCCCCACAAATTGGGCCCAGTCTTGTGCTTGCCGCCACTCTCAACGGTGTGACACTGTGAGCACTTCTGCACAAACACTTTCTTGCCCTTCTCCACATCTGCCATTGCTCTGCATAAAACAGGGAATTCAGGGGATTATTGTGTCCATCCGTTCTGCATCCAAAAATGGGAGGGTTGGGGCTGGGTGGAGAGAGGAGGGTGGGGAGGGGATGGGTGGGGAGGGAGGGGCTGGGTAGGGAGCGGAGGGTGGGGAGGGGATGGGTGGGGCTGGGTGGGGGGTTGGAGGGGTGGGGTTGGGTGGGGAGGGGCTGGTCACCCCGTGGTGCCCTTATAAAACCCAACGTTTAACCTACTCATGCCGGCTTGTGCCCGCCCTCACAGTCGGGCATATATGCGGAATACACCACGTGGTGCCGCCGTTGACCCTGGCCATTGACCGAGCAACCCAATGTTCCTACCAGTTCCCTCCACAGGAATGTGTTTCTATTGCCAGAAAGGGTACTATATATTCTTATTATTCATCGTTTTTGATCCTTGCACAAAAGGTACCATAGATATAACTGCTCGACCCGATCTGTCAGAGTTTCGATACATGCATTGTCTTTGTACTGTTCGCCTTTGGCGTTCTGTGGTCTAACACTGGTGAGACAAGGCCATAATAGAGAAGGCTGTCTCTGGTGTAAGCCAATCAGTTTCAAGGACAATGCATAAATTATCAGAGCATGTTAATTTTAACATTTTGTCACAAGCATGTGTGGTTAATGCAGACATGATGCCTTAGAAAAGGTATCTATTTTGGTATTCTTGGTTCTTTCGGTAAAGTCACGTAGAAGGGAAACAATAAAATAATAAAAATATAAAATAACATTTTCACGACGTTTCGACTGCAAAACAAGCAATCATCATCAGGTGTGAAAACCACAGCAAGAAATTTTGAAAAAAGTGGCGGTTGTTTTAATGTTAGCACCACGGAGAGCGATTTGGCAGTTATTCAGATGGACGAGTCCATCTATGTTTCAGAAAAAAGGAGGGGGGAGACGAAAATAATGGATGCGGTCTGAAAACCACCGTAAGCGTGAACAATCAATTAAGACCCGAAATGGTGTATCAAATCCTTCCAATGATTGCTAAGCCAGAATCCATCTTCTCGGTTGAAATTGTCTCTGTATATGTGGATAGCCTCATGAACGAATCTCTCATGGTAGCCAGATGGCTTGTAGAGAACCTCTGTCTTGGAGAAGTCAATGTCATGTGAGCCTACTGAATTATAACAGTAATCTGCCACGGCCGAGGTGTTGGTCATACCGTGTTTTAGGTCTATTTTGTGTTCACGGATGCGGTCCGAGACATGTCGTTTGGTTTCTCCAATGTAACTACTACCACAGAGGCAACTTAGTTTGTAGACGCCAGGGTACTATATATCCGGAATCGCATCTTTTACAGACGGAACCAGATCACGCATTTTATGTAATGTGTTGAATCGGACCTGGATCTTGTGTTTATTCAAGAATTTGGGGAACTTTTTTGTGATCCCCGCAATGTAGGGTAAAGTGATGGTTTTGAATGGCTCCTCAAGAGGGTCCTTCTTCATGGTTGGAGGGGTAGCTTTGCGGATTGTGTAGTCGGAGTAACCATTAGCCTTAAGAGCTTGATGTACGTGCTTGAGTTCACTGGCTATGTGTTCCTGGTCAGATATGCATTGGGCTCTATGGTGCAGAGTCTTGATGAGGGAATTATTCTGGGATGGATGGTGGTGGGAATCTGGTTTCAGGTAAGCATCCATATGGGTAGCTTTCCTGTAGACAGAGTGGCTCATTGAACCATCAGGTCTCTTTTTAATTAGGACATCCAAAAAAGGTAGCTTGCCATCTTTTTCGACTTCCATGGTAAATCTGATGGCTGGGTGCATGGAAGTGATGTGGTCGAGGAATTGGTCTAGAGCAGGCCGGCCATGTGGCCAGATGACAAAAGTGTCATCCACTTACCTCTTCCATAAGGTTGGGCGCAGAGTGGCAGTCTGGATGGCGTCAGTCTCAAATGTATCCATGAAAATGTTGGCTACAACCGGAGATAGGGGGGAGCCCATTGGGGTGCCCTCAGTTTGTTTGTAGAAAGTTCCATTCCAAGTGAAGTATGTATTGGTTAAGCAGTGTCTCACCAGGGGGGGTACCTCAGTGATTAGTCCTTGATGGACCAAGTCTTCAATGATTGCGATGGTGTCAGGTACAGGAACTTTGGTGAATAAGGAAACTACATCAAAACTGACAAGCAGGTCGTCTGGGGACAGGGAAATACCCGTGATTGTCGATACCAGGTGAGTAGAATTTTGTACCGCAAAGGTGGTTTTTCCAGTGTAAGTCCGCAGGATTACAGACAGAAAACGAGCCAGTTTGTAGGTAGGGGAGTTGATAGTAGAGACGATTGGACGAAGGGGTGTATCTACTTTATGTATTTTTGGTAAGCCGGGCCAGGAACAGATGGAGTGTTTGTGTGAACTAATATAAATGACATGTAAAAATCATTGCCAAGCATTTATTTGCAAGGCAATTTAACAAATTGCACGAACATGAACAATACAAAAACATGTCGTGTGACGAGGGGGGGCAAAGCGAAAAAGTGAAGGGAGCAACGTATCTAACTCAGCAATGTAAACAAACCCTGAAAATGGCGCTGACGGCCCACAATGCATTGTGAGATGTGCCCTTTCGAGCCCTATACACCACACTCCCGGTGAAAGTGCGCCATCTAATGGGGACATGGGGGCATTACAGGAGAAAGGTAAAATTTAATTTAATAATAATATTTGGACAAGTTCGGCGGGCCGGATTAAAAAGCCCAACGGGCCGTATACGGCCCGGGGGCCGTACTTTGCCCATGTCTGCACTAGACTCTCACCGGTCACTCACCATTGATTACTCACTACTCACGTGACACAACTCCCTCCGCAGACACACTCAATACATACCTGACACAATGCCTCACTCGCTACACACCACTTACCAGGCATTCACTATTTGCATCAGTCACCAGACACTCACCACCCAACCGAGCACCCCGTCCAAACACACACCACGCACCTATGCCACTTCGCACTTCAAGTGTTTGTCTGTACTTGCGTTGGCAGCATCACTGGATAACGTGAAATGATGCATGTTATCAAGCAGGTGATGCACCAGTCATTGAGAATAGTGTGTGGTCCGGGATTTTTAGTTCACCCATGTCAAAGAACAGCCCTCCCGTGTTGCCTTCTGGGTTCCTATGCATCGCATAACGCTGCCACATACTCCATAGTTTCGCCCATGGGTGCGTTCAATAGGCAGGGCCGCTCCAGAACGCTTTTCTATTGAACGACCCATTAAGCTGCCAACGTATAAAAGGAGCTCACGTCTGGGGTGCCATCTCGCTGACCGTTGTGTAAAAATCCAATCAATTGGAGGAAACCGCACAATTCCCATAAACTCCTCGCCGTTATGAGGCTTTCGGCGTCCTGAAGCAATAAGAGCCAACTTGTTCAATAACAGCCAACTCCTCTCGTAAACGCAATAGGCCAGGGGTGGGCAAATTTTTTGACTCGCGGGCCACAATGGGTTCTAAAATTTGACAGAGGGGCCGGGCCAGGAACAGATGGATGGAGTGTTTGTGTGAACTAATATAATATGAATGACGCGTAAAAATCATTAAATGAAATGATTTGGCCTTTAACAGGTAGCAAAGCATTTCTTTGCAAGGCAATTAAACAAATTGCACGAACATAAACAATACAAAAACATGTCGTAACTCCCGTTCAAAGTGCGCCATCTAATGGGGGAAATGGGGCATTACAGGAGAAAGGTAAAATTTAACTTAATAATATTTGGTCAAGTTCGGCGGGCCGGATTAAAAAGCCCAATACGGCCCGGGGGCCGTACTTTGCCCATGTCTGCAATAGGCATTGAACGCACCCCAGCCTATTAGCTGGCAAGGAAAATAAACGTCGTGCAACATGGCCACCGTTAAGTCCCTGTGCAACATGGCCACCGTGAAGTCCCTGTGCAACATGGCCGCCGTGAAGTCCCTGTGCAATATGGCCGCCGTGAAGTCCCTGTGCAACATGGCCACCGTGAAGTCCCTATGCAATATGGCCACCGTGACACCATTGTGCTGAGTGTTGCAAATATCCATGTTATTAACAACGTATTATTTTGTGCACTTATTTGTGCGAATGTGTGAGCGCGTGCGACCACTCATGTGTTACTTTGCATAGGAATGCTGACTGTGTCCCTACTGGAAATCCGTTTCATAGCTCATCAGATTCCTCCAGTTTAAATCAAGATTCTTATTTATGTTCGTGCGTGAGTGTTTTTTGTGTCAATCGATGTATGTACTGTAACTATAGTACGCCGTGTCGGCCTTAACGGGTACTAGCTCAGAGTTTGTTAAATGGCTATATGTGGGAAATGTCTAATTATGACATTATTTGCGATTGTGCACGCGTGTATTTGCAGGTTTGGGTACGTGTCTCTGCGTGTGTTTTTGTATCTGCCAGTCTTGCCAAGTCAGCCACACAACAACACCTGGGTCTGTCTCGTGATCTCCTGCAGGCAGCGAGCCATCGACGCTTCACGTAGCCTCAAGGTGCACCTAGCCCGGCACAAGCGCCGTGATGACGTCACGGTGGTTGTTGTGTATTTGGTGTTGTGTATTTGTGATGGTCTGTTTGCGTGTCCGTATTTTTGAGAGTACGCATGTGTGTGGACGTAATGATGGACTTAGGGGTGTCTCGACCGGCCCTTAGTTATCACAGAATGTATGTGATTTATTTTGCGTAAATATCTTATGTAAAGCGTAAATACCTTACGGAATTAGGACAAATCTTAGGTTACACAATCTCTAGAATTGTGTAAGCTGTTCGGGTTCTCGGGTCCCAGACCGCATGCTGTGTTCTTCCTTCGAAACGAGTGCCATGGGCCCAATATCAAACATCCAGTGACTCATCACCAGCACGAGAGGGCTTTGCGGCATTGGGAAGAGCCGGACCATCATTTGACCAATGGTAGCTTACTTTTTGGCCAAACAAGTCCCATCACCAGAATGTTATCGATGTTGCTATGAAAATTTGATGGCCGATTTTTTTACTTGCGAGATAACATTTTAGTTTCACTCCTTGTTTGGCAACAACCCATACAAAGCGATCGTGACGATAATTGAGAATTGATGTAAATGTACCCTAATTAACACGACCATGCTTGTACGGTATCTCGGTTGAGCAACGGCAGGTTCCAAATTGTACCAAGCAGAGCCTGTGCACGTGGCCAAGGTCAACCCAGCCGCAGTGTCTTTGAGGGGTTGGCAAAACGTGCATCATGCACGTCGTCCGAGTGTGCGCCACTTAATGAAGACTGTGGCAAAGAATATACTTGTCCCCGTCATAGGAAGATGGAAATCCCACCATTTGGGGTCTATAACTTGAAGATTACTCCTGCTGTGTACGATTTTAAAGGAACCGTGTATGCACCGAGACGCAGACTTTTCCCTAATACGAGCAAAAAAAATGCAGGATTTTTTTTTTATGTGTGTAAGTATCGTGCCCTGATAAATAGTTCGACAGGGCTCAAGCTTAATATCCAAACACCATGGTGGAGGCAACGATAACCCGATATTGTTGACGCAAGACAAATCACAAAACGCCAATCGACAAACGTCTCGGGCAATGACCCTTATTCAGTGCAGGCAAAGGTGGCAGAAGACAACAGATTTAAGGCAGAACTCTGTGGAGTGCAGAGGCATTGTAAAAATGCGTGTTCTGAAAACATAAATGTCAGAGGAAAACAAATCAATCACCATTGTTCTTTCCACATTAAGCTAAATTGGTGTTCCAGTCTTACGTTAACCAACAGCAATTGTTATCAACCGTGTGGCTATCGGAAGAGTCAAGCTTGCCATACAAAGGTGGTTTTCACCAGGCATTAGAGGACTTAGCGTGCTGTCTCAACGATGGCACCCTTACAACACACGCAATATTTTATCAAATACATTTTGTATAGGTCTAGTCTGGACTTAAAGGGGTGGGGGGGCGGAAAGTCCCTGTACCGCATTTACATTCACGCGCTGTAATCGCCTATCGGGCAGGGGTATACGGACTTCCCGTCCACGCTATCGAGGCATGTCGCCTTCACTTACCTCGTGAATTAGCGGTAAACACTGCGAACCGGGCTGCAGCACAAACACCAGGAGGCTTCCCCGCTCTCCGAAATAACTCGCAAAGCAAATAAACACAACACTCGCTCCACACTGACTGCAATCACTGCGTGGCCAAAACCCGCACCGGCGTTCATATGCGTGTCGCGTTGTGTAAGTGGGAGATACCAAGTGCACTGCAGGGGGGAGGGGGGGATATCAATCTTTAACCACTATCTTTCAAAATACTGCAATCCATATCATATTTTTTGAGCGCATTAATTAAACTGGAAATATACGTTTAAAAAAATGTCAAACGTTGTTAAATAGTAACTTTCTATGAGTATTGTGTGATGTGTAATGTAAAAAAATGCCCTCCCCGTTTCGAATGGATCGGTCTCGCGGCATGTGGGGAGTGATGTCAGTGGCGGTGACGTCACACGGAGTCACCCTTCAACTGTCAAGGCGATATTCTTGGTTCTTTCGGTAAAGTCATGTAGAAGGGAAACAATAAAATAATACAAATTTATGTTTATTGTTTCCCTTCTACAATGGTGATTGATTTGTTTTCCTCTGACATTTCTGGTTTCAGAACACGCATTTTTACAATGCCTCTGCACTCCACAGAGTTCTGCCTTAAATCTGTTGCCTTCTGCCACCTTTGCCTGCACTGAATAAGGGTCATTGCCCGAGACGTTTGTGATTTGTCTTGCGTCAACAATATCGGGTTATCGCTGCCCACACCATGGTGTTTGGATATTAAACTTGAGCCCTGTCGAACTTTATCAGAGCACGATGCACATAAAAAATATATTTTTATTATTTTATTGTTTCCCTTCTACGTGACTTTAACGAAAGAACCAAGAATATGAATCCCTGCAGTCACGAAAGCTTTAAATCAAAATCTATTCTTATTTATTCATACTTTGATACTGGCAAAAAAGGTCCCATTTTGTGATGCCATTCATCGTTACTGTTAAAAAAACTCACATTCGTCAAGAGTACTGTGGCCTTAAAATAAAAAAGTATAACAATCGACGTTTTAGGACAAAAGTCAATCTTCACAGCAAATAAATAGAGGTCAAATATACAGAGTGGATAGTGAGAGTTGCAGGTTGCACTTAACACCATTGGGCCTTGCTGAGAATTAAATTTGTTTAAATGTTTTCTGATTACTATGATATTGGCATATTAAGTCACCTAAGTCCCCTCGTAGTACATAGTGTAACAGACAAAAATTACAAAAAATCAAAATACATTAATTTATATTAAATGTAAAATTATAACACTGGCACACTGCATTTTTGGAAGCTTTGTTCTGGTGAGCATAAGGCACAATCCACTTATCAATGTATTGCTGGGCCCAATCAACATATCAATGACAGTACTTTCAACTGCCCTAAGTTCCTGAGGCGGATAAATCTGAGAAATACAACAATGTATACATTTATGAAACTAAAGTAAATAAAGTTAGTGAGCAATACTTTTTGATTATGGAAGGATGTGTCTGTTACACAACAGCTAATATTAGGTAACTATTCATATGTCACTTTATAAACTGGTCATTAGAAGAAGAAAACAATTCTCACCAGGTCACATGGTGTATAGTGCAGTCTTCAACACTATCCTGATTAATACGTAGTCTTTTGCGACCAATATTATTCATGACAAAGAAAATCATCATCAGGTGTGGTTTTCACACTTGATGATGATTGCTTGTGTTGCAGTCGAAACGTCGTGAGAATTTTATTGTTTTATATTTTTATTGTTTCCCTTCTACGTGACTTTACCGAAAGAACCAAGAATATGAATCCCTGCAGTCACAAAAGCTTTATTATCTTACTATCCACTCTGTCACTTTATGTGCTATGCAGAAAGGTCTTAGCTCAAAATATCGCCTTTTAGACAGTGTTATCGAAGAATGTGTTGAGTTTTTGTTTGTTACATATCGTAATATTTAGCTACATTCTCCAAAGGCTTTTGTGGAGCGGATGTTTTCTAGAAAACCCTGGACCAATTGGGATGTATGAAGTCGGTGGCAGAGCGTATCTTTATCCATTATGAACACTCATGTTTAAACTCACTATCACGTGGATCACTATTACATAGCATTACAAGGTGGATTGTCAAAATGCAAGATCGAGATGCCATCCAGTAGTGGCTTAACCATGGCTGATATTTTTTAAGTGGATATGCAATCACTGTAAAACATTACCTATACTACTGTATGCATTTCCGATTAGGTGACGCATAATGACTGTGTCCTTTTGAGAAGAAGACGAAAAACACCCTGCGGCTGAGTTATATAAGGAGTGTTCTGTGTTCACATTGCTACGTGGCTGGTGTGTTTATTAAGGCCCCGTTGTGAAACAGTTGGCACGTTTTACAGAACACGTTTTCTGTCCGCGTTGTACAGGATAGGTGTTGATGTCCGATTCTCAAAGTAAATCGATTGATCACTGCTTAGAAATATTTGGGATAAGGATTGCGCCTTAATAAGACACGGGAGGGCATATCCTTACTTATCACCAGTAAGGGGCCGTCCATAAATGACGTCACGCGATTTTGGCCGACTTTTGACCCCCCTCCCCCCCTCTCGTCACACGGCGTCACAAAAAGTCAGACCCCCTCAAAAATGACGTCACAAAGCTCTGCCCCCCCCCCCAAACCATATTTCCATTTTTTAAATAAAAAATGCTTCAAATCACTATTGTCATTGTAGTGCGTATTTAATGTGGTGGTGCACTTTGATGTTGTAGGAGAAAACGTATTAAAAGGCGTTGGAAAGCTAAAATTTAGCGTAAAATCCACTTGAAAATATTCAACGTCTAACTAAATCTGCAGATGTTCAGAATATTATATTGAAACTCTCTTATAATTATAAAATATTAAAAGTAATTATAACTATAAAAATACTTGAAACTTTGTAGTAGAACGAAGCTAAATGGAGAGTACAATTATAACAATCACATATTCATTCTACAGAATGAAAAGCCCTGGTAAAATAATTAGATCAAAATGTTTAATAACAATCATTACAAAATTTTACAAAACGTATGCGTCTCCATTCTCCCATGGAGAAGCAAAATGCTCCTTCATGGAATAAATAAAAGGTGACCTTAGTAAATGTAAATAATCAAATAGTGAATATTTAAAACTAATCAAAATTATTGTTATAACAATTCTATTTAATTAACATGTATTTAAAGTTGCGCATTTTGATGTGACGTCATATTTCTAAAACCCCCCCTCCCCCAACATCCTCACAAATGTCTGACCTCCCCCCCCCCTCGGTGCGTGACGTCATTTATGGACGGCCCCTAAATGCCTCAGAATTACTATAAAATAGTACGGTGTTCCCAGTGTGCTTGGTGCCCGGTCACGACGCATGGCGGGCAGTGCCGGATTATCCTCGTAGCAAAAGTAGCTACATATGTTAAGGGTTTTCGCCAAAGGTTTATTATAGTATATTACAATAACACAAAGGGTGTGACAACTTCCCAGGGGTTAGGGGTCCTGCACTAAGTCCTGGTCCAGCCCGGCTAGCTCCGGTCTCTCTCCCTCGAGTCGGATGGGGGCACTTTGCCAACCCCCACCGACCGGGAAGAGCAGCACCGTCTACGGCTACCACCGGCTTCACCCCAGACTCTCGTCGATCCCTCTCTACCCCTGGTTCCCTCTCCACTCTTCTCACTCTACCCGTTCCTACAGTTACCCGGCTTTCGTCACGGGGTCCCCCCCCCCCTTAAATACTAGAGACATGACGTCATCGAGCCGCCCAGCGCGCATGACGCCACGTTCCGTGACGTCATCGCACTGGCCGGCACACATGACGTCACGTCCCCATTTTACTCTACAAATATGCTACGGGCCCCGCACTTTCAAGGGGCCCCGCGCTAAACGCTTTCAAGCTATCAATTCCGGTTCAGTGACTCTGCACTTGCTCTATTACTATAGCACTACTAGGTTGTTCGGGGGGCGCCACAAGAGCGCAGAAGTGTGGTCACCACATCTACGCCTCTATATATAGAACGAAACAGACTTTTCCACAAACCTGGCTATCACCTGATGAAGCTAGTTGTAATTACTGGCGAAACGTCGTACTCAGATTGTAAATGTTGTGGCTTGGCTCTCCAACACACCGGTGTGCTGTACTAGTTACGAATTGGCCACGTTCTGTTTACATGACAACCCTTACTAGTTGGCTGTGTCGGGTGGTGGCGGGTTTTAACGACACATTTATATATTTACGCGATCTAACCCAAAAAAAAACTTTATTATGGAGTATACTGTATATAAGCGGAACAAACTATACCCCAGAACTGATGCAAAATGAAACCGTATTTGTCGTAGATGAGCAGCTTCCAATTTGCCTATTTTCTGTCAGATATATTATTTAAACCAATACAGAGCAGTTCAAGTAGCAGCAATAACGGTTACTAGTCTTATCAGAATCGTGGAGCATCCATTGGATCTAAATGGCCTGATTGTGCAACGGACGGGCCCTGAAAAGAGCTTGTGACAAGGGGCCACAGGAAATATAAGGGGCGCAACCATAGTTACTCCGGAGCTCTTGGTTTGTCTCCCTATATGGGGTGCGCATCTCATAAACATCCTCTCGAGACCTCGCCCACGTATGCCGAGTTTCCTTCAAGTGTACTATGTTTTGTGGCTCTGGTTCACATCTTACCGGAATGCTTCCAGGATGGATTAAACCACAATCTTGCTTGAGGTTCCTCTGAGACGAAAATTATTAATTTGCTGCATGCATCATTTGGTCTGACTGTCTCCATTACTATTTAAAGAGCATTTGAGTGATATACCTATTTTTTCCCTCTATTGTCAGCCATCTTGGATGTCAGTGTCATATCAGGCACAATTCAGGGGGGGCTTCTAACCTACATTTTTATGTAAGGACCCGAAAGACTCAAGCAAAATGTAGTGCTTTTATTCACCCAGGAACAGTGATTATACTCACCTAACTATGCTACATGTACTGTCTATTGGTACAATTAGACCAACAATTGGTGACTTTTGAATAGAAGTTCAGAGTTGCACCAAATCGCAGCACTGCTAAGTGCACACTACTTTGCATGAATTTGCGCTTGTTAATTGCATATTGATGGCATGACGTTTCCATGGTGAAGCTGATTGTTGCAATCACCAGCGAAATGTCGAACTCAAATTGTAAATGTTGTGGGTTTACTCTCCAACACACCGGTCTGCTAAACTAGTAACCAATTGGCACGTTTTTGTTTACGTGACAAACCTTACTAATTGGCTGTGTCGAGTGGTGGCATGTTTAACGACACATTTATATTCATGCGATCTATCCCATAAAAGCTTTATTATGGATTATGCAAGACACATGATGGCCGATAGACACGAGTGTTGACAGAATAGCAGCATTATAAGCGACCACACTCAAGAAGATGACTGGTGCAGAGATAGAGTGATATGATTGATGCCAACTCGATCTTGACCAGCATACAGTAGACTGCACACTGGAATACTGTGCACCAACAGCGAGAACTGAACAATATATCTCAATGAAAAGACATTGGAATTGATAATGTAATTCAATGGAGTATTTATTATACACATTACATCTTAGCACTAACATTAACATACTAGCTGTATATGCACCATAGACATATAATTGGGTCATATCACTGCATATATACAAATACATATGTCTACACAACGAACCACACGAGTATATGTTGTTTCCATTGCAGGTGCTCGATGTAGGATTGCCACCTTTTTCCAGAGACCAAACCCGGACTAATTCCCACTCAGCCCAGGTCTATCAGAACCTTGCAGTACAGGATATGCTGCAATACATTTAAACACAATAACCTCCACATCTCATTGACAAATAAATCATCCGACCAACCAACCGAACACAGACGCCAATTCCCGGACCGTACGGGTCCGTAACAACGGGCAGGTGGCAAACCGAATAGCGTCAGGTGGATGGAGCTCTGGGTGAGAGATCACATTGGGCTGGCGGGATCCCCACCCCTCTTGCCGAAGCGCTGCGGCCGCGTGCGGTGCCAGAAGGGCTCGGAGCGGCTGGCGCGGTCCGCGTTGCCGTCCTGGAGCCCGGCCCAAGACGCCGCCGCACTCTCGGGGCAGTCGGCAGCCGGAGGAGGCACGCCGCGACCAAACCTGCATCGTCCCCAGTGCAACAAGCAAAGCGCTCGGGCTGTGTCAAACCAAACAAAGGTGCCACGGAGCGTTGCGGGGGGGAGGAGCGGTGGCGCAGTGGTTTACGCAACAAATAAAAGAGCGTCACATGGCTTGCACGATAGTCACATTCTCAATATTGTTTTAAAGGAATTTGTATAGCGCCTTAACTAAGGCGCTTTACACAGACTTAACAATGGTACATAGGTAGAGATGAGGTGAATGTAATAGATGAGAGGGAGCAATGGGGGGCACATCTGTGATGCGTGAATTCGGTGAAAGTGAAATTGATGGCAGTAAACGGTGATAAATGGGATGAATGAATGAATGGGGAATGAGTGAAAGCCATATCATGAGAATATGAAGAGGTAAAAGTAACGGTGGCGGTTATGAGCGGGTGATTAAAGGCTCGTGCGGTGAGCTCTGGAACTATAAGTGCGTTCTGAGTGTGGAGCAGAAACGAGCGAGCGAAGGTGACTGCTTAATGTGGAAGGGCAGTTTGTTCCAGTGAAGGGGGCGAGAAGTGAGAAAGAGCAAAAGCGTGCATGGAGCGCAAGGAGAAGGAGGAACACACAGAGAGAGAGAGAACAATGCAATTGCGTCTCGACACTCAAGCTGTGGTTCTTCACTCATTTACTGAGGGGCCACATTCAGTTATTGCTTCTTGAGCATGGATACCAATGTGAGGAAAGCTTAAATTTGGCAGAAACCCACAATTATTTCGGAGCGTATAAGCATTAGCATTGTTATTTATCATAAGTTGCAGGGTTTTTAGGATCATTAATTTATATTTACATCATTGTCATACGATTTCATTATCTCCATTCATGCTCTACACACTCTGTCCCTATACAGTCTCTCCATTCAAGTCACTAATAGTTGCTCACATTGCTCTAGATTTTTTCCCAACATTTTTAAAATCAAATGTTTTATGGTTTGATCAGTGTGACAACATTTTAAAAATATTACTTCATCATACAGAGGAGCTTTTATTGCTGCCATTTTAGTTGTGCTCTTAGCATCACCTAAGTAAACAAACCATCTAACGGAGACCCCAACATTTCTCGAATATGTGAATAGAAGACACAGCCGCCGTGTACCTATTACTGTAAGCACATATACTGTGATAGATTGACGGCAATGTGAATTCCATCAGATGAATAGAAAGAGGAGCACATGGATCAAATGCAAATCAGAGACAACGTATTGACCGTTAAGAAAAGTAAGCGGCCTTGTTGGCAGGCACACACGCGGTGTCCGGTGGACAAGACTGGTGACAAAATAGCAGCCAAAGGAGAGAACGCAAACCCGAGAGGATGTTCACCGCGGAGATGGGGCCTTTAAGTTCAATTCAGGTGCGAATGTGATAATGGGCTGTGGCATCGTAGGACCGTGGGTGACGGTGTGGCGAGGCCCCCGTCCAGCGGGCGATGGACAGCGGCCGACGATGAACATTGCTCTACGTATGTACGTATGGATGTTGAACTTTTTTTTGCACCGTATGTAGCTAACCGTGCTGATCGGAGGTGCGGGGAAGGACAACAAACACTTAAACACAAAAAGCAGTTTTAAAGGTGAGGCGACTGTGTGCACAGGTGAGCGAGGGCTGCGAGGAGATGGGCCAGGTAATTTGACGACGACGATGATGATGATGATAGTAGTAGCAGTAGTGATGGTGGCTGATAATGGCTTAATCCCTCACTCGATATTTTCTGTGACGCTGCAAGACGGACAACACACCTAAACACACGGCAAAAGCATTTCTCAAGGAAAAATTCGATCAACGTAAATTGGGGAAAAAAACGTGCGCGCGAGGGTTAGGAGGGGTTTCGAGACAGTTCCCGTGTGCAGTCGCGTACCGCTGAGGCTGGAAAAGGGTTTTGGATGAGCGGCCCTGCCCGACTCCGGAGCGTAGGGCGGCACGGTTCTCCCGGCTGCCTTGGACCTCGTCTGCGGCGGCAACACCGCAGTCCTCGACCTCCTCGACCATGGCTCCTTCCAACGCCGTATTCATCTGCACCACCAGCAGGTTGTTGAAGCGCCATTCGTTAATCCAACACACACACGCGCGCGCCCTGTCCACCATCTGGTGATTTTACGTTTGCCCGTCAGCAAAGTGCAACGTTACCGATTGTGCCCATCCGGGAAAGTCTTAATGAATCTAAAGACATTTTTTTTTAAAATCGGGGTCCTGTATTCGAAAGTTTTGCCGATGACATTTTTAAAGGGGCATTTCGCGTCGAAGTAAAAATGACAGAACCTGGAGAAACGCCACATGTATGAGGGGAATGTACGCAAAGCTCACGAACCCACTTGCTGCACTGCCGTCTTTTGGCCACGTCGCCCACCCAGAAGGTTCGAGCGTCAGACAAATCCGTCTGATCCACCAACCCTCGCACCCAAGGGATGCACCGTTACGATCAAGGTATCGTTTTTGCAGCATTGATCGCTTACACAAAACAAGGCAACCAAAGCTTTGATTTTTTTTAACCTACATTTTTATTCATCCTGCTTTTCAAAGCTTTTAAAATGTGTGTGTGTGTGATTCATAACTTAATTCAGGGTACGAATAAAAGGTAAACTATTGTGGGGAGTAAAGGAAACGGACAACGTTAGAACCGGGTGATCTTTGTGGAATACTGAATCGGCATGCAGCAAAGGTTCGTTTTGCAGACAAGGTTCTGACGAGTTTGAGATTAAGTTCATCGAATCCACTTAAGTGGTCATGGATGTTACGATTCACAGTTGTCCATCTCTCTTCTGATTCTAAAATAAAGAGAGGTCTTCTTCTCAGATGTCCACTGGTCTGATAAACTCGTATATCTCCCCATTACCCATTTGGATGTACATACACTTGTCGATTCATATATTAATAAATGTATATTGGATTTGTACGTGTAAATACATTTACATATTGATAACATGTGGGCTACATATCGACGTGTACTCAGATATTAAATGTGAACTCTACTGCACAACACCAAGGCAGCCCATATCAGTGGTGCACTTCAACACTTTGTGTACTCAATGAAACTTTGTCAGACAACTTTCGTGACAGGAAATGTATTTAGATTAACATTGCATTATATTATTTGTGTTCACCGTTTTTAATTCCTCCCGTAATGCGGCTGTTAATACTTAGATTTTTATTCGCTACAATTCTTGAACCTTTGTTTCATCTTATTCCTTTTACCATTTTGGTGACCCACATTACTCTTGCAAACGAGACTCTATCCTGGTCTCTTGAGTTCTCGCTTGGGTTAAAACTAAATCAACTGCTCCAATTTGGGTACATCACACACACCCCCGGATCGTAACAATACAATTCGCGGATGCGTGTGGGTAAGCACGCGGAATATACTCACGCGAGATTGGAGCTTGCGTATGAGAAGAGCATCGTCCTCGGTAAGATACTGCAGGGCTTGGTTTTCGAGAGGGCTTCCGTGAGCGCTCTCGGGATAGGGCGCAACGAATGCGAAATGCAGGCAATGCAGCAGCAGGAAACCAGCCAACATCTTCCCTGGCTCGCCGAGTCTTTATTCCCGAGCGGAGGTGGATGCCGAGGACTCGAGGTCAAGACTCGAACACGCCTGGAAATGCGATTCGGAAACGCAACGCTGCGGACGTTCCTTTTAAAGTCAAAATCATTAGCCGGGGACAAAAATACGTGGCAAGCGTGACGTCGGTCAGACATGCGTGGACGGTGAACAAAATCCACGGAATGTTAATCTCCTGTAGGTTGTATGCCCTGTGATTGTTCAGTGCCTCGTTAATTGGAATTACATTTTCCGAAGCGAAAGCATCAACCCAGCATTCCACGTCTTCTGCATTATGAAGGCTCGACAATTAGCAGAGCCGGTGACATTACACAATTCGCAATTAGGGGACGTATTTTACAGCAGGCTGTTGTGCTCTTCCTCTAGAGCATGTGTGTTTGAGGATGCATCCAGTAAGGGTGGAATTGCACAATGACAACATAAACATGTTGAGTTTTTACGTAAAAATATTGCAATGATTGGCCATTCGTGACATGTTCTCCTGATTGACACGACATTGTTGTTTTTAGTTGCAGACCTGTTTCAACAGTATGTACAGTAGTTTTGCGAATTGTCATGATGGATTCTATTTTATTGTTTACTTATTACGCTGGTTTACCCAAGAAAGCCTCGTATGTGTGTATGTTGAACTTCTTTCGCACCGTACATAACCAACTGTGCTAATCGGAGGTGCCTCACTGGAAGGTCCTGCTAGGTTACCGCAGTATGGGACAATGATTAATTTGCACAGGGAAGATAATACTTTATGTGCAGGTTTTAATAAATAAATATTCCTTGATTTTTTTTTTTTCATCCACTTGGGTATTTTGTGGGTAATTCTAACATTTGGACCATGCTCCTAGGTATTCGATCCAAAGCTGCTTCCATTCATAGATATGGACTTTTTTTCATTTTCTTAAAAAAAAATAACACCTGCATTTAGAAGTCTGTCTGGATTTTGGGAATATTACTTTTGGAAATAATCTCTCCTACATTGGCAACAAAAAATGTTCCCCGAGATGACGCCTGTCTTTTCTTTTTCTCCAGAATTTTCCAGTCCTATCGGATGATGAACAGAATTCAACACCTCCCCTATCAACGTGATTGGAATAGCACCGCCACGGCCAATGCATTGACGATGATCTCACACCTCATAGGGCTGAAGTATTTGGCATTTACGTCTCTTAATTGACGTCGGTATGACGCGCGATGTAATGCCACGAGGGAGGGTTTGACCTCAAATGGTTATTTTAGATTGCCAACCGCACCTTTTCTTAATCAGAATGTATCTATACTGGTGTACTCCGATGAGCTATGAAGCTCTTTTTCACAGAGACAGACACGAGCTTCGAATTGTTCCACAGTTGTCCAAAAAGGCGAACAACAAACATCCTTCCCAAACGCCCGAATTTGCTAGCATCGTGTAATCAACAACATTTTTCAGTTCAGGCAGTGGAAATTAGTTTTACAATTGGGCGAGTGCAGTTACGAGGGAATTTTGCCCAATGACCCCATGACATCCCACACAAGAGGCGATTGACTTTTGACGATTACGAGAAGAGGACCCATTGCTCTGCAATGGAAAATAAGAAAACAAGTGTCATGTTGACACCCTTCTCACAATCATGTACTCGAAGTACGAAAAGTAATCTGCTATTTTATGTAATACAATGGTACGATGTGTTTAGTTTGTTGTCCTTCCCCCGCAGCTCCAATTAACACGGTTGGCTACGTATTGCAAAATAAGTTCAACATACGTATTGGGTGTTTTAAAATTTTTTTTATCAAAGATTTAAATAATGTTATGGCGAAAAATTGCATTAACAGGAGCACAAGTTGAAAAGTCTGAGCAATTTTAAATTAACTGTCAGCCTTCTGTATTCGTTACTCCCACCTCTTCTGTTATACGTTGTCTGAATGTCTTCGTCTTTCTTCCGTCGTTGCAATTAAATGCAATGATGTGTATTCGTTCCATGGAAAATCCCAATTAGCCAGTTACCCAGCTAGTTTTGGTCATAATGGCCCGTAACGACTAACAACAGAGATGTTGGAGTGAAGAGTAGCCCAGCCAGCAGTCAGCTGGGAAATTTGAGGCATGGATTATAATTAACTGGCAGGAAGTACCCGGCGTTGCCCGGGTCTTAAAATATTTCAAAACTACTCTTAAAAATCTAACAGCAGTGCATACCGACTGTGGTGGTACCTGCTATGATAACAGCAGTGCGTACTGACAGCGGTGGTACCTGCTATGATTACAGCAGTGCATACTGTGGTGGTACCTGCTTTCACTGCAGCAGTGCATACTGTGGTGGTACCTGCTATCACTACAGTAGTACATGTTGACTCTATAGCAGTATTTATCGACTCTATAGCACAAAGTACTCACCTGACAGAGTGGCGTGGTTAGGCCTAGTCCCGTGCAGAGCCTCTGGCCTCGCCTAGATTGACTAGCCGGCCGAGGTGGTACCTTGGCAGGCTGGGGCTGGGCTGCTACCCCTGACCCCCCCCCCCCCCCCCCCAGCCACAATCTCCCCGGCCGCTCTGCAGTAATATCTACGGCCTATAGTGGTAGCATCTAGTGACTGTATAGTGGTAATAACTGCACGCATCGGGGTGGGGGGGACATCACACAGTGAAGAATGTACGTGAGCGTTTAGTGTATTTTTTAAAGCATTTTTAGAGCAAAATTTAATGTCCCCCTCACTCCCACCGAAGGCATGCGACTTGGCATGGGCCGCCCACCCCACCAACGGCGCGTGAGTTGATATAGTCGTGTACGCGTCATAAATAGATGGGAAGCGCACAAAAATCGCACTAAATCGCTAATTAAACTAATTTAAAGTTGATGGATGTGAAAAAGGAATAGTGCTTGCTCACCGCGGGGCTTACGGCGTGGTACCTGGCTATTTTTTTACGTAAACCCCACCATTGGAGAGTCAAGCGTGCGACCACACAGAAACCCCGCCACAATTTTTGACTTTGATATATAGATAGTATAATCTATTAGCATAGTAAATTAATTAAACTATTATTTAGTACTTTTGGGATTCTGTCAGGGTGTGAAGATCATTATACGCATTCATATATTGGTATGTTCCAATAAATGTTCTTACTTCATGAATCTAGTTGTAATAACTGGCGAAACGTACTCGGATTGTAAATGTTGTGGATTTGCTCTCCAACACACTGGTGTGCTGTACTCGTGTAGTGACACAGCGCTAACTGCTGTACAGCAGCAGCAACTGCAGGTGGATACAGCGCACATGCCGTTCAGCATTTACACGGGTGTGCCGGCACGGCGGAGGAACTGGGGCAAGGGTCACGGTAGACCTCATAGGGAGGCCCTTGGAACGCTCTGGTGGCTCCGCCCTAGCCACGCCGCACCGAGGGGAATATAAGCAGTGGAGAGCGAGAGTTCCGGGCTGCCGGTTCTGGGAGTGGACTCATCTCGTCGCCGCTGCCTTCGTCGCTGCCGCCTTCACCCGATCATTGCGCGGCCGGACAGTAGTTGGCCGTCTCGGTCGATGCCGTCGGTGCAACGTGGGCAGGGTCATGTCTTGGCCAGGCTGTACGACAGCGTGGTCGTGAGAGAGGGGGCCGGAGTTGGTGACATGAACTAAATAAAAGAGAGACGGTGCCTAGTGCGACTACCTCGTCTCCGACTGTGTGGGCTGCACGCCACCCGCACACACATGCCTCGAGGGAGAAGAAGCAGAGAGCTATGACGCTACTTATGGTGTCAGAAGTGGGGTATTAAAAACCCACCTGTAGTGTCATCCCTCCAACAGCCCCAGGACCCCGGTTATGAAGCCCATTGGCTGCAGTGCAGCTGAAGAGCCGCCACGAATCGGCGGAAATTGGCATGTTGTTTACGTGACAAACCTTACTAATTGGCTGTGTCGGGTGGTGGTGGGTTTAACGACACATTTATATTCACACAATCTAACCCAAAAAAATCCCGCTATATTATGGATGAGTATACTATACTGACATTCGAATGGTTAAAAAAAGCCTTCATAGCCTTCAAGAAACAACTATAAGTTACACATCACCAACAGTGACTTTAATTATAACAAAAAAAACAAAGTTGATGCCTTCCCAGTAAACTGGACTGTAAGACACGGGGTTTTGATCGAAGCGCTTCCTTTGATTGTGGTAGAAGGCAGTAAGCCTAGGTGAACTCAGATACAAAGCCATCCAGAACAGACCATACAACATACGACGCAATCAATGCTCGATCCACAAATACACGACACACTACATTATATTTCGACAAAAAGCTTGGTGGAATTGTAATAAATCACTTCGACGACGATCTTTGACGGGCCTTCTTTATTTATTTAATGGCTGGACAGCACGTTTCTTTCCAAGTAATCACTGTACCTTCTTCGTTGCGCGGCGCAAGTTGGTGTTGTCCCGCGCACGGTTCGCTCACGCTTTCCGCTCCTGCGCACCGCGGGCTGACGGCGCGCAAGGAGACAACCCCCCGGACCGCCACGTGGCCGCTGGCATTCCGGAAGCACGAGACGTGGTCCCGCTTCGAGACTTCCCACACTAACCTCGAGCCCCTTCCTGCTTCCCCTTATAACCCTCTGACGCAGAACCAAGTCCCGCCTCTAGCCACGCCCCTTCTAGAACCTTCCCGATGGTTCCCCGCGAGCACCCCTGAGCTCTGCCCTTGAACTTTGGCCCAGATGATCCCACTCAATCCTGATTGGCTAATGGCTGATGCAGCGGAGCCTATTCAGCCGGTCGGCGACCGTCGGTGTACTCTCTTATTACAAAAGAAAACACGTTTTCTTAAATAATATATAAATAAATCTTGACTTAAAGCTTTCATGACTGCAGGAACTCATATTCTTTGGGTCTTTCGGTAAAATCACGTAGATAGGTTCAAATAAAATAACAAAACTATGCCGTTTCGATCGCAACACAAGCGGTCGTCATCAGGAAAAGGGGGGTTAGCTTCTAAAGACAACTGCTTATAAAGGTTTGAAATGGGCGTAGCCCAAAAGTAAGCAGCCAATGTAAGTGGTGGGCAGCGGCTGTGGAGGTGGTGGGTTTTCCACCAATCAAAGGGCTGCCAGGCAAAAATGTGCATGTTAATGTAAGATCGCCCAGCATCCTTCACGACGAGTGCGCCAAGGTGGCTATGTTAATGAGAGAGATTAGCATGTTAATGGAAAATCGCCTAGCATCCTCTATGGCGAGCGTGCCAAGGTGGCTATCACCAGGCAAGGTAGTTAACATCTCACCACCAAGGCACCCCTACACAGGTCAACCAAATGGCATGCTTGGGTAAAGGAGTTCCAGCCCAAATGATCCTTGAAACTCGTATTTATTACGCATTCCGCACAACACGTCACATCAGGGAACCACTTCGCCCAGGCGGCCTGAAACCCCTTCTACCCCTGCCGTTATTCCCTTCACCATCTTTTCTGGAACTTTCCACGACTCTCCACAGATCCCATTCATTTCTCCCAACGGTCCCCCCCCCCAACCTGACCCCCTCATTGCCATTTAAGTTTTCCCTGACGACCAATCCGATTTGAATGTTTTCCACCTTCGAATCTGATTGGGCGCACCCTACAGCGGCTCCTCCCTCCTGTGATAACTCAGAGTCAATTAGAATCGAGCGCACTATTCTGACCCATGAGCCGCTAGACCCAGCGATTGTATACTTATTTATTTCCGAATAGGGTTCGGACTCTCGGTTATCCCTTATACTTTTATCAGTGTGAGATTCATATTAAATGTAGGGTTAAAGCCGCCTCACTCTGAGACAAGGCAAGTGTACCATCATGACAACGCTTGTGTGTCAAGCCACAGCATTGGTGTACATTTGCTTGGGATGTAGCTGCTTGCAGTCGGATAAGGGGAGAGGAGAGTGGAGCAACCTTCACAAGACATGGAGACATCCGAACACGTTTTCCACATGGCTACATGGATTCCTGTTGCATCGGTTGAAATTCTGGTCTGCACTCAAAGTTCATTTGTATTGTCACAGTTAATTTGTATTGGCACCTAGCACAGTTGGCTTAGGTCCATTATGTATGGCACTATACCAAATATTCTGTACTGTTTTGAAAGGTACTACGAGTAAGACCTGCACAATGTTAATTTATTACTACAAATGAGTGCAGAAGATCCCTGGTTTTGCTCTTCCACAAAGCTCATGGTCCACCCTAAACTGCATCGCACAAACCATGGCAGTAGATGCGGATACCCGATGCACAAATGGAAAATTAAAAACTCTCCAGTGTGCGACTAATCATCCAGAACAGACCATACAACATACGACGCAATGCCCCGATCCACAAATACGAAGGAGACATCACAGCGATGATGATGATGATGATGATACACTCCACTGCTCCTGACATTGTAGTTGTTGCTCCGCATCTACATCAGCCGTACGGAAGGAGTGCACATCTGCAACTGTGATGCATCAGTAGGCACTAAAGAAAAACAACGTTAAAGATAAAGTGCGCTTTTCCAATTTTCCCCCTAAATTTAGAAAAATATTACCAAATTGCAACATTAAACATCGAAGCAAAGTGCTTTTTTCAGATGTTTTAAAAATTAAGGTAGCATGTGTAATTAACAAAGACTTACAAATTAATCCCAACTGTCGAACAATTTTGAGAATGCAGCGAATATAATTAATGTCTAAACGTTAGAACATAATTGCGCACGGTGTTTTTTTAAATTCATAATTGCTAATTTAGTTCCTTTATAAGTGAACGTTTCTTGAATAGTTGAACGAATATTTTGTCGTATGCCAAATGAGTCGATTGCCAATTACACATCATCGCAAACAGTGGATCCAGTAAATGCGTACAATGCTCAGAAACCAGGTAACAACGCATTGTTTTGCGAGACAGGTATGTGACATTTTCTGATGCTGAGAATGTTAATGTGGTTTGTGAGCGAATCGCCCACAAAGGATGGAATGCATGGCCATCAACTGCAATGACCAGCGTCTCATTCCAACACGACAACCGCTGCTGCATACATGCTTCAGCTTACAGAATAAAATTAGGAAGTAACACTTTTCCTTTGCTGTGCTTATTACTCACTTTAAAGCCTTATTATGAAGTATAAACACGTAGAATTAATTTTGAAGAGTAGTCTGCTTGTACGGCATTTGAAAAGCACCTGACAAAACATTGCAACTGTGTTTTGAGTTTTGGCCATGCATTTGATGGCTTCGGGAGTTGCTTGATATGTAGCGTTAATACCTCCTGCATGTAATGGGGAAGTGGTTGGTTATATTGGAATAGGTTTTACCCTTTTAACTGGCACAAAAACTGACACCTTTATTCAAGGCATCATATTTGCAATAACCACAACACAAGCAGTCAAAATGCAAACAAAAAAAAAGACAACTGATAATAATATGCACTGTCCTTGAATTTGATTGGTCCACACCCGAGACGGCTTTTCTTAGAGCCTAGTCTCCATTGGTGTTGGACCAGAAGACGCCAAAAGGCGTACAACTCAAAAACAGTGCAGTATCAGAGTATTGAGGGCTCGGGGTGAGCATTTACATTAAAAGGGTAAAACCTATTCCTATATCTTGTTACTGGCAAAGGAGGTCTCATAATGGTTGGTTATACTTGTATAAATACATAGCCAACACAGTTGCGTGCAGCAATGTATGGACAAGGCTCAATTATTGCAATTCACTGCTCTAGGGGACATATGGCAAAGCATTACCAAGCTGCAGCGTGTACAAAATTCTCTGGCACGTGTCGTGACGGGGTACTGCAAGATCCGACTATGTCCGTCCAGTGCTCGGCGAGCTGCATTGGCTTTTGGTTGCCGGAAAAATACATCATTATAAGGTTGCGCTCATTACGCAAAGTGCATGCCACAAATGAACCACAATATCTCACCGATCTCGTCAAGGAGCATAAACCATCACGCGAATACACATCATCCTTGCAGCGGCTTTTCGCTATGCAATGAACAAAGACGGTCACTTGCATTGCGAGCTTTCATATGGGCTTCTGTGGCCGTCTGGAATGCTCTTCCTTCCGATATTAGGAAGCCACTGGAGTTATGCACTTTTAAATCTAGATTGAAAATGAATTTCTGTGGAACTACTTTTGGTGTTTAGATTGTTGTGCTTCCCCACACCTCTGATTAGCACGGTTGGCTATGTAGAGTGCAAAAAAAGTTTAACATACATGCTTCATCACAGTTAGAATAGGGCGACTCATTTATTATGTGTAGGAAATAGCCGCACCTGCTGTGTGCCATTTGAATGCAATTGAGCAACAGTGGATTGCTCTCTCTGCACGCTGAAGCTAGGTACTTCCTGTGTCGGGTCTCCAAAAAGTTGCTTGTCCAGGACATTGCAGGCCATCCAACTTTCACGCCACCAATCGCGGACGTCTTTTTTGCTCTTTATAAGCATCTCAGCATTACTCCAGAATGGAGTGTGGGACTTTTGCCCGGCTTGGTGGCACATATCCTGATGTCCCGGTGTATTGGTAGTTGTGTTGGCCATGATCTTATTGTACTCTAGCAGTGCAGTGGCATCTTGGCTAATGTTCTATGGCAGGTTATGGAGAGAACTCGTAGGCGTGATGCTGATCGTTCTCATTGTGGCATTGATTTGTATGTCAACGCATTTTGTATGTGAACTGGCTCAGACACAATAAAAGTAGTTTAAAGACAATAACCAGAAGCTCCAAAGTGTGACAAAATACATGTTGAAATGTTGCCATTTTAATTTAGGCAGTCAATAAATGGATTTGAGGGAAGGCCTATTTCAGCCAAGAAGCTCTGCTTACTTCTGTTCCCATCTCTAGGGTTTAACCCCTTCACGGTGATGTCAAATTGACACCGGTGAGGAAAAATGTATACTGTATTCTCATGTGCTACGTTAATTTTATGATGTAAAAATCTGCATTTTTTCCAAAATAAAAAATAAATATCACTTCAAAAGTAGAAAAAACATTTATTTTTTTCCATTAGAAAAGCAAAGACAAAGGTAACATTGTAAGGCATTAAAAAAAAGTAATTTAAAACATCAAACTTGTTTTTAGTAAACAGTGTTTAGTTTGCAAGCTCCACGTGGATTTCTAACATCTACCGTTGGTGGTGTATTCTTTACCTTTCACTGTAAAGAAACATTCAAAATACACAAAAGCTAAAAAGGCATAGGCCTACTGCAGGTGAAACTAAATCACTTAAATTGGTTAAATAAGCAAGTGAATCGTATCTAGCACGTGAGATTAATACTTACAGCAAAAATCCTTAAAAAGTAACTCACTGCAAATCACTTCAGCACTATCTTGTCAATGGTGATCACAATGATCATTGGATGTTGTTCTTTGATAGAAAAACAATCTCCAACAAACGTCACGGCGCAGATAACAAATTAAAATGGTAAAAGGCAATTTCAAACACTGCTATTATTTATTGCTGTGTCCCTGCCTTAATACCACGGGCAGGTTTAAAGCTCAGCTCTGAAAATTGTTACATTTCATAGCGAGCAAAGATCATCCTCGGTATGGCCACTGATTTAAGGATCCTTGCAGACTTATTTCAAGAACGCTACTTGTCCCATACATTGAATTCTGCCTTTTAACGATTAAAAACATTGGAAGTGGAAGCTCAATCCGACTTTTTTTTTTGCTTAAGTAGGTTTTCCATATTTTACCACGCGTGGACGACGCGGTTGCGAGGATGGGCGAGGGGATTTTGGATGGGGCTAGTTGCCCAAAAGGTGTCTCTCATCTGCAATTGAAGGCACAGTTGGTTCCCTGTAAAGAAACAAAAGAAATACTGAAAAGTGTCGCGAGCCAACCACTTTCTTCACGACACATGACTAGTTTTTTAATGACGTCATCCAAATTTCACAAAGAATCAAATCCAAAATCATTCCTCGCATATTGCGAGTCATTGTAAAAAGGCAATGCCAGCCCAGATGAAAACCTAACCCCCCCCCTCTCTGGGGTTTGTTCAACGCGAGTTTGAATCTTTAGCAATTAGGTGACAGACTTGCAAGTCGTATACATTCTAGTGGCAACAATTGCAGTACGGTTACACGGGATTTTAACACCTCTTCCGAGGCGTGGAAAAGTAGGCCCCCAATACCCTGTAGAGGGGGCCCTCTAAACCAGTGGTTCTCAACCAGGCGGGTATGTGGCAATGTCCCACGGGGTACGTGAGGCAATTTATAAATGTGTGACATCACATCATACGTGACAGTTATTGGTGAATAATCATGTATAAAAAATATAATAGGGTTTTACCCTTTCTGGCAAGAAAACAGGATGTGTTAAAATGTGCAAACAGCAAATATAAACCTTTTGCAAGGAATCAAGTCTGCATTAACCACACACAGTACTTGTGGTGTACACGCAAACAAAACATGCTCTGACAACCATGTATGAATCTGCCAAAAAAATTAAGTACGAGAACATTTAAATCAATATGGTAACCTAGAATGATATAAAATACCTTTTATAAACTCACTGATCGTAAACAGTGGTTACCAAGGGTAACCAGCGAGCGCAAACACATTTTGTTACGCATGCAGAGCGTCCGTTGATTTTTTTGTTTGTTATTCGCTTGTAGTTACTAGCTCGTTTGGATACCTCACAAAATGGACAACTGGTTCAAATATTGATGCTCATTATTCATGCGTTTAGTTCTCAGAATCATGTTGGGTCCAGGCAAGGGGGGGGGGGGGGGGGTTAACTCGGTTGAAACAAAATTCAACAAGGGAGGTTCACAGTAGCCAAAAAATGTTGCATCATTGTGGAGAGTGACTAACAAAAACTAGCAGACGGTAACGCCTCCTTCCAATTACAGAACTGCAACCTTTACCGCTTGTCGATTCTAAAAAGGTTTTTTCCGAATTTAATGAAGCTTCAAGCTTGTGTTGGACATCCCCGAGACATATCTGGGCCTCCACTAGAGGGAGCGCGCTCAAAAAAGGTATTTGGTCAACTCGACCCCCACGCGAAACCTCCCAATTCAACTAACTGCAGTGGACCCATTTATATTACTGGCTGGGGCAGAGGCAGATTGATAACCTTGCCCCATGATTGCAACTGCTGTGCCGGAAGGTAGAATCGAACCGGTGACCTCTGGATGGCAAGTCCAGTGTGTTAACCATTACACCATGGGGTAGCTCCCTAGACTTTATTTTAATTAAGATATTTTTTTTGTTGTATTTATTTTTAGAAACAAAAAAACCGGAAGAGGATTGACGAGCACTGGCCCACAGTCTAATTCACAAAAATGGTGCTTTGTATTTGTCCTACAGTGGCGTTGGAAGTACTCACAGCGCTCCGGCGAACACTCTGGATGTACTGGGAGAAGACTCCCTGGGAAGCAGAAGACGAGTGGGAGGCTGCAGCAGTGTGGCTGCTGCCTGCATCCTCCTCGCTGGGACTACGGCATTCCTCACATCGCCAACCCTGCCAGAACAACAAGCACGGCCGTGCCACGTTGGACAATGTATCGGGTGGGGAGGGGGGGCATGCTTTCTCAGTCACGTTAAGCGTACGATTCAAATTTGCCACGATTATAAAAAGGAAGTCACTCAAGTCGACAATCGTTTGAACGTTAAATTGTTTGGCGACGCCGCGTTGGGCAGTGGTGCACAAGCACAAATAACAAGAGACGTCACACGTTCGTCAAAAAACACTGTGGCCTTAAAAGGAAAACGAATGTAACCGGTGAAGATTCAGGCAATTTCCCTTCTTCATAGCATATATATGTAGTCACGTTTAATTTATGTATGTAGAATGTCTTTCGGATCGTGCGTAAACATCCGTGCCAATCGTAGTTTCGGGGGGCCATATCTCGAAACTTCACCTATGATATATTTCCCTTTTAAGGCCAGTCTTATTGACGAGCGTGCTGCGCTCGATTTGAACGTCGCTGGATGTGAATCAGTGGCAGTGTGCAGTGAGTGCAGGCTGGTGGTGGGGCTCTTGCCTGCTGCCCTCCCAGGCAGGTGCAGGTGCACATAGCACCACGGTAGAGTTTGCGCCACTGATCGCCGGCCTGGTACATCTTCCCTTCATCGTAACACGACGCCTCATCTGCATTAGCAACAAAAAATGTTTTTTAAAAAATGTTTTGTATTGCGTTTAAATAGGAGCCCGGTAGAAAGCACAAACCGCAGCGTAGGGGAGGGGGGTACAGAAACTCCGCGGACACAAGTCCCAAACGCTGTGCTGCTGAGTTCATAGAAGGGGGCAGACTGGCCTAGCTGCTGCCCCACCGAGTGTCGACCGCGAGTGGGGCATGTGTACTTTTATATAGGAGGGGGAAGGCGAGGAAAGAAATTACTGAAGAAAGGGAGCCGGGGGGGAGGAAGAAGGGGGGGGGGGAACAAAAATAGATTAAAGATGCATCTTGTTTCTTAAATCTGAAATTCAAATCACACTGCAGTATTTGTTCACGACTTAAAAAGCTCCCAGCACAAGGAGCAAAACAGTTGGGCTGCTCGCAAACAGGAAGCGGGCATGGCACTTACGCGGCTCGCACTTGTACTCCCCCTTGCCGCGGCCCAAACACGTGCACGTCAGCATCTGCCCGTTGTCGGCCGGGCGGTCCCAGGTCTCGCCCTCCCTGTAGTTCTTACCATTGTCGTGGCACCAACCTGCACATTTGCCCAGCAAAGGGAGCTGCTTGTTTACACGGCAGAGGTTACTGGCTACAGAGTGCGTACATGTCGAAGCGAGTTCCTGCTGGAACGAGCTTTGAGACGTACGTGCTCATCTCTTGTGAACAACCCCCTGGGACAGTGGTGGAAATTCCACATTGCTATGGTGGGGGCTAAGTCTGTGCGTAGGAAAACCACTGTTGACTTCCCCACAAAGTGGTATCCATGTCTATATATATGGATACCATTGCAAACATTGTTACATTTTTACGTCACATGATTTCTGAAAATGTCCGACTATTCCTGCATAGTCAAGCAATGCAAACTCTCTTTACAAACTACAATAAAAAAGTCACCTAGAATACATCACAAAAAATCTATCATGAGTGAAATGAGAAATAGTGTGCTCATAAACTTCATACGTTCCCGGTAACCACAATTCTACTGCACAAATCAGTAATGAGCATTATGTATATCTGTGATAACCATATGGCTCTCTAAGACTCTCAAGGAGGCATATGGTCATGGAAGTATACACATGGGTTCATTGGGGCGAGCAATGACTCCAACAAAGCTTTGCAGAACCGCAATGTGACTCATTGTGTTCACCGTGAGGACAGGCAAGCTGGGATCGGACTCCCATTAGACAAGCACCGTTAGGTTAGTGGTTCCCAAATTTAGTCGCAGCGTAATTTCTTAATATAACATCAAACACGGTTCCCCATTGGTCTACTCTATTGTTATTGTGTCTGCCCATGACCGAGCCTACAGTCACTGGTCCCGACCTCAAGACATATGCCAGGATGGATGCCAAATGGAAGCATGTACTCAAAATAGTTATATTACTGTTTAACCTAGACATTAATTACAACCTGCCGTATGCTACTGTTATATATTTATCTTGCAACTGTTACTCATTTCTACAAATGTTGGTACTTGCTGAAAGAGTTCACTCAATATTTATATGTTTAGTACATCTAATGTTAGAGGATGACTGGAGGCTGACAGGCATGAGGGCCTCGGTTACTGAAGAGCCAATTGCAGCTGCATCTTTACCAGTGAATATTTCCTGTCACAGGGCCTGGTCATACACTAATACGTCATTTAAACTGTGTATTGCTCGATCCTCATGCTCGGTAATGGGCCCCTACAATAGCTACACACTCGGCACGCTATACCCCCAGTTTCCTCCGTGGCTCTACGTCGAATAACCGAGAGCTTTGTTAACCCTTCAGCTGAACACGCTGACCAATTAGGTTCAGTGCGGTTCTGGCAGACCCTGCGTTCACATTTGGGAACCACCGCGCGCGCAGGGGCTCACTCACGCGACGAATCACAGCGGTAATGGCCATTGCCGAAGCCCAAGCAGCGGCAGTAGAGCATGAAGCCATTCTCGGAGAGACGCTCCCACTCTTGGCCCACCGAGTAGTAGATACTTGTGGCTGTGTCCAAGCACAGGTCTTCATCGCTCTCCGTCATAGATCCCTGGCCCCCTGCGCCACACGTCAAATTCAGAAAGGTAGTAGGAGTCCTTTAAATACAGTTAGACGATTTTTTTCTACGGTCAGCAACAGCGTGCAGGAGGGGGGATTTGGGGATCGGCTCCACGCCTAACCGGTGCGCGTATTCAACCGACTAACGCTCTTCTTCCTGCAAATCATGAGAAATGCGTCAGACAGAAAAAATGAGTGCAGGTGGGAAACAAACATCGGTAATTGTACCCACAGATGGTTATTTTGTAGACAACAAAAGGTGACATTACGACCTTTAAGTTCAGTCCTCCCAGCAAGCCATGTGTGTAACATGACATGACCATGCTGCACAAGTAATGCACACACAGCCTTGCTTTAGAGCACTGCTCAAAATTGTGGCCACGTTATTTTAAGCAGCAGCAGGAATAAGAGACAACTGTATAACCTGCTTCCATTGTCCCCTTAAAACTCATCTCTTCTCCCGAGCCCATTCTACTGCTACTCCATCAACCTGCCCCACAGCTACAACCAGGCCTACCCCCATCACGACCCCAAACCCCATTACTATTCCTACCCAAACCCCTCCTCCTTAACCACTCGCACCTCCTGTCCTAACTGGCACAGTCCACGATAACGTGAGATGCGTATGCAGGCTGAACAAAAACTGAGGTGCGTGGGTAGCATCTAGAAGCATCCAGCAGCATCCCAATGCCTTGTCCGATGCTACGCCGAGGCAGCTGTGTACAACTGCTTAATTCCTACTCGGCGTTATAAAAAAAGTGTTCCCTTATACATTCATCGCGTTATATCCAATTCACTTTATGAAAACAACACGCAGTGTTATAGGAAAACAGACAAAGATCCCCCTATAGCCTGAAGAGACTGTTGGGGAAAGTGTTGTTATAGTGAGCACCTATGAAGGCTAGCACAGCACAACAAGGGGGTGGGCGGCCAACACCATGCCTAGTCGCCTTTGTCTCCCCAGTGGCGATGCTTATACACCGCACCAAGTACTTATTTGAGGCCGAGTCGACCTAGGGGAGGCCCAGGAAGAGCTCAGATAATCGTCACCGGTCTTGGCCGTGAGCGGCAAATCGAACGCGAGTCGCCGGGTTTGTAGCGCAGCGTGCTAACCACCACACCACCGCTCCCCACAACAGACTGTACATACGTAGAAGATAGGCGTCCCTGGCTGTGGTACCGTACCTACGCCCTCGTGAGGGCTGCTGACGGCGCGTGCCGTCACCACCTCCTCGTGCACGCGGTAGCGCTGCGTGCCCTGCAGGGCCTCCACCACGACGCTGTACTGCGTGCCGTCCGCCAGCCCCGCCAGCGTGGCGCTCGAAGTGCCAGCCGGCACGCGGATCTGGCTCACAAGTGACGACATCACATTTACCACCCGCCCATCTATTTAAGACCGAAACGGAAGGAGGGTTTTCTCCACAATTCTGGCTGTCGCCTGATGAGACCGCTTGCAATTAGCGTTACTACTTCACACCACACCGGTGTTGGAGAGTAAACCCCCATTTACAATTTGAGAACGACATTTCGCTGGTTGTTGTAATTACCGGCGAAATTCACAGTACTCAAATTGGTAAAGTTTGTGGGTTTACACTCCAACACACCGGTGTGCGGAAGTAATAACAAATCGGCATGTTTTGTTTACGTTACAAACCTTACTAATTGGCTGTCAAGGGTGCCGTCGGGTTTAACGACACATTTATATTTACGCGATCTAACCGAAAAAAAACAACGATTTTATGGATAATTCCAAATTGTCCGCTTCCCTCGAATGCAACTTTCATGCAGTGTCAACACTCCACATGCAGAACATTAGTTCAGTGTTATGTATGAATTGGTTGAAGTTTTGGCTGGCTGTGATATTCGTTGAATACATTCACACTGAATAAGTTATAGGTTAAATATGTTTGTAGAGGTGTCATCACATTGACTATTTGTGTCAGTTGATGCCCTGAACAATAGATGTTCCAAGCGAAATATTTGAATCAATAAAAATATTATATTAAACTATTTAAATTTTACCAGTTAAGGGCCACGGAGTTCTATAGATATTTTTCAGAAGCGACCTGGCCACACATGATAGTCCAATGAAGTGGCTTATCACGTGGAATTTTTTAGCAGCCAAATACTCGAAATGCATGTCGATTCTAAATGTATATTCTTAGTTTTTTCGGTAAAGTCACGTTGAAGAGAAACAACAAAATAATAAAATATATATATAACAATAAAAAATTCTCACGACGTTTCGACCATAACTCAAACGGCCATCTTCAGGTGTGTTGGTTTGCATAAATTTGATTGTTCACGCTTAGTGGCTTTCAGACAGCATACATTATAAAAAATTTCGTCTCCCCCCTCCTCTTTTCAAAATATAGATGGACTAGTCCTGGGCAAACTGCCAAATCGCTGCGCGTGACGCTAACGTTTTTTTTATAAATAAATAAATGCGCCGTTTAAAAATAAATTTATGCAAACCAACACACCTGAGGATGACCGTTTGAGTTATGGTCGAAACGTCGTGAGAATTTTTTTTATTGTTTTATATATATTTTATTATTTTGTTGTTTCTCTTCAACGTGACTTTACCGAAAAAACTAAGAATATGAATTACTGCAGTCACGAAAGCTTTAAATCAAGATTCTAAATGTGTCGGGAAAAACTGGAGGACCCGGAGAAATATCCACGCAACCATGGGAAGAGAGACACGCAAACTCCAAATATACAACAGGCGTCAACTTCGGGATCGAACCCACGCGCTCCTGTATACCAGGCGGGAGGTAGTTAACATCTCAACACTGTGGTGCCCATATTTCACAGTATTGGTAACTTATGAAAGCTTTTGTTGCCCAAAAAATTACCACAAATATAGGGAAGACGAAATTTAATGCAGCAATTACTTTTATTTTGTGCTAAACATCCTACTTTAGTTAAATGTTCTATGGCAGCTCTATCCACAATTGGTTCCCTTGCCATATTCTCCGAACGCCTCTCACCACTACGCCTATTTGCTGCGAAGACAATTTTTCTGGCCTTCTTTTGAGCAGCTGCAATACATAATGGGGACACGTGAGGCCAGCAGGAAATAGGAAGAGTAACGTTACGAACATAGACTACCTAAAGTTTTTTTTTTTTTTCCGGCAGCAATGTCGTAACCAGTTCCAAAAGAATGGTGACAATATGACGTGGTCATCACCAGCACCGATTACAAAGGATGACTGCAAAGGTGCCCTGCTTTCAAGAGTAGAATTTAAGAGAGCTGCAGATATTGCTTAAGATCACAACCTCATTACTGCAGAATCGCAATTAAGAATAGCAACGCTGTCAGAGGCGATGTCGTATTTTAGACAAGTAGAGGTAGGAGAAATTTTTGCAATAACATGAAGTGTCAGAGAAGCATTGCAAGGCCCTTTGCAAGAGGTAGCAAATTTGAAATCATAAAACAAAGAGGGACATTTTAAAAGTGTCATGGCTGAGAAGAGGGCCTGCAGCCCAGCTCCTCCAAAAGCACAAACGAAGATTCAAAATTCAGGGAGGTTGAAGATGCTTGGCATGGTTACCAAGGGGGAGATAGGAGAAGGGGAAATGTTGAAAGAGATAAATCAGGAATAGGCGATTCATCGTTGGCGGAAGCAGACCGAGGAGATTAATAATCTTTATGGTTATACACGCACAAGAAGGAAACTAATAAACAATAATACCAGGGGAGGAGTAATGCATTGATTGAACAATATTGATACTTAAGCTAGTGCATTAATTGCATAGATTCCCAGAGCTGAATGTTATCATGAAATACATGCAGTAATGTGGCTGATATTTGCGAGATTCCTCGTAAGCTAGTTTATGACTCGATGAATAGAACTGCGTGCTCTTTAGTAAAAAAAAACGATGCTATAAGATGTGCAGCATTGAAAATAAGACGATCACACATGTTTCCCAAAAAATTTTTGCTAATAAATTTGCTTGACTAGACGTCAGAGGACAGGTTTAACGGGAACAATCTTACAGTGACCATGTCAAACCAGATAAATAAGATTTAAAAAAACACCAATTATAAAAAATATAAGCACAATACATTTGTATCAACGCGACACTTGAAATTGCCGTAATGTGTATTTAAGTGCAGGATAATGCTGTTTTTTTTTTGTCGAGTGTGCTGTTTGATATAAACCACAAAAGAACAACAAAAATATTACCTGTGTTGTTTCTCCCTCTCCGCTGAGTGGGTAGCAGGACAATAGGTACTCAGACGCCTGTGGCTGCGGAGACCAGCTGATAGTGGTCAGAGTCTTTGCAGCTTCTTGGGGGCCCAGAATTCTGTCCTCAGTCTTGATTGGTACCAGGCCACGGTCCATGAACACCACCTCAGATGGCGTAAAGCCAGCCGCACTCCTGTCTGGCGAGTGGCTATCAATCCCAGCGACTCTGGCTTTGAAAGGACGGAAGTTACCGAACAGGGGCTGCTGTCCTTCTGGATGCAACCCCAACTGTGGCCGACCTCTTTGGTGTGCCTGTGGTTCGTACGACGGAGTGACGGCGCTCTCCGCCAGCTCGTCGGGTCTCATGAACCTCCCGGGAATGATACGCCTGGTCGTCTGCGAGTTTGCTGGCTGACCGAGGATGGACGGCTTGAACTGCGCGTTCGCAGGCTTGTGCTCGTCCGTCGCGTCTACGAACCTCGGTGTCAGGGCGGTGAGAAAATCGCCGACAGGCCTCTGCCCGGACAGAGGCCTGCCGTTCTGCCTGTTGTTCAGAGACCTTTGTCGTGTGTAATATCGCGTGCTACGCGATTCGCTGTTCGGGTCTCTCTCCAGGACAGTGGACGAATGCTGGGAGGATGTAGGGATGTCTAAAAACGGGGGAATGTATCGGGCGGGAAAGTTTGGCGGTCTAGTAGCCAACTGCGGTAGCTGCAGCTCTTGTTCTGCACAAAAAACCAATGTGGATTGGAGAAGGGAATGGGGAAGAGGGGCGAATGTGGTTTAAGGGTTAACAAAGAAGCAAGCAGATCACATGTGTACGCATAACCATGTGATCAGTGATTAAACAACTGCGTTAATAAAGCAATTTTAAGCTTTTATTAAAGCCCAAGAGTTTGTGTATATATTAATGATATAGTTTTAACCATGTTAATTTACATGGCATCATTTCAATAAGGTAGTTGCTGTATAGCAACAGAAAACATAGAAATGTTGAGTTCATTCAACACATCTCCACATGAAATATTAATTTCATTCACATGTCCATATGCATTGTCCATTGATGACAAGAATGACAAAGTAAAATATAGTTTACACACATCTTTACACAGCAGATCTGGTAATAAAAGGCTGCTATGTATTTTTACAGGCCTTAATATACAGTATATGTGCAGGCCTGCATCCTGTGGTCATCAATGAATTGAAGATAATATAAATTACAAACTAGGGCTTTAATATATAGATTTTGTACCAGCTGATAAAGTAAAACGCCACAGATAAACATATAAACACTGGCAGTGGGAGACATTTAACCATAAAACAAACTATTTCAATATATTAAAACATGTTCAAGGGGGATGTGGGAGGGTGGAAAAACGTCTCAAGGACTATGCTTGGGTAGGCAATGTACCGAGAAAGGTACAGTACATGGCCTACCATGGAGCTATGCCCTTCGTTTACAAGTGTTTATAAAAGGTTTACCGAGCAGGTTAATACATTTGCAGAAGTGAATCGCACACACGCACACAGAGACGCATTTCACCACCGCTACTTCACTCGCCCGACGGCTCAGAATGCCGTCGTTACACGGCGAGGAGCTAGCCGGTGGCGTCGCGGCGCTGGCCACTCGCCGCCGGTACCTGTGCGGTGCTTTCCGGTGAGCTGAGCGCTGCGCATGCTGTTCTGCACGGCGTAGATGCCGATGGTGTAGCGCGTGCTGGGCTGGAGATCTGCGAAATGGGAGGGGTGCCGACATCAGCCGTGTGTGGGCGAGCATTCACTCTTATCTACCAAAGCCAAATATTAAAAGTAAGCTATAACATTTCTTCCCGCGTGTTGAGCGTTTTGTTCCCGCTACTTGTAATGGTGGCCGAGGTGTCCCTGGGCCCGGGAGCTGGCGTGAGCCGGTTGAGCGAGCCGACTTCGGACGAGTAGGTGACGACGTAGCTCATGATGGGCGCGCGCGGCGGCTGCCAGCTGAACGTGATGCTGTCCTGGCTGGCCGAGTCGAAGCGGAGGTCCTTCGGTGCGTCCAGGGCTGGGGGGGGGGGGCAGGAAAGTACTCGTCCGTGAAACGACTCCGTTGGCATCACTAAAGCTACGAAATTGTTTTTATTTTACCAGGTCAAGCCCACTGAGATTTAGAAGCTTTCTTTTTTTTTCAGAAGCGACCTGCCTATCGTAAATAATTATCTCAACGAAGTGGCTTATCATGAATGTGGAAATTTATAGCAGCCAACGAGGTGGTTGCGTTCCTGAAGAACACCGTGCTATGGAAAAATAGCATTATAATAAATAATAGATAATATAGGGTAAAGCACAGTCCGCGACAAACACATGAGATACGTACGCAGGGTGAACAGACTGAGGCACGTGGCTAGCATCTAGAAGCATCCAGCAGCATCCCCCGCCTTATGTGATGCTACGCCGAGGTAGCCGCACGACCGCTTATTCCTACTCGCGCAACGTAGTTCCGTTCACTCCTCATACATTCATCGCGTTATATCCAATTAGACTTATGAAAACACGCGGCGTTATAGGAGAATAGACAAAGACCCCCCCTATAGCCTAAAGAGACTGTTGGGGAAAGTGCTGTTAGCGAGCACCTATGAAGGCTGGCGCAACGCACGAGGGGGTGGGTGACCAGCACCACACCCGGCCACCTTTGTCTCCCTAGTGGCGATGTTTACACACTGCACCAGGTACTCATTTGAGGCTGAGTGGACTTAGGGGAGGCAAAAGACCGGTTCAGATAAGCATCACTGGTGTTGGCCGTGAGCGGGAATCAAACTTGGGCCGACGGGTTCATAGCGCAGCGAGCTAACAGCTATACTACCACTCTTCAGTTATTATATATACACACACGCAAGACCGCAAAGCTGGGGGACGTAATTATTACCTGTGGTAGCGGTCACTGTAGCAGGCTGACTTCTTGTGTTTCCGCTGACGGCATAGATGCTTATGGTGTAGTGAATGCCTGGCAGCAGATCTAAAATATAAATAAAAATGCATTTTAGATGTATACATCACACATCTTAAAAGACATTAACAGAAGACAAAGGTTCCTCCCATATAGCCTTTAAAGACTTTTGGGGCAAGTGCTATTAGCGAACACCTATGAAGGCCTGCACAGCACCACGCCCGGCTGCCGTTGTCTCTCTTGTGGCGATGTGTTCACACTGCACCAGCTCCTCATTTGGAGGCCGAGTCAACCTAGGCCGGGAGTCGGCAAGCAAAATCCCAAATAGAGCCATTTTTTTTTCGAATTCTGTATATATATAAAAAAAACCTCAATATTTCAAGAGCCGCAATGCAATGTTAATACGAGATGGCGTTCCTTAATGAAAAACGTCATTAAGAAAGTTATTTAAAGAGCCACCGCACGCGGCTTCGGAGCCGCAGGTTGCCGACCCCTGACCTCGGGGAAGACCAGGACCAGTTCAAATATTCATCACCGGTGTTGGCAGTGAGCGGGAATCTGATTATATACATACACACACGTTCTCAATATGTTAATTTAGTTATGCAAACATCCAAGAGAGTATGAATAAATAAACACTGCTTTTGAAATAAACTCCACAAGGTAGCTGAATATAATTACGTTAATCAACACCCCTTGCCACTCAACCATAACACATGGCACACATTCGATGTCGACAGTTGTCGATTTTATTTCAGAAGCCAAATTGCAGGAGTGATGTTTACACACCGCACCAGGTACTCATGTAAGGCTGAGTCGACCTAGGGGAGACCCAGGAACGGTTCAGATAATCGTCATGGGTGTTGGCCGTGAGCAGGAATTGGATTCGGGCCACAGCCGGGTTCACAGTGACGCGCTAACCGCGACACTATCGCTCACTGCCCAATACCAATAGCCACCAATTTCCACTAAGTGATGTTGACGTCACCACGGCTCCTGTGCCAGGCCAGATGCACTGAGGCCACATGAAGTGTCGAAGGCTCGCTAACAGGAGGTCACGGGACAGACCCAGGTGCCATGGGTTGGCTGACTGAGATGACTGGCAGATGCACCAGCTGTGCACCCTACTGTGCCAACTTGCTGAGGTTTAGCTGCCCGGCGCGCCACTCGTTATTGCGAGCGTCGCTCCTCCGCCCTCAGTTGTTGTTAGAGGGCGACTGCCTCCAACTGCCCAGTAGTGTCCTTCACGAGCCTCCCCCAGAGGCCGATCTTGACTCTGTTGGTACAAGTCTTAGGCAAGTCCACTCAGCTTATTCCCCACACAGACACACACACACACACGGACACCCATAAGGCATGCCCCACCAGCGATGGTGAATTGGCGTGCATCTGGTGAGAGGGTCTTCTCGACGCTGGGAGCGGTGGAGGATGGCACGACGGAGATGAGAAACCCGGACAGTGTGTCGCTCTTGGCCCGCCAGTTCACCGTGATGGATGTCTCCGTCACGTTCACCACGCGCGGCTTGCGTGGAGGGCTGATGTCTGCTCAGGTCGAGGATGAACACAAAACGGAGGAACACAACATGAATAAACATAAAATGGATGAACACATAACAGATAAACACAACTTGTTGAACATGAACGGATAAACACAAAACGAATAAACACAAACCAGCTGTCGAAACCTCATTCTCCGCAACAAAGCGACCTCACCTCCAATGCTAACTCCACATTCAAATGCATGCTGTTACATAATCCAAAGAGCGAGTCGACTCTATTGTTTGAGCTTTAGGGACTTCTAACCCCACACTAACTTGGGTTGGGGAATGTGAATTATTGACATTACAACTGATAAGCAAATACATTTCTGAAATAAAGCAAAGTACTCGTGACACTTGGTAAATCCAGCAGAGGAATTCACTTACCTGCCCCTACTGGACATTTGTAAAAAAGAGCTTTATAGCTCATCAGATTCCTCTTGTATAAATGTTCTGATTTGGATTGTGTTTGAGAAAACAAAAACCCCTCCAAGTAACAACATGACCTCACAGATAAATATTCAATATTGATTGTATACATGTAGAACCGTAAAGTAACTCACCGTGCTAATCAGAGGTGTGGGGGAAGGACAAACTAAACACAAAACGCATTGTTCAAGAAATGAGAGTGACTGTCTTTGTTCGATGGCTAGCCAGAAGCAGCTGCAAGGATGACCCAAGTTATAAAATTGTCTGGAAGGTTTCTAAACTGTAAAGCATTCCACCTCTCTTGAGAGAGTAGTGAGATTGAAAAAAAGACGAGGGAAAAATGTATTTAAATTTGTTTCAGGTAGAAGAATAAAAAAAGTAGGCATTTAGAACCAAGAGCAACAGAACAGCATGTACAACCAATACCCTATATATTATTCAAATTGATGCCAACCACAGAAGTGCGCTCCAAATGAGGCATTAAAAAAAAGTCAGTCTTGGAGATGGCTCTGAAGGGAATGGAAATCACTGGCGTGCGATAACTGGTGTATCTGCCTGGGAACGCCTGTGGGAAGATTCATACATGTATATGTAAACCGAATGAATGCATTTGGGAATTTGTTTCTCATTATAGGTTCAACATCGGTCAGCCATTGTCTATCCACTACCAGATGAAGGCCTTGCCATCTATACATGGGCTCAAGCCTCCTGTGAATCGCGTGACTTGAGTGGCCACTCCCACTTAATCTCTCCCCGCCCTCTGTGAAAACACACGCTGCTCTGTGCAGCTCTCACTTCTGGCCGCTCCTTCCTTCTCTCTCCCCACCTCTTACTTCCCCCCTCTCATCATCATCATCATCATCCCCTCTCATACCCAACATCTTCACCCGGTCATTCCTTCTCCCCTTCCTCTCCTTCCTGCTCAGCGCTCCTTTCCTCCCACTGATGATCTTGCTGGAGCCGTGCCCTCTGCCCGCCGTGGGGACTTCGATCCTGGAATCCCTTCCCTTTCCCTGTCATCTTGCCCCCCCACCCCCAAGTGCTGCCCCTTTTTGCACAACTTTCCTTTGGAGGAACAACAAGACAAAGCCACCCGAAATTTTGCACAGTGCATTTCTCTACTCCCATTCAAATCGGTGTATGTCTATTGAACTTCTTTTGCACCGTCGGTAGACAATCGGAGGTGTGGGAGAAGGCCAACAAACTCAAGTTTGCCCCAGACAAAGGGTTTATTCCACCCAACTGTTGGCTGTTGCCCGGAAATTCGTTGCTTGTAACAGGAAGGAAGTGAGGGTGATGTATGTGTACAGAATCATGAGATGTCTTTTTTTTTACGCGTTGCGTGAGCTCACACGTGCTAAGCTGCTGACAAGTATACAGCAGCTTGTATAGAATGTCAGAGTTGACAGGACAATCCATGCGCACTGCCTGTAGAAGTGTATAAGACGGAGGGGATCGGCATGGAAATTGTTAACTCACTCTCCAGCGTTGTGAAGACATCCTGCAGCGGCTTGCTTGTGTGACCGTTCTTCAGCGCGTACACGAACACGTTGTACTGCGTTGCCACCTGCAAACAAACAAACACCAAATAGTTAATTGTACGCAGCGCCAGCGGAAAACTTAATCGTAGGATTTCACGGTTCTCATTCTATATTTTATTTATTTCACGGTTGCCAAGCACAGGCCCCCCAAGGCCCCAAAAACGCCAAAGCGGCCAGCAACAAATAACAAGAAGACTCTCCAAGTTGTAACAGATTAGAGTTAACTCACTTCTAGTATTGAACTAGGTTACGAGAGCTTGAGTAAAGGAAACGATGGAAGGAAGGGAATTCTAAAGTGGAGCGGTGCAAGGGAAGAAGCAGAAAGATAAGTGCTGTGACCTGCAGTACGATGTGTATGCGTGCGTGAACACGACGACGACGACGACGACACAACCGTCACACGCTAGCGGCTCACCATGAGGCTGGGCAGTGTGAACGAATTGACGTCGGCCGGCACCATGTGGTCCCGGCTCGGTCCACTCTTCTCCCGCGGCGTCACCACCACGCGGAAGCCGCTCACTTCGGCCGAGGGCGGCTGCCACTGGATGGACAGGCTGGTGGAGGTGGCCTGCACAAGCTTCAGTGCCGTGGGTGGAGGGATGGCTGTGTAGGGGGGAGACACGGACAGCGGTGCCTGGGGTCAGTGTGTGGGGAAGGAGCTCTGGAGAGAGATTTGAGGCGGTGTGGGGTGCGCGTGGGATATTACAGAACGCTCTGCCTTGGTAGAATGTCTCGTTCTTTTTAGAAAATCGGAACTTTTTATGAACCTAGAAGCAAACGTCCATCGTCCCACCTATTGTACCAGATCTACAAATCCAAAAACAGTCTATGAAACTTAACAGATGACGAGTTGGTTTTTGCAGTCAATATTATTTGTTACAGATTTTTTGGGGTCTGGCCACATTATATCACCCAACCTAATAATCAACTATTAACCCTATTACAAAAATGTACATATAAATATGGAACACATTTAATTTGGTTATCATAGTTTATTCTTTGAAAATGCTGGACAGGTAATGCCAGACGTTTCATGCAATGCTCCCTCTGAACAGCAGAGATAAGAATCAATGTTGCTTGGCCATTTCCCACAATGTCGCCAAATATATATCATTTTCCTTTAAAGGTCCACGGTGTTTTTGACACATGCGCCGAGTTGGTTGTTGGGTGTTGCTTGCGCACCACTGCCTAGGCAATCTCACCAAATAGCTTGGTTCAAAGGTGATTCCAGGTTCCAGTCATTTAACTCTGTTAGAGTCACCTGTGCCGCTAGAGAGGGACATGGTTCACGAGATCCCTCCACCACAGAGACAGGAAGCTTCGGCGCACTCTGTCCACTAAGAGTCATTTGCACTAAAACTCCATTCCTGTTTGCCGTCAGCACAAAACGAAACGATGTCCTTGACGAGTGGCACGGACCCAACGGAGGCGACAACTTTGGTGGCACCAATGTATGTATGTATGGTATGTTAAACTTCTTTTGTACCCTTAGTTTTTTCGGTAAAGTCACGTTGAAGAGAAACAACAAAATAACAAAATATATATAAAACAATAAAAAATTCTCACGACGTTATGGTCGAAACGTCGTGAGAATTTTTTATTGTTTTATATATATTTTGTTATTTTGTGGTTTCTCTTCAACGTGACTTTACCGAAAAAACTAAGAATATGAATTACTGCAGTCACGAAAGCTTTAAATCAAAATTTCTTTTGTACCGTATCGTAGCCAACCGTGCAAATCGGAGATGCGTGCCAATCACCTCGTAACATACGCGAACTTAAAAACCAAGCTAGAGAGCCCGCTGAGGCAAAAGTATATTTAGCTATAAAACAGAATCTGTGCCAAATGAAACCACTCGGGGACCAGCAAGTATTATGCACTGCACGTGAGACGTGTGATGTGCAGTGCAGCTCCTGTACATTTTCACATGCGCGCCACTATTGGTCATGGTCACTCAACCCTTCACTTGGGCGGATAAAAGAAACACAAAAATAAACACGCACACACAGGGGCTACAACGCTATACAACAGGTGAGAGTCATCGACTGGTTCGCTTCCCAACGTAAAGCCGAACGGCAAAACTAAACACTTGGTCGTTAAAACGCGAATTATTTAATGTTTTTGGATGAGTCCAAGTATGGATTTCCACGATGGGACATGTGAAATGAGCATTTTTTCTCTCAAGCTTTTGCCACGGACCACTAAACCGACGTCCCCCATAGTCCGTATAAACCGACATGAACTGTAGTCCGTATTAACCTCCGTCCTCTGTTGTCCGTATAAACCAACGTGTCCCGTCGTCCGTATAAACCGACATGTCCTGTAGTCCGTATAAACCGACATGTCCTGTAGTCTGTATAAACTGACGTTCCCTGTAGTCCATATAAACCGACGTGCCCCAGTAGTCGTACCGACGCGTGGGTCTGTGGTGCGTGCGTGGCCGCGGTCGCGAAGCCTCACCGGTGGCCTGCGTGCCCATCAGCGGGAGGCTCTCCGTGTCGTGGTGGAGTGCCGTCACGCTGACCTTGTAGTCCGAGCCGGGCTGCAGCTGGGAAATGACGGCCGTGTCAGCGTCGCCGTCCGGCGCCGGCGACAGTGTCTGTGGCACGCCGTCATCCAAGGACTCGTAGAGCACACGGTAGCCCGTCACCGTGCCCTCCGGAGAGTCCCATGAGATGGACATTGAGTCCACGTCCACGTCCGTGAAGGTCAGGCCCTTGGGGGCATCGATACCTGGGGACCATCGACGAACAATGAAGAGGAGACAATCGTTGCTATCCACGCTCTTCCACAACAACGCTAATTATTGCGTTGAGCCACGTGTCATATCGTTTAGGATCCATATCTACCAGAGGGGTCCTTTCCGATAAACAACTGTCAGGTCACCAGCATTAGGTTTCAGCAAGCCTGATCCTGCCGATGAGATGACGTATGTCAAAACTGGCACAGAGTTTGGTTGTAGTCAAATTATTATGCTGGTACGATGCACTCCCAAGGGTGTGGGGCTGATGGAAAGTAGAAATCAAAAACAATTTTTTTCATGGTGCAACAAAACACGGGAAGGAGGCGTGTCATCTCTGTTTATTTACAATGTATGAGAAAGCTGGTCCCACAGATCGCATTACCGTATTTTCCTGCATATGAAATTGTCTCTGTGTTTGTATATGTGGATAGCCTCATTAACGAATCTCTCATGGTAGCCAGATGGCTTGCAGAGAACCTCTGTCTTGGAGAAGTCAATGTCATGTGAGCCTACTGAATTATAACAGTGATCCGCCATGGCCGAGGTGTTGGTCCTACCGTGTTTTAGGTCTGCTTTGTGTTCACGAATGCGGTCCGAGACATGTCGTTTGGTTTCTCCAATGTAACTACTACCACAGAGGCAACTTAGTTTGTAGATGCCAGGGTACTGTATGGCCGGAATCACATCTTTTACAGACTGAACCAGATCACGGATTTTATTGTTTCCCTTCTACGTGACTTTACCAAAAGAACCAAGAATATGAGTTATGACATGTCACACGTGTAAAATATTTTTGGGATAGCCCGCACCTCCATATACCCCACAGGGTCTTTGTTTTGTTTGTAAAAAGTGGTATACCTCGCGGGTTAGCGGGTTATATGCGGTAAAATATGGTAATCAGCGGATGCAGAATGCAACAATCATATCCAATCCTAACGCGACGGGCTAAAGACAGAAGTCCGTTAACGATAAACTCCCAGCGACCAAACCCGAACAAAACTCGCCTGTCACCACGTTCTTCGAGGCGGGCAGGCTCTCCCCATGGTCGCTCAAGGCGTACACATTCACCGCGTACTCCAGGGTGGGCAGCAGCCCGTCAATGGTGACGTCCGTACGGCCTGGGGGGGGGGGGGGACATGGGCCCATTGTCGCTCACAAAGCTCGCTCGACTGCAGCGCAAGAGCGGCAAGCGTTCGCAGTGCTGCCCTGTCCGTTACACAGGAATGTATTCACATTTTGATTTAAAGCTTTCGTGACTGCAGGGATTCATATTCTTGGTTCTTTCGGTAAAGTCACGTAGAAGGGAAACAATCAAATAATAAAAATAGAAAATAGGATATTTTTATTATTTTAAATAAAAATATCGTTACCGAAAGAACCAAGAATATGTATTCACATTGCGCACGTTAACCAAATCAAACCAATGGCGTGCTGTGCAATTGTTTAAAGTAGCATTGTGTGTTAACCGCTGTTGGCCAAATGACTTGGCAATGCTGTGAAGTTACACCGCACATTCACTCCATGTGGAATCTTACGGCCGCAAAAACGTGGCAGGATTCTCATGAAGAGTCTTGAGACTCGGTGAGGCTTCCTCGGGTAAACATAATGGCGAATTGCCCGATGATGCTGGATGTAATTACCAGCAAAACGTCGTACTCAAAAACTGTAAATGTTGTGGATTCACTCTTCAACACACCGGTGGGCTAAAGTAGTCAACTATTTGTCTTTTGTCAACGTGACACTTTTTTTGCTGATTGGCCGTGTCGGGTGGTGGAGGGTTACGACACATTTATAAATAACACGATCTAACCCAAAAACGTTTATTATGAATAAGGTACGAGTTTGACAATAAAACATTTTCCGTTTCCATTTATCTTTTATGTACTCTTTAAGTAAGGACTCCTAAAAACTGTCATTAAACAAACTAAAAAGCAGCATTATCGATAGTATACTTTACTATTCACATGCAAAAGTGCATTCTCCTGCAACTGCAAATGATATTTATATTCCAGATGATATTGACGAATTGCCAACTTCAACTCGCAACAAACTGCGTTAATCTTTGGTCAAGTAACCCACGAGACTGGCACGAGGCATGGGGGGAGGCCCTCATCCAGCAGTGGATTGACAGGGATGTGCCACGTGCAAAAACTGAGTTTTCCCACACTGATAATTTTAGAACAGGGGTCGGCAACCTGCGTTTCCGGAGCCATGTGCGGTGGCTCTTGAAGGACTGCTGCTTCGTGACCTTTATCTATTAAGGACCATCACCGTCTTATATTCACATTGCAGAGGTGTTGTATCGAATTAGAAAAAATATGATCTTGTTATATTGTTTGCCGAACCCTGTTTTAGACGGATCACCATTTGCAACAAAGCTCCTCAAAAGAAATTGTCTTAATTACAATAAAACTGTATTTGCCATAACTGGATCTTCAACAAATTGTGTCATTCACACACCAAATGGGCCTGGAAGTTAGTCGAGTCAACTTGGCTTGGAGGGATGTCTTTCAATATAAATACGTGATCTGTTACACGTTCAACGAACTTGGGCGTCCGACTGCGTCTCTCTTACCCGATGGAAGCTCACGTGTGTCCTGCGTGCCGCGGCCCGTCTTGGGGATGGAGGTCACACGATAGCCATTGATGGGGGCTTTCGAAGGCGCCCAGCGAATGCGGATTGTGCGATCGGTCACCTCCATGACTTCCAGGCCACTCGGAGTGTCCACCTCTGTGCCAGGAGCCGGTGCCGTACCACACACACACAAATACCCCCCCCATTATAGCCTTTAATAGAGTGTTGGGGCAAGTGATGTTAATGAACACCTATGAAGGCCGGCATGGCACACGAGGGGGTGGGTGGCCAGCACCACACCCGACCACCTTTGTCTCCCTAGTGGCGATGTTTACACATCGCACTAGGTACTCAATTGAGGCCGAGTTAACCGAGGGGAGGCCCAGGACCAGGTTCAGATAATCGTCACCTGGTGTTTGCCGTGAGCAGGAATCGAACACACACACATGCACCAAGTGGGATATACCTCCAAGCATTTCAATAACTTTCAGCGCTAACCTTATCCATGTGAGATAAAATATCGTTCTTAATAAGACAAAACTTTTATTAACAATGTTTAGTTTTTGATCGAGAGCCCTTTTCACCGGGGTATCTCAAAGCAACATCTCATTTCAAATATTTCAAAGGGCACGGAGGAGCTGCTGAGGATATATTGCTTCCAAGGGCACCCACAGTGGCAGCTATCCCTGTGGGCCCAAAATGATTGAGCATCTGCTCTGCAAGCAGGCATTAATCTGCCAGTAAGGGGGCAATCAGTGGGGGCCCATGTATGATGCCAATTGAGCGACCACGTGGGTTATATTTTAATTTGGCAAATTTGGGCCACGACGGCCTCCTTGTTTTGAATGACGTTACTGGATCTTTGACGTCCAATGTGAAGGAGACTGCTAATTTTTTGTCATGATTCATGGGGGGGGGGGGGGGGGGGTGGGGGGGCGGTAAAGTGCGAGTGCTCCAACCTCTTAGAAAAAAACCCCTCATAATTAATATTAAATAGCGTCATCGTTCATGCAAACTACATCTCACAATCGCCGGGGAATCACAGACAAGCTGGAAGACTGCCAGACGGCGAGCCAGAGCTAACAATTGCTTGTAGTTCTCTATATATTCAGATGTTTATAGCCAATTAGTGAGTATATATTAGAGCGAGTGTGGGAGGAAACATTGTCCTATCCACCAACCCTCGTGCTAGATTACAGACATGCACCACCACCGCCTGGCCAACTTGGAGAAAGAGTAGGCCAAATACCTTCTAGGGAGGGGCTTTCTAATTGTATGCAGAACTTATTTTGCACCGTACGTCGCCAACCATGCTAAATCAAAGGTGCGGCGGAAGGACAACAAACTAAACACAAAAATGAGCAGTTGAGGCTCCTCTGTCAAAAGTGGCAAAAACGAACAAATTCATCGGGGAGGGGCGGGGGGGGGGTTGCACTTGCACCCCCCCCCAATCACCCATCCCCCCGCCCTCACTGGCAAGGCCACTCACGAGTGCTCTCCGTCTTGGTGATGGGCTTGCTGGTGGCGGGGCTGTCTCCTCTGCCCGTGACGGCATACAGCGACACCGTGTACTCCGTGCCGGGCTGTAGGCCCAGGATCACAGCCGTGTTTCTCGTGCCCGGGATGGTGAGCTCTGCTGGGGGCCGCCTGCTGCCTGTAGCAACGACAAAGATCCCCACCCCCCCGACAGTATAGCCTTAACAGACTGTAGGAGCAAGTGCTGTTAGTGAATAGCACCCTATGAAGGCTGGCACGGCACACGAGAGGATAGGTGGCCAAGCACCACACCCGGCCGCCTTTGTCTCCATAAGTAGCGAAATTTACACATCGCACCACCTAGGGGAGGGCTCTGGATTGGTTTAGAATAATCGTCACTGGTTTTGGTGGCCGTGAGCAGGAATCAAACTTGGGTCAGCGGGTCCGTAGCGCGGCATGCTAACCATTGCACTGCCGTTTCCCACTGCTGCCTGTAGCCCACACACACAAAGATAAAGATCCCCCATATAGCCTTAACAGACTGTAGGGGCAAGTGCTGTTAGCGAGCACTTATGAAGGCCGGAATGGTACACGAGGGGGTGGATGGCCAGCACCACGCCCGACCGCCTTTGTCTCCCTAGTGGCAATATTTACACACCGCACCAGGTACTCATTTGAGACTGAGTCGACCTAGGGGAGGCCCGGGACCGGTTCAGATAATCGTCACTGGTGTTGGCCGTGAGCGGGAATCGAACCCGGGTCGCCAGGTTCATAGCACAGCGTGCTAACCGCTACACTACCGCTCCCCACACTCACACACAGACACACACACATATACCAACCAACCAACCGCCATTCGCCACTAAGTGGCGGTGACGTCACCACGACGCTTGTGCCAGGCCATGTGCACCTTGAGGCCACGTGAAGTGTCGAACGCCGGTGGGCAGGAAATCACGGGGCAGACCCAAGTGCCACGGGTCGACTGACTAAGATGACTGAGATGACTGGCTGATGCACCACCTGTGCCCCCTACTGTGCCAACCTGCTGTGCTTTAGCCACCTGGCGCTCCGCTCGTTGTTGTGAGCGTTCCTCCTCCGCCCTCTGTTGTTGTTGGAGGGCGACTACCTCCAACTGCCCAGTAGCGTCCTTCACGAGCCTCCTCCACAGAGGCCGATCTTGACACCGCTGGTACCAGTCATCGGCAAGTTCACTCACCTCCACGTCCTCCTGTACCACATCACTCCATCTCTTCTCTAGCCCGTGCCACGCCTGTTTAGCCCCCTCGATCCGGTTGAACAAAAGCTGTTTCGGCATGCGGTGGTTGGGCATGCTGGCTACATGACCCAGCCAACGCAGCCTTGCCTGCCGGAGGAGCTCACCGATGGGACCTTGCCCAGATCTTTCAAAGATTTGCGAGCTCCTCACACAATCCAGCCTGGTTAAACCCAGGATAGATCGTAGGTAGGCTAGTCTAAATGTTTTTAACCGGCGAAGATGTTCCATTAGGGGGGTCCACGTTTCGCAAGCGTAGAGAAGGGAGGGAATGACCGTGGCCGAGAAGACCTGAAGCTTAGTGCGGAGCGGCAGACCAGGTAGCTTCCACACAGCGTTACGCAACCGATGAAAAGATATTGCCGCTCGACTGATTCGGAGTGAGACCTCTGCTGTTAAACTGGAGCCGGTCATAAGCACACTGCCCAGGTATGGGCTGCTACGGACGTGGCAACACAAACACCGACGTCACCGAGGAGCCGACTGTGGAAGCAGCGGAAGGACTCCTCTCTCTCTCTCTCTCCCCCCCCCCCCACGGCAACTACGGGGACCTCGCTACACCAAGTCCGAACGCAGACGTGGGAGATTGATCACACAAGGACATGAAATAAATCTATTTCAGTTCATCACAGCTTTACCCCTGGTCAAAATTGCTCGCGCATAATCATTATCCTGTGAAAGTTATACAAATAGTTGAAATAACCAACAGCATGCAATTAGATACATTTCACTCGTACGAGGGGGGAAACACCCCACATTCTACACGGACAGATTGAACAACCGAATGGTTGTACCCACCATCTCCTGGCCAACTCACAGCTCAAGCTCACAATAACTGGTTATATATATAACATGATGTTTTAATGAATCCTCCAATTAATAATCCTGTTGGGGCATCTACACTAGCACAGCACCCACTCGTGTGTGGTTAGAATGGTGTGGAGCGCTGTACCGGTCTCCACGTAGCTCAGGCGGTAGTAGCGGACGCTGATTGGAGGCGGCGTCCAGGACACAGAAAAGGTGGTGGGTGACGTGCGGGTGATCACGAGGTCGGTGGGGCCGTTTGAGTCTACAACACACCATGTCCAATCGCATCAGCAGGACGCACCAGAAACAAAATCCCTGAGGACACGCAGCACTGACACACGTATAAAAGCCTTGAACCCTTTCCTGTTCCGAGACAACTGCAAGTTGCAGAGTGGGTGTCCCCCCCGTTCACCGCTAAATTTCACTTTGAGGCATAGCGCCACTGTTTTTAAAGACATTGCACTCACAGAAGAGAACAGTAGCGCTCACCATCGCACTCTATGATAGCTGGCACCCAACTGTGCCACACGCCCTCCCACATGGCCTTTTTACTTCTGATTCGTGTACGTCATCGGAACGGATTCAAAAGAAAAACTGAAAACGTACACGTACGTCATCGGAATGGGAAAGGGTTAAAGAGGCTTTTGGGGCAAGTGCTGTGAGCGCATAGCAGCACCTATTAGGGCCGGCATCGCACACGACGGGGTTTGATGGCCAGCACCACACCCGGCTGCCTTCGTCTCCCCAGTACTGAGGGGTTTACACGCTGCACCAGGTTTTAAGAAGGACTCTGAGATCTGGCTCTGCACCTCCCGAGTTCTCGATTGAACGTTGCATCCGACTCGCAAAATATGTTTCTCTAATAAATTGGCTTTGTTATTATTATATATTTTTTAGCCGAGTCGACCTTGTGGAGGCCCAGGACTGCTTCATATATGGCTGTGAACGGGAATTTAACTCAGGTCGCCAGTTTTGGAGCACAGTTCTTCAAACAACTGCACTACCGCTCCCCACAAATATAAGCAAAACAGAAAATGCACGGGTGCCTGCCTGGTCGTGTGGCGGACCAGGCACTGAAATTTGTCGCTCCATTCGGCCTCAGTTTCTGCTAGTCGCCGCTCGCAGTAACTCAGCTGGATCAATTAATTTGTGTTTTTTAATGAGAAAACCCTTCCTCGTGTGATGGGGTGAGCGACCACCAACTAGCGAGACTACCGGTTCTGTCCACTAGCTATCAAGTGTGAACGATGTAATATTTTAACTCATCTGGACAGATGATTGCGTGTGTGGGTGTGTTGGCATTGACATCACCTGCAGGCATAACTGTTCACCTACAGCTTCAAGGCAGTTATAGTTCTGGGTGCGGCCAGAGCATTAAACAAAACAAAAAATCTATATATTTTACCATATGAATCCGATGGCAAATTCCTTTCTCTCATTTGTCGTGCAAATTGATTTAACACATTTAATTATGACTCCATGGTTACATTATCAGTTCTTGCATGGCCTGGAATAAATAGACAGTAAGATACATCGAGAGGAGCGAACAGAATTTCAAACCCGACAGAAATTTTGCCAATAAGAAAAAAAACATTGAACATGATCAGGGGGCAACTCGCGACGACATCATCACGCCATGCGGTCACACCACACAACCACTTAAAAACACAATGCGATAATTTCAGCACAAACACGCACACACACAAAAACAAAGACTTTGTTCGCAAGCATTTCGAGGGATACTCCCTTCCACTGTATAAAAGTGAAAAGTGTATATTCCAATAGAAACGAACAGCCGTGGTGCATGCTGGGGGGGCTTGGCGGGAGGGGATAGGTGCAAGGGGTACACTACACCCCCCTTCCTCCGGGGATGGACAGGGGTTTATTTCTGCTCTGCGGGAGTGATTGGTTGAGGAGTTCACTGGGTGCGTTTAAGTGATCTTTGCTTAAGTGCTCCTCCTCTCTTCCTTCTCCTACCCTTTTTACCCCATTGACACCCTCGCCCCTCCTCCCATCCCCTTTACGCCCTCTCACTTTAGCTCTCTTCCTCCCTTGTCTTCCTCTCCCCATATAAGTGTACATGCTCCTGCCTGCGGCCTCCACCGAAGCGAGGCAGCGAGCCCAATTTCCTCTGCCCGCGAGTTCTGTCCGTGGAGTTTCTGTGCCCCCTCCCCCATGTTGCTGTTTGTGTTATGTACCAGGCTCACGTAAGGACAAAAAAAAAAAGAACAGAGCAGCCATGCCGCAACCATCCCCATGCTACGTGACGCGGTGTCGTGAAGACTGCGCATGTGCCGCCGCCGCCGCCGCCGGTGACACTCACTGGTGGCCTGGGAGCCGACGAGGGGCTCGCTCTCGCGGTGCACGTCGCGCCCGATGGCGTACACGCTGACCGTGTACTCCGTGCCGGCTTGCAGGCTCGCCAGCACGATGGAGGTACGCTCGGGCGGCACGCTGTCCTCCGCCACGTGGCCCAGCAACTGCGGGCCGTAGGCCACGCGGTAGCCCGACACGGGCGCGTTCGACGGCGTCCAGTAGACCGTGAAGGTCGAGTCCGTCACGTCCAAGAACTCCATGTCTGTCGGAGCGTCGATTTCTGCACGGGATTTAACGGAGACGATTGAATTAACAAAGACAAAGATCCCCCGTGTAGACTGGAGGCGCGAGTGCTGTTAGCGAGAGTGGCGTAAGAAGGGGTGATGTGGCCAGCAGCACACCCGGCCGTCTATCTCCCCAGTATCAATGTTAACGCACCCCACCAGAGACTCATTTAAGACGGAGTCGACCTTACCAGCAATGACGTTAGCCTTGGCCGGCATTCGAACTTAAGACTGGAGGTTTGTAGCGCAGAGCACTAACGAACTACACTACCACTCCCCACTGACATCAAAGATAAAGATCTCCCATATAGCCTTAACAGACTGTTGGGTCAAGTGCTTTTAGTGAGCACCTATGAAGGCCAGCATGGCACACGAGGGGGTGGGTTGGCCAACACCACGCCCGGCCATCTTTGTGTCCCTAGTGGCAATGTTTACACACCGCACCGGGGACTAATTTGAGGCAGAGTCGACCTTGGGGAAGCCATTGACCGGTTCAGATAATCGTCACTGGTGTTGGCCGTGAGCGGGAATCAAACTCGGGTCGCCGGGTCCGTAGCGCAGCGCGCTAACCGCTACACTACAGCTCCCCATTAGCGGAATAAGTAGATTTTGGAAGCTAATAATTACGATTAATAATATATATATTTGGGTAAGGCCACATAATCTGGTCAAATTCCAGTCACAAGACTCTCCACCACACCACGTAGCCAGACATATTACGTTGTCACGTCACAAAGGGTTTAACGTGCCAATTACTGTTGACTTCATGGATTTTATTCTGAGTTACTAGATATCTAATTTCTAAACTTGGCTGTGAGAATTATTCTTTAACTTACCAGTGAGCTGGAAGAATAACAATTGCCGCATTAAATGATTGTACGCCACGTGACAATTTAATTATTTGTCTTTTCGGGTGGTGGAGGACCTTACAATAAAAATTTGTCCAGATGATTATATGGCCTAACCCAAATATAAATTTTGAATAGTAAGGTTGACAGCATTAATGCATTAGCTCTGTCCAATTGTCCATAATGGGGGGGGAACTATATAACCCTCAAAAAATAATCCGATATTACTCACACTTTCGGACAGAGTTTTAAGTTGTTGCGGTTTGGGACTTAGATTGGTCGTAATTAAAAGTGGTGTACAAGTGGTGTACACATGTATGCATGTGTACGCACATGTATGCAAGTTTAACTTTTTTTGCTCCGTAACATTGCCAACTGTGTTAACCAGAGGTGCAGGGGAAGGACAAGAAAATAAACAAAAAAGTAGTTATTAAAGAAATTAGCTTGTCATCTATATTTAAAAGTGCATAGCTCCAATGGCTTTCGTTCTTTGATCGATGGTTAGCCAGGTGATAACGTGCAGGGGGAAGGGCCGCAGTACCTGTGCCCTGAGTTCCAGAGAGGCCCACGCTCTCGTGTCCTCGAATCACCGTGTGCACACTGACACCGTACACAGTGCCTGGCAGGAGACCTGGACACCGTAAAAAAAGCATGACATGAGCACTCTGGTAGAAAGGTGAAAATGCACGATTTTTTTGGGTTCGGAAAAAAAAAGCGTGGCAGTAAAACGTCCTTGTACATTTTTGGTGAATTGCAATAATTGGTATAACGAGCAGCACAGGGTTATTTTGTCATGGAATGGTAAAAAAAAAATCCCTCGAGGCCCTTTTCAAATTGGCACTCACTCGTGGCACAGATGTGGATAGGAATATACTTTCTGAAGGAATACAAAGGGGTTCTTAACCCTAACCCATTCCGATGATATACATCTATATCATATTTATCTCGATTTAGTTCCAATGGCGCACATTTAAAATAACTTTATCAGTACGTCTTCAGGTCAGAAGATGTACAGAGGCTCCCACAAGGCCATGTGGGAGGGCATGTGTACATGTAATGGCTGCCTTCACACCACGGTCACTCATCATTTCGAGTATATTTTTTGTGCGCCTTTCCTGTTCCGATGACGTAGGTGTACGTCATAAGTTTTTTCTTCCGATTCCGTTCCGATGACGTAAGTGTAGATCATCAAAACTGAACCGGAAGAAAACCTAAACTAAAATAACTTTATTGGCACCGAGGCTCCCACAAGGCCATGCGGGAGGGTGTGGCATAGTTTAGCACCAGCTATCGTAGAGTGCGGTGGTCATGTCACTCAGTTCTCTGCGGGGAGTACAATGTCTTTAAAAACAACGGCGCTACGGCCTCTCAATAAAATGAATGCCGAACCGCTTGCGCGTCTTGAGATTCAGCGGTGAACGGGACCACCCAGCAGCTTTACCTGTCAAAATAACCTCCAACTCATCGGGTGTGGTGCTGACTTCGGACAGCAAATCCTCGTGGCGCAGTGGCGAGTAGCGGATGAGAAAAGATTCCGTCGTGGAGATTGGAGGCGCACTCCAGCTCACACGGAAGCTGTCCAGCTCTACTTGCGTGAAACGCAGGTCTGTTGGCGGAGGCACAGCTGCAAAGACAAATGCACAGATCGGTGAAATTTTAAAGAGTTGCGAAACAAGCGGGGGCCCCGATTCCCCTCATTTCCTCCCCCCCTTTCGTGCAGTTCCGTCGCGACGGAATGGATTACCGTGGATTTTTCTGTACCCCCCTCCCCCCTCCCGCCCCCCCCCCCCCCCCGTTGCCGGACTTTTTCAGCGTGCTGTTATCGGGCTCTCGTTTTGTCGAAATAAAAACAAAAAATTACGAAAAACGTTACAAGGCAAGGAAAGAACACAATTAATACACCAGTGACAAGTTTCAGATAACATTACATTCATTTGGATCAGTGACAAAAAAAGTTAACAATGCTGCTTTGATGATGTGGAAGGGGGACCCCCACAGTGAAATTAAGAACATGAAAGCTCAAATTCACGCAAAAGGGAGGTAGATTATTTTAATATAAAGTTATCAAGCAAGGGCACAAAGGCTCAGAATGGCTAGTAGTCAGCAACAGACATCACTACCGCTGTTGTAACAGATTCAGAGATAATACACATTTATTGAATTGAGCAACGTTATAAGAGCAGGGGAAAGGAGACAATGGGATGGACATAAAGCACCTTAGTCTAAGGCGCTTTACAATTCTAAAAGTGTACATTAGATGATAGTGGTTGAGATAAAGAGTGGGCTTATTAATAGTGGTGGTGTAGTTATGGGTGACAGGAGAACAGGTGGGAGTGGTTATGGAGTGGTAGGGATAGTGATAGGGGATGGGGTAGTTGTCGGGGTTGAGGTAGGCCTAGTCGTAGTTGGTGGGGGCAAGGAGTTGCAGTAGGATGTGCCCGGGATAAGAGATGGGGGTTTAATGGAGGAACAGAACCAGGTTGGTGAAGATGATTCTTCAGTGAAGATGAATGTGTTGTGCACTGTAGTGTGATGACTGAGTGGGTGAACCGAGTGGGTGAACGAGTTGTTGTGACCTGCAGTGTCGTGGTTGTACGCAATATGAATGAGACCAAACAATTAGTCTGGTAGATTCAGTGCTTAACATTGGTGGAGGAATCAACGAGTGACATTGCTTTGTTGCCCTTTGTCAATCCACTGCCGAATGAAGGCCTCATCACACCGTGTCGGTGGTGGGGTTGATTTTGAAAGGGATGGTCCCGGGAGCTGTTCAAATACTGCTCACCACTCATGTTTAAATACCACTCACCATGAATGTTAATCGTGGCGTGTCGTCGAACTCCAATCGCCGAATTAACATTAAAGTCCGCTAAATGCAGGTGCCACCGCTCCACCCAGTTTCCACTTCAGATAAAAAAAAACCCCGAGGCCTTCTTTGCATTAACGCTCAGTCACAGTTGCCAAAGGCAGAGACGTACAGCGGTGAACGAGTCGTTACCTGTTGTGAGGGTAGTGGAAACAGCAGTGCTCTCTGCTACGCCCTTCACGGCCGTGATGGTGATGTTGTACTCCACGCCGGGGGTGAGGCTCTCCAAGGTGAGGGACGTCTGGTCAGGCCTCACGACTTCATCCAGGGCGTGGCCTCGCTGCCCGTGGAGGGGTGTCCCACGCACGCGGTACCCGGTCAGGCCTGGTGGGGGGGGGGGGTGTGAGATACGGCAAGGAGAGAGAAATAATATCGGTGAACAATTGGCTCAAGGGGGCAATTGCTTTTACACGATTACAAAAAATGCAGTTAAATTGTATTATGAAGCAATTATCGAACAGCAACGGTTGAATTTCAATTTCAATGAGTAATTCAGAAAAAAATAGTTTTGCATACTCAGGGCCACGATTTAAAAAAAAAACAGTTAACCATCAACGTTAAACCTCTTAAACAAGATGTGCCGACCCAATGAGAAGCGTATACGGGCAGTCCCCGAGATACGAATGTCTGACTTACGATTATCCTCACAAACAAACCGCCATGAGACGTTATTATTTTTAACCATGCAAATTGCAAACGTTCGGTCGTAACTTGCGAACCTGAACCGCCAAACTATTTTGTCCGGCGGAGCGATCCTCCGTGAGATGTAAAGAGTCCCAGTATCCCGCGTGATACACGACAGTTCAACTCAATGGAAGTGAAAACAAAACTATTTTTTTTCCTTTTCATGTTACTCTCTTTTGTTTTATGTTTAATTTACTATACATTATTTATTACAGTATTACATGCAAGTGCACAATATTTTTTCTTATTTATGAGTTCAACAATGCTTCCCTTTTTTGTTGAACCATAACACATTTCATCACCACTCACCGTATGTACAATTAAACATAAGTTCCGAGGTATCAACAAATCACAACCAAAATCATAAGTCACGGCCTGCCTGTATATTCATATATACATCTACACATCAGTTCCATACATACATAAGTTCGACACAGGATGTAGCTCATATCCCCGTTCAGCTTGATGTGGACTGGTTAGAGCGGCAGGTGCTACCTGGTATGGAGACTCTCTCCCATGTGATGGTCACTTCTCCACTCTCGGAGCTTGAGTCCACTTGCAGATCCTTTGGAGGGGTCACAGCTGGGCATGGGAAGAAAATAAATCGTCAAGGACCCATTATTTATTTCAATATTTTGTCTTCCTAACTTAGGACTTTCAAAAGCATCATGCATTAGGATCCATAAGAGGTTTTTTTGGGTTAGATCGCGTAAATATATAAATGTGTCGTTAAAACCCGCCACCACCCAACACAGCCAACTCGTAAGGGTTGTCACGTAAACAGAACGTGGCCAATTCGTCACTAGTACAGCACACCGGTGTGTTGGAGAGCCAAGCCACAACATTTACAAACCGAGTACGACGTTTCGCCAGTAATTACAACCAGCTTCATCAGGCGACAGACAGATTTGTGGAGAAGTCTAACTGTTTCGTTCCTTATATAGAGGCGTAGATGTGGTGACCACGCGTGCCAACAAGGACGCTCAATTGATATCGATGTTGAAGTTCTGTACAAAACTAGCGACTACTGGCTAAGACTAATTATATAACCTATCGGAATTGAAAGAAAGAAAAATAATCTGTAGGGAGCTCACCGGTGCTGTGCGTGTGGTGGGTGGGCTGGCTCTCTCCGTCTCCCGCCAGCGTGGTGACGCCAAAGTCGTACTGCACGCCGGGCTGCAGCCCCGAGAAGGTGTAGACGCCCGTATGGGGCCCCACCGTGTCCTCGGAGAGGGCCTGGGACTCGCCGGGCAGCGAGATGGACACGCGGTAGCCCGTGATGCCGTCGCGGCGCAGCGGGGTCCAGCGCAGCACGATGGACGTGTCGATCGCTTCGTCGGCGTGCACGTCCTTGGGTTTTGGGATGTCTGGCGGGTCGAAACAAAAAAGGGAGTTGGGGAAAAAAAAAAACATCACGTGCGTTAGAGTGCACGCATAGTTACAGAATAATAATAGCTCTCCGTCTTGGGCCACCCGCCTCGTCTACCGCTGCCGCCACGGCTACCGTTGCTGTGAAGTTCGCTCAACCGATTCCTCCACCCATGTTGAGGACCCGGTCAAAACTTGTAATGGATGAGACAGAGAGAGAGAATGCGATGGAGTTTGACTAGAGCAAGATGGCGAGAGCTTTGGAAGAGGGGAGATGCAATGCAACTGCAACGTCGAGAGAAGCGCCGTGACCTGCAGTGCGGTGGTTGAACACAGCATGAGATGAGAGACCAAAATGGCCAGTCGGGTGGATTGGGTCCTCAGCATGGGCGGAGGAATCAAGCAACGAAGTTGACGCGGACATTACGCATGGTAGTAGCAACAGAAGAGTGATAAGGAGGTGTGCGTGCGCCCCTACTCCGATGCTCATACGTTTGTGCTCCCCGCCGCCTTAACAAACCCACACAGGCCAGGATGGGTGAACCATGGTTCAACAATCCGCATCACCTGTATGGCACGGGGAGAGCCTCATCCAGCAGTGCATTGACTATGGGGCTAAACATGTTCTACAGTTATCACACACCGACGACCCCATCATTGCGTCACACGACATTGATCTGCCAAGAAAATTATGGTGCTCAATCAACCGCTTCAGAAGAGCAACTGGTCGCTGCGCCACACACCTCCTCCACAAGTGGAGAATTAAAGACAACCTACAGTGTGACTGCAAAACACCACCCGAACCAGGCAATGGAACACGTATCTCAAATAACTGCATCCTACGCCAGCTCTCCGGCAGACTGAGCAGTATTAGTCGCGCAACTCTTGAAGCTATAGCATAGCTCACAGACTTAAACTTGTACGTGTGATTTCCACATACTTGCCATATGCTAGAGAGAGAGATAGTTATCACACAATGCTCCTTTTGATGATGCCTTGCAAAAAAAGTATCGATTTGGTGTTAGAACATCTTAACCACCTGTTTTATTCCAAGAAAGGGTAAAATCCATTCTTACGTTTCATCATTTTTGATACCGCCAAAAAGGTCCCATAGATATAAATGCCCCTTTTTGTTTACAAAATCGTAGCTTCACCATTGGGGAAAAAAGCGAGTCTGGCAGAGGAACAATGATGAGTCTACGTTTCCCCGGTGCCCCTTGGCTAAACGAACGAAGTTGCAAGCGGTGCAAAGTTTGAAGAATAGGTTTTACCCTTTATGGCATTAAAACAGGTGGTTAAGATGTTCCACCACCAAGTACGTGTGGTTAATGCAGACTTGATCCTTGAAAAAGGTATCTATTTGGCATTTGAACATCTAAGTCAAGATCTTAACACCTGTTTTATTGCCAGAAAGAGTAAGAGTAAAACCATTTCTTATTTTTCACCATACTTTGATACTGACAAAAAGGTCCCATGATACGGTGTGAAGTTTTGTTAACGCGCAAAGCTCCCGAACCTGTGGTGATCGTTGTTGACACCGGAGGACTCTCCTGGTCATCTACGACGGCCGTGATGGTGATGTTGTACTCCACGCCGGGGGTGAGGCTCTCCAAGGTGAGGGACGTCTGGTCAGGCCTCACGACTTCATCCAGGGCGTGGCCGCGCTGCCCGTGGAGGGGTGTCCCACGCACGCGGTACCCGGTCAGGCCTGGAGAAGTAAACATTCAGGGTATCAGCGAGTTTCACTCTCTTTTTTTTAAAAGACGTTTTCGCTTTGTTCAGAAGCCAGCTTTCGGGAGGTGTTGGTGGCGGTTGTACTGCGTATAACTGGGTGGTGACAATATCAGCAAAAACAGGTAAATTAATTCATAATTATTTTAGGATCTTGCACTACAACATTGTTCTACTTTCTCTTTGAGATAGGCACATTCAAACTTTGTAACTGCTGGTAAAGTATATTTACTGTGAGCTTGAAACTGGACTTTTCTATGTATATAAACCATCAGTTAGCAAAATTGTGAAACTAATATGAGACAAGATACCTGTGAAATTATCCCACATGAAAGTGATGTGACATATAGAAACATCGTTTAAAAAGGTGACAAATGAACATCAGTAAAACCTTACCGGACCATAAAAATACAATTCAACTTAAAATTAGCAATGAAAAAGGGTTATTCCAAAAAGTTTAAAAAATATGTTTTACAAACATTAATTCAAAATATTGAGCATGTTTGCTGTAGAATATAGATGTCAGATCATCCTTTTAATATATCTGCTTTATTATATTGCTATCTACATTCTCCACAACAATGCTAGCGATTATTTTGAGTTACGTATCGGAAAAGAGGGCCTTCCCCCCCTCCTGCCGATACGATCGGCAGTTCACCAGCATTGATTCAAGCGAGGCCGACTCAGCTGATGAGACACTGAATGTCGAAACCGGTCCAGAGTTTGCTTGCCGTCAATTAATGCTGCTGAAATTATGTACTCCCAGAAGGCAGTGCGGCCGATGGGTTGTGTAAGAAATTAATAATCCATAAGGACACTGCTTATGGATTATTTATTATTGTTGTTTAAAAAAAAGAAAAGGATTTTTTAGACGTAAGAGGGAAACTATTCTAGTACATTGGTAGCTAGTGCTGCTTATAACTGGATAAAATCCAAAAAGCAAAACATTCTCAGAGTTTTGTCACATCTCGCCTTAGAACCTTTCCCCATTTCATCTTTGTAATAGTCTTAACCTATTTTTGTAAAAAAAATATTTTCATTTAAGATTTTTACATATGTAGCATAGACTCAAGAATGTGTTTAAAATCATCCATTGATAGCGTTTGGCATGTGCCAGCACAGCTATGTTTTTTAATGACCACGTAAAATAACAGAGATGTTGTAATAATGTAGTGCCTGAGTGATGCTGTGGCGATACAGTACGATCTTGGTTGGAAGGTTGGATGTCCCAAATCCTTGTTGAGGGTTCTCTTAGCCAATCATCTCACCACAATCAAAACGCATACAGTAGTCCCTCTGCTAATGCTATTAATCCGTTCCATGAAAACGACTGTAAACCGAAATAACTGTTTATCGAATTCACTTACAAGTTTAAAAAGTAAAAAGCACTTGAGTCTGCAAGAGAGAACGTAATGTAAACAAAGCCAGTCGAGGCCTAAACGCTCATGGATGGGTGTCGCTGATTGGCCAAGGGCATGGTTCGGCCCCACTTACGAGCGCTCGGATTGGCCAAAATTGGCGCCCACGTGGATAACAAACAAATCGTTAGTCAGAATGTTAACGTTAATTGAAACCATGGGGTCACTATGGGAGGCGAAACGTTAACCGAAAACCGTGAACTGATGTCACTGTTAACCGAAGGACTACTGTACCATTTTGTGCAAAATAAAAAGTGGCTCTCCCATGGAGAGACCACTCCCTGCCAGAGGAATGAGGAATTCCCACCAATAGCAAAGGCTCGCCAACATATACCAGCATCGACTACTCTTATTTGCACACGGAAATATTTCAAAAGGCTTTACCTGGTATCGTCACTCTGTTCCATGTGATAGTGACTTCTCCAGTCCCCGATCCAGTGTCCACTTCAAAATCCTTTGGTGGATTTATAGCTTAACGTGAAAAACAAAGCAAGACAAGACGTGTTTAAAAATCACACACCACCACCAACAACAACAACAGATGCCATTCGCCACTCAGTAGTGAAGATGTCACCACGGCGCTTGTGTAAGCCACGTGTACTCTGAGGTCACGTGGCATGTCGAAGGATCGTTGCTGGCAGGAGGTCATGAAACCGATCCAGGTGCCATTTGGTGACAAAACTCTGTTGTCAAGAACAACACTAAGATGATGGAAAGATGCCTGCTGAGAATCTGCTGCATCTTCTGGCCAAACAAAATCCACAACATCGAACTGTACAAGAAGACCGGTTGTCCTATCACATGAGACATCAAGAGATGACAACTCAGACATGTACTCAGAATGGACCAGGACCGTACACCAAAAATTGGCAAAAGATGGACATCACCGGGAAAAAGGAAACCTGCGAGACCCAAGACCACCTGGCGCAAGACCGTGAAGGATGAGCTGGCAGCAGCGATGAACCCCTCTTGGGGCGGGGCTCAACATGTTGCCAAGGACAGGAAGAGGTGGAGGGAACTAAATGCGGCCTTATGGAGGATGAAGAGGATAAACTAACACACAAAACTCTACAGGTACAACACGTAGCCCAAAACCATTTTAAGTATGGATCCAAATGCGAGTAGCTGCTCAAACATGAAGTTGGAATCGTCATCATCGTCATGTAAAACCAAGTCAAAGCCCAATGAAAACACAATTAACTTGTTCAAGAAAGTGGGTGGCAAAGCAACAGAGTAAACATGGAAAAAGATCTGTCGTATATGTCATATAACTCCAGCTCAAAACCAAAGATGCAAGAGCCATGAACAAAACAACATTGTAAAGTTGAAATATACAACTTAATTTTCATTAGGGAACGTTTTAATTATATTACAAGGTATAGTTCAAAAACACAACGACAAAATGAATCCACATTGTCCGTGAGAGAGTGAATTAAAGAACAGTTGTTAGGCATAAAGAAAGTGAAGTTATTCCACGTGCAAGACATGTCAGGGCAAAGAGGAAGATTTTCTAAAAACAGCCCAGACTCTGGGAATTTACCACAAAAACACTGAGACCTGTCTGAAAAATTAATGTGGAATTGATAAACCCGAAAGACTTCATAAGTGTCTTAAAGATACATTTATACCAGTGCACAGACCTCTCATCACAACGGGAAGCTAGCCCCCAGGCGAATTTCTGAGGTCACACGGATGGAGAGAGTGGTTCTCTCATAAAAAATTAAGTGCAAAACTGAACAGAGAACCATGGCCAGAGGAAATTACAACTGCACTGTGTGCCCAAGTGTCAGACTCGTGTCAGACCATCCTCACCGGTGCTCTGCGTGTGGTGGGTGGGCTGGCTCTCTCCATCTCCCGCCAGCGTGGTGACTCCCACGTTGTACCTCACGCCGGGCTGCAGCCCCGAGAAGGTGTAGACGCCCGTATGGGGCCCCACCGTTTCCTCGGAGAGGGCCTGGGACTCGCCGGGCAGCGAGATGGACACGCGGTAGCCCGTGATGCCGTCGCGGTGCAGCGGGGTCCAGCGCAGCACGATGGACGTTTCGCTCGTGTCCTCGGTCTGCACGTCCTGGGGTTTGGGGACGTCTGCGGAGAGCAAGGGGTGGCAGCGCTCGTGAATCCCGAGTGACCATCGTCAGAAGTGCCATCGTTTATGCGGCGTACAAAAACTGGCAATGGATGGAGAGCAACAGGAAAATAAAAAAGTGTGTTGTTTGGAAAAATGGAAGGAACCCAAAGCAGAGGAAGATCTCACAGAGAATGGCTTAAAATTGACATCATAAGAGATTGGTGCAAGAAAGATGTGGCACTACTTGAGCATATTTTCACAAGACAGAGGAAAGTGGAAACCAATGACAAAATGTGCAGTGGACACCTACGGGCTATCTGCCCATGGATCGTGATGATGATAATAAAACATTAGTACAGATTGGGTCACTTAATGTATCTCAACATTTATTGATGTGACTTGAGGTTCGAATTGTGTCATGCAACCGGGGGGGGAGGGGGGGGTGAAAGGTAGACTTCATTAAATACAAAACTAAAATAAAAATCAAATCGCATTCATCAACAACACTGCCTTAAAATAAAAAATATATATAAAACTGGTGACAATGGCCATTCTTCACAGCAGATCACATGTTTTAGCAAATGGGCATCATGGTGGCGAGATATTAACTATCTTGCCTTGTATACAGGAGCTCGTGGGGTTTGATCCCAACCCTGACACCTGTATATTTGGAGTTTGCATGTTTACCCCGTGGTCATTTTTTCTATTTGGTTCCTCCGGTTTATCCCTCCACAAATCAAATCGCATTCATCAACAAAAAAAAATATTTATAAAACTGGTGACAATGGCCATTCTTCACAGCAGATCACATGTTTTAGCAAATGGGCATCATGGTGGCGAGATATTAACTATCTTGCCTTGTATACAGGAGGTCGTGGGGTTTGATCCCAACCCTGACACCTGTATATTTGGAGTTTGCATGTTTACCCCGTGGTCATTTTTTCTATTTGGTTCCTCCGGTTTATCCCTCCACATTTAAAATATGCGTTTAGAGTATTTCACTGCTATCAATTTGCACGCGATAAGCCACTTAGTTGAGCTATCATTTTGTGGCCAGGTTGCTTTTTAAAAAGAGCAATACAGCTCAGTGGGCCTTACCCGGTAATAGAAAAAAAAGTTTTAGTTTTATAGTTTTTAATAGTGCTTGTGCACCACAGCGTCGCCAACATTTCTATTCTATTGTAGTCTATTAAAGGCATTTAATTTCTAAACATACATTCCCGCACGCTATGACACAAAAAACACGGCGATCAAGGGCATGTTCGTCCACTACATTTGCTCAATAATAATAATGAAACAATAAAAAAACCATAGCAAATACCTGCGGTAAGAGTTGTGGAAAAGGGATTGCTCTCCAAGTCGTCCTTGACGGAGGCGATGGTGATGTTGTACTGTACTCCGGGCGTGAGGCTGTCCAGCGTGAGCGACGTCTGGTCGTACCTCACCAGCTCGTCCAGCCAGTTGCCCTGCTGCCCGTTGAGCGGCACTCCACGCACGCGGTACCCCGTGAGGCCTGGAGAGACAAAAAATATTGGGGGAAGGCGCGTGTGGGATATTTTCTTTGCTAGTATAGAATTGATGACACGACAAGAATAGGTTTTTACCTCCTTTCTGGCAATAAAACAGGTGAAACACTGGCAAAAAAAGGTCACCATAGATATAACTGCTCAACCCGAGTTGTAAATGCTCTGATAGTGGCAGTGTGTTTGCACTGTTTGCCTTTTGGCGTTCTTTGGCCTGACACTGGTGAGACTAGGCCATAAAGAATGCTGTCTCTAGTGTAGGCCAATCAGTTTCAAAGACGATGCAGATATCGGAGCACGTTTATTTGCATATTTTACCACAAGTGTGTGGTTAATGCAGACTTTATTCCTTGCAAAAGGTATCTGGTGTTTGAACATTTTAACACCTGCTCTTTTATTTCCAGAAAAATGGTAAAACCTATTGTTATTGTTTCATCGATTGGAAAGATGTGCACCGGTTGTACTACACGTAACTCGGGAGGACACAAGCGGTCTCTCGCTAAGGGTACTACTATCAGTATATCCCACTTTGAAGACAGAATGTACTTGCGAAGATGTGCTTAATTCGATCGATAAGAAAGTTTGATTTAAATAAAAGCACAGCCTTACGTTGGTTTACATTTTAATATAATTCCATCAATTTCAGATGTACATAAGTTGCAAAAGTTGGGGATTTCATCAAAGACATGACCATTTGGATAATCATTGGACAGCTACATATTCCAAAGGATGCGCACACATGACATGGCCTAGCAGTAGCACATTCGGTACTTGTTGCAGAGGATCACCGTTCAAACGAGGCGGGCCGTCTTGGTTAATACAGTGGATCCATTAACCAAGGACATATGCGCCACCTACATCGCAGTGAAAGTTAAAGATCACGTGGCGTTGTTGAAATAGAATAGGCGTATGGTGTGCGCTGTATCATGGTCCAAATTTGTCAAATTCGAAATATTACCTGAAAATTCCTCCATCAGGAAACCAAAGGCACCCACCGTCCATTACCAGCAGACTAACGCCCACTTGCAGGTCAGGTTCTGTACTAAGTAACGTTTTGCCGCATGGGAACAGCTGCCGATGGGGGAGCCCCTTTTCAAACGTCTCGGACGAGGCGCGAGTCGTTTAATCGCATGCACAGCACTCAAAAAGGCGCCCGGACGTGAATGGCAGATAAGTATTTATTTATTAAAACTCACCTGGCGATGAAACTCTCTGCCACGTAATGGTGAGTTCACCGGTTTCATCGTTTGATTCCACCTTCACATCCCTGGGAGGGCCCAGCTCTGTTGACAGACGCACACGTTCGTGGGTGAAGGCGCAAGAGCATTTTTGCCCGTGTGCTCCGCGGCACGCATCCCGATAAAAGCATAGCAGCGTTTTGGCGTCTTTACAATGAGCGGTAAGCGTGGAGCCCTGGAACTGGTTGTCGACGATCCCGATGGCTGTATGACCTCATCTCGCGTGAGCTCAAGGAAGGTGTTTCTTTTGGCCTACCCTTCCCACACTGGCCAGACGTCTTTAAAAGTTGTGGAGGTATCCACACTTTACCCCGCCTCACGTGATATCCCCCCCCCCCTCCATTTACACCACTGGGTAGTCAAGAGATGAGAGGGGGGATTTAAGGAGATGGGGGTCATTGTTTTGATAGCCACACCGGGAGATCGAAACAAAGCGGTGACCTCTGGAGTGCATTTCCAGTTACACCACCGCACCAGCATCCATTCACATCCACGTACGTGACTTTACCGAAAGAATTAGAGTGCATTGATTCCTGCAGTCACGAAAGCTTCAAATAAAGATTGATATTAAACAAATAAAGTAATAATAATAATTTACACTCCTCGAGCGCCTTTAACCTGGAGGTCACAAGGCGCTGTACAAAACAAAGACAAACAAAGGCAAAGATTTCCCCGTGAAGCCTGAACAGTCTGTTGCGGCAAGTGCTGTTCGCGAGCACCTATGAGGGCCGGAACAGCACACGAGGGGGTGGGTGGCCAACGCCACGCCCGGTCGCCTTCGTCTCCCCAGTGGTGATGTTGACACACCACGCTAGGTACTCATTTGAGGGCGAGTCGACCTAGGGGAGGCCCATGACCGGTTCAGATAACTGTCAATGGTGGGTTCGTAACACAGTGAGCTAACCACTACCGTACCACTCCCCTGCACAAAACAACAACCCACATTCGCCACTAAGTGGCGGTGACGTCACCACGACGCTTGTGTCAGGCTATGTGCGACACTTCACATGCACAAAACACACACACACAGGCTTACACGAATAAATCTAACCCAAAAAAACATGTGGGGTGGTGGGGGGGGGTGTTAGCAGACTGAGCGTCCAGCGGCAGTGAATTACATAGCCCGGGGCCACGTGAGGAGAGGCCAGGTGGTCACCCATCATCGTCGACGTCGTACAGAGACGCGACCTCGGTACACGCACAACGGATCAGACTCGGAAGGGCGAAAGTCCTCTTGTTGGAAACATATATGGGTAAAGGAGGTCCTGTATATGTGCAATGTAATACAGCAATCCCCGACCAACAGCTGGGGTGGCGAGATGTTAACTACCTCGCCTGGTATAGAGGAATTTGCGGGTTTGATCCCGACCCTGACGCCTGCTGTATATTTGGAGTGTGAATGTTCTCCTCGTGGTCGAGTGGATTTTTCTATGGGTCCTCCGGTTTTACCATCTGCATTTATAAACATGCGTTTAGAGTATTTTTCTGCTGTACATTTCCACATAAGCCACTTCATTGATTTATCGCTTGTGGCCAGGTTGCTTCTATAAAAGAGCTATATAGCTCAGTGGGCTTTACCTGGTAAAAAAAAAACAATTATTTAGTTTAGTTCAACCGCATTTTTCGCTTCCACGGTTTGCCAATTTCCTCACTGCGGTATGGAGTTTTGCGTCTCCGCAGTTTAGCACGGCAACCGGTACTTGTAATCTTAAATCACCCCGCATCGATGTTCTCTCCATGCATCGTCTACCTCCCATCTCCCACCACAGCTCTCTTCCCACCACCACCAGGTGCAGGGTGGGCAAAGCCCCTCCTCCTCTTCCTTCTAACAACCACCTCCCACATTACCTCATCAAAGTCATCAACATGGACTTCAACCCTCAGTCTTAAAAGTTAAATAACATTATTTTATTGTTTTTTAACCTGTTATTTGAACATTTATTGTTTAATATTAATGTTGGCGTCTATTTCATTTGTGTTTGGTGACAGAACGGGCAACATAGTTAGGCTTTGACGAGTGTGACCACTGCGGACACGGTTGCCCTAACCCTCCATTTCCCACAAGGCCTTCGTATAGCCAACCACGGCAGTTTTCAGGATGTTGTACGTGCATTACAGAACCGTTACACGACCATTGCAATTATATAAAAAAAATTCCCCATTGGTGCGTTTTCCCCATCTGTTAAACATTGAAAATCCCACTTGAGTGTCCAAAATCACCAGTGGTGTGCGAGCGCCGTGCAGGTTCACTCTCCCCGTCCTCCACCAAGGTGGAGACCCCAATATCATAAACCACGCCGGGCCGGAGGCCTTCGATGGCGTAGACCCCCGTGCGAGGCCCCACGACGTCCTCAAGGAGGGGCGAGGAGTCGCCCGGCAGAGACACCGTCACGCGATAGCCCGTGATGCCAGGCAGGGACAGCGGGCTCCAGCGCAGCACCAGAGAGGTGTCGCTCACGTTGGCGAAGCTGAGATCGAACGGCTCAGGCAGGTCTACGGCCAGCCAGCCGGCCGCAGCAGCAAGCAAAGCGAAAATCAGGATAAGCAAGCGCAGATTAAATGCAGCCGAGTTAGACGAGCGCAGAACAGCAACATTATTTCCAAGCGCAAAGCCGATGGCGACAATTAACAAACGTGCATCATTTGATTTTTGATTTAAAGCTTTCGTGACTGCAGGGATTCATATTCTTGGTTCTTTCGGTAAAGTCACGTAGAAGGAAAACAATAAAATAATAAAAATATAAAACAATATTTGTATTATTTTATTGTTATTTTATTAATAATAAAAATATAAAACAATATTTGTATTATTTTATTGTTTTCCTTCTACGTGACTTTACCGAAAGAACCAAGAATGTGCATCACTTCGTCAAGCATTCCAAAGCAATACGTGGTTTTGTTGGTCAAGGTTTAGTATAAAACTCACTGAGAACAACGGTTATGTTTTAACCACTGCACATAAATACAGGCCTTGCAATAGTGATGGTAAATGGGGAGGACGTTTTCACTTTCAATGAGGGCCTCCAAAAAATGTCATGCAAAGCTTTTGGAATTAAATGGATTTAAAACGAATTTTGATCAAATGATCACTAATGTAGTGGATTTCATGCACAAATGTAAATACGTATTCATATATACAGTATAACTCCGGCTATCCGTGGTCTGGTTATCCTGGGGTTGGCAGATCACAGATCGCTCTTCCAGTTATCCGGGTTCTTTATCGAGCTAAATGATTTTTTTCACTGCACTCAATCCCCTATGGAGTTAGGGTGCAGCGTGGACCTATAAGTTCACTGCACCCCAGCACCTCTGGAGGTGGTTGTTAGATGCTAACAGTACCTGTACCCATGGTCAACAATCTTTTTGGTACAGATTACAAGGGTAAATATCGTAAGCTCCAAAAGCTTTCAAAATTATGAACGTACAAACTCGGCAACAGAAGAAGCAATGGTAGAGAAAAGCGTTTAAACAAAAACTAATTTGCAAGAGCAGCGTTGAGCAGCACCATTCGCAGAGCCGTGAACGCTGCGTCAGAGCCAGCTGGGTGCAACGGCAGCTTCAGCAGCCTGCTCAAGCAGGGCAGCAACGAAGCAGCAAACCGTCGCTCGCTCACGCTTTACGCTGCAGCGTCATGCAGATCGCACCCCTGGACAGCATGATGCTGTGCCCTTCATCTGGGCGTCAAAAGGCAGGACCCCGGTGAAGTGTTTATAACGCGAACAGTCGTTTTTTCTGGCGTCTCTCTTCCAGCGGCAGCAGAAAATGCAGCGCGAGCGCCTCGGATTAAAACAAACAATCGAACTGAACGCTGGCTCGCGAGTGGACTTTACCGGTCGTGAGCGTGGTGGAGAAGGGTTTGCTTTCCAGGACGCCCTTGACTGTGGCGACCGTGATGTTGTACTCCACGCCAGGCGTGAGGCCGTCCAACACGAAGGACGTCTGGTCGGGCCTCAGCAGCTCATCGAGTGAGTTTCCACGCTGCCCACGCAGGGGGACCCCACGCACCCGGTACCCCGTCAGTTCTGCAAGGGGCGGGAGGGGGGTGGGAAACCGGCAAAGGGTCAGCGGATAGCGCACGGCGTGGCGCCCAGAGCCGCGGAACGCACAGCCGGCACGAGAACCGGTGAAACCACCACTTTCTTAGTTGAAGCGTATCGACATGGCCCCCCATGGCTTACATTCTCAATGGTGGTTGGCTCCCCTCTCAGGTGCATTCTCTCCCGTGGCTACCATTCTCATCCATCCCTTCCAGTCTTGTCCAAGCCCATTAACAAATGGGGTTTTTTGTTTTTACAAATAGCATGAGGTTTTTTCAGTTAGTATGAAGATGACATCTTCTCTATTGTGCATTCTATTTTCCTCCTCCCTCGGCCCTCCACTTTCCCGTGCCTCCCCGAACTCTTTCGTGATCCCCAAGTATCCTCTATAGCGGTCACTCATTCCTCATTCCTTGTAGCACAAACCTTGCCATTCTAAATAATTATATTCTGCCATGGTTTTTTTTTTAACTATGTTAAGCCCATGAGGGAAGGCTCCATGTAAATATAAAATTACATTCGATATTAGCTTCTTATGCACTAGTTGCTCTCTCCGTCGTTCTAAACGTTCACAGCTCCACATTTATTTGTGTACTTTTCAGCTTTTGTACCATTTGATCTTTCAGGGTTGTGAGTTTCCTTGCTTTGCTCTCGTGTCTATAGGTTCAACAGCGGGAATTAATATTTTCCATTGTCCGTCTTGCCCAAAATAGGACCTGGATGTAGGCGATGGTATGAATTGGCAAGCCATGGTCTATAGCCTCACACAGCGATAACATGTGAAGAAGTGTTCAGACAGATGGACATCATATTTCCTGTAAATAACAATTCTATTCTATCTAGAATTAATAAAGCGCCCTTTCCAGGGCGCTTTACAACGCAAACCAACAGCGATACACAAAGGGGCAGAAGGGGATGAATGCGTGAGGTGGAATGGCTGTCAATGAGGGAGGTGATGGAACGGACGGAGGGACAGGGGCTGGGAATGGACCTGATTTTGCAGGGGTAGGGAAGGAGGAATAAGGCGGAGTGTGAAGGAAGGTGACAGATGGGTGCAACGTGGATGAGACAGTGGGGCACATGCGTGAAGTGATAAGATAGATAGGTGCCATTGCTGGGCATGGATGCGGGTAGGTGAAGGATGGTAGGGAAAGAGGTCTGGTGGCCAGATAGTTGGTCCGATTGAGGAGCACGGTGGAGGGCTAGGGGAGAGATCTGGTTAGGTGCACAATGACGTGGCCGATTGGCTTCCTTAATGATAAAAACATGTTGACGTTTCAAATGCATACCGGGCACAGCAACTCTCTGCCAGGAGATGGTGAGGACTCCACTGGGAGAGTTGAAATCCACTTGCACGTCCTGTGGTGGCATGAGAACTGCAAGTACATGCGGACAGCTCGTTAGAAATCCATTGATATTGTTGAGTTGTATATATGTATGTTGTACTTCTTTCCAACCGTACATAGCCAACCGTGCTAAATCGGAGGTGTGCACTAATATAGTGCGCCGATCGTCAATATAGGTGTCTCAGTGAGTTTTAGAAAAAAATAAATTGGCATGAGGAAGAATTGAGGGAAAGGATGAATATTCTTTACTTGTTGTCTGCGAGCGCCGTGCAGGTTCACTCTCCCCATCCTCCACCAGAGTGGAGACTCCGATATCATAAACCACGCCAGGCTGGAGGCCTTCGATGGCGTAGATCGCCGTGCGAGGCCCCACGACGTCCTCCAGGAGGGGCGAGGAGTCGCCCGGCAGAGACACCGTCACGCGATAGCCCGTGATGCCAGGCAGGGACAGCGGGGTCCAGCGCAGCACCAGAGAGGTGTCGCTCACGTTGGTGAAGCTGAGATCAGACGGCTGGGGAATGTCTACAGCCAAACAGAAGAAAAACGGGGGATGTCACATTTTTGAGAGGGCCACTTGAATTCAATCTCCAAAATACACTAATAAATATTTCAGGAACTAATGTAAAGTATTAAAGGCTGAGTATTTGTAGATCCGTATAATTAAGCGATGTTTTGTAAATGTTTTATACGTGTTTTTTGTGTTTACTTTGTTGTCCTTCCCCCGCACCTCCGATTAACATGGTTGGCTACGTACGGTGCGAAAGAAGTTCAACTTGCATACATTTTAATCTACAGTGAACTTAATCTCTGATCTACCTTGCATGGCTTCAAATCAACATTTAAGAAAATTTATTCAGGAAAGCCCCACCATGTCATTTTCAGAAGGGTTCTGCATGAAACATTTCGTCAATTCCTCAACAACTTTGCATGTGCTAGCACACTACAGTATTCAGAAAAAAACATAAGGGGCCAGGCAGTAAGTTGGTAATTTGAAATATTTTGGGAAATTATAGCTTCGCGCACAACACTGCATTAACTTTAGTGTAACCATTAACTCATTTCGAACAATGCAACCGATTAGCAAAAAGATGTGCGCAATTTAAATTATGTTTATTATTATTCAAATAACTGATACAAGTTTGTAATTACATTTGTGTACATATAGTGGCTGCCTTCACACCACGTTAACTCGTCATGTCCTGTACATTATATGATTGCTACCGAGGCTCCCACAAGGCCATGCGGGAGGGGCGTGTGGCACAATTGTAGAGTTGCGGTCGTGTCTCTACGGTTCTCTGCGGCCGAGTACAATGCCTTCAAAAAACAATGGTGCCACTACGCGCCTCTCTGAACAAAATTAACCCCGAGCCGCCCGCTCGTTCTGAGATTCAGCGGTGGAAATGGACGTCCGTTCCCACCCCACGTCTTGCAGATGTCACGGAACGGGACAGGGGGGGGTTAAAAGAGGGCAATTTACCGGTGGAGATTGTGGTGGAGTAGGGTGTACTCTCGCGGCCATTGCTGACAGCGGTGATGGTGATGTTGTACGAAACGCCGGGCGTGAGGGCGTCCAGGGAAAACGAAGTCTGGTCCGGCGCCACGAGCTCATCCACCGAGTTGCCTCGCTGCCCGTGGAGGGGCGTTGCGCGCACGCGGTACCCGGTCAGGCCTGGCGATTGACAAAAATATCACACCCGGCCAACGATCACGCACGCCACGCCGCACGTTTCGCAAGACCGTCGGTCGCACCTCGCCCAACGCGGTTTTATCAAACGAGTCTTTTCGGCTATACACGTTCAAGCACGCTGGATTTTGCGACCAATATTATCTATAATTAATCACAATTCTGCCAAGCTGGTTGTAAATCACCAGCGAAACGTCACTCGAATTGTAAATGTCGTGGATTTACTCTCCAACACACCGGTGTGCTGAAGTAGTAAATAATTGGCACGTCTTGTTTAAGTGACAAACCTTACCAATTGGCTGTGTCAGGTTGTGGCGGGTTTAACGACACATTTCTATTTACGCACTTAACAAAAACCCACCCCCCCCCCTTTATTATCGGCTATATATGGTTTACTTATTTTTAGGAACGCTGCGATGATTCTCAACTCCACGTTGACAAGTAGAGCGCGGGCCACTTGTACTGTACAGTAGATGAACGTCTCGTCACCATCCACCCTCCCCAACACTCTCACGCGGTACTCTAGCGCCATGAGCGACCAGCATCCCGTACATAGTCCTAAACCCGAGCAGCCCCTTCCAACAACTTCACCTTCTTCATCATTATTCATTGTTAAATAAAATAAAGTATAAAAGATTTAAGTTATGTCCCAATTTATATTTATTTCCCGTGTATGTTTTGAGTATGTTTTTATTTTTGTGTGATGACAAGGGGGAAATCGTGAAAGATGGGGTGATGGTTGACATTTGAAGCAGTTGACACGATGTCATTTAGAGTGTTTGGCTGCTAGAAATTCCCACATAGGTCACTTCGTTGAGCTATCATTTGTGGCCAGGTTCCCACCGAAAAAGTGTTATGTAGCTAAGTAGGCCTTCCCCTGGTATTGTAATTCACATTCACATGGCTAATATAACGTTTCTCTCTATGTCACAGACTCCGCTCGGATGAATGCGGCCTCCTCCGCGAGCCAATGCTCATTCCGGGCGATTATTGGTGGCCTCTCTTTCAGCGCCTGTGCCTAACCCCCCCCCCCCCCCCAACTCATCGTCTATTTGACCATCTGTGCTTTCCACCCTCCCGAGTGTGTCTGCTGAACTTCTTTCGCACCTTATGTTGCCTAAACTGTGCTAATTTGGAGGCGCGCGTATCTGGGAAAGGAACTCGATAATACAACAACCGACTCCCCTCCCTAGGCAGTACCTGGAGCCATCACTCGCTGCCACGTGATCGTCAGCGCTCCGGAGTCCGGGCTCAAGTCCACGTGCACGTCCTTCGGTGGTCCAACAACTGTGACAAGCACGCACGCGCATTAAGATTTCTTAAACGTACACACGTAACGTACTAACATGATCATGACATAAAAACTCGCATGCCATTTTTATAAATATGCACATGTACGGTACAAGCATATTCACAAGATAATTGAGAAGTCCACAGGGGCGACGGGTTACACAACTAGTTAATGTTGCTTGCCCTGTCTTATCCGTGAGATCGAGCGGTTCTATGGTTCAAAATGAGACACCAGGTCTCTCTTATCCGCAAATTCACATATTACTATAACACTGTATGAACAGTGCGTACAGGCAATACAAGCTTAACTTATATTTCTATTATTCACATTTAAAACAGATAGATTGTCCTATCGTTTCTGTGATTTGCAATTGAAACGTCGTGATATTGTAATCGAAAAGAGAACCAATGGCTCAATGGGACACTGTCTACAGGAAAGACACCAATATTTGTTTTATCTACGTGGCTTTACTGAAATACCCAAATAAAAATGTATGCATTGTCTTTGAAACTGATTGGCCTACACCAGGGAAAGCCTCTTTTTTATGGATCTGTCTCGCCGGCGTTACACCAAAGAACGCCAAAAGGCAAACAGTACGAAGGCAATGCGAACATCAAGGCATTTATAGCTCGGGGTGAGCAGCTATATTGATATGTATGGGACAAATGATCCCCAAGGTATGCACAATGTAAAAGGCTCACTTGCACAAAATACTCCCCCATGCAACCTTGGCAGGACCCTCATGAAACAGATCCAGGAATGTTTTCTTGGTAAACGAGATTAGTCATAAAAAACCGATGAAACTTATGTCTGCATGTTGAACTTCTTTCGCACCGTACGTAGCCAACCGTGCTAATCGGGAGGTATGGACAAATTGCTGTGGCATTCACCAGTACTCTGCGAGCTCCGTGCAGGTTCACTCTCCCCGTCCTCCACGAGGGTGGAGACCCCAATATCATAAACCACGCCGGGCTGAAGGCCTTCGACGGTATAGACCCCCGTGCGAGGCCCCACGACGGCATCCAGGAGGGGCGAGGAGTCGCCCGGCAGAGACACCGTCACGCGATAGCCCGTGATGCCAGGCAGGGACAGCGGGGTCCAGCGCAGCACCAGAGAGGTGTCGCTCACGTTTGTGAAGCTGAGATCGGACGGCTGGGGGACATCTATGGCCAGCCGGCCAGCAGCAGCGTGAAAGCAAAGTGGACAGAGTTGTCAGCAAGCGTAGCCTTCAGTGCAGTCAGCTGAGAAAGCTTTCAAGCAACGTTTTGCCGATTAGATAAGCGTAGAATGAATGATAATGGATTACTGCTGCAAGAGCACAGCAGTTTACAATGAGCTGCGGACAAGCATGCTCAAATAATTGTTTTGGATCATGTTCTTACTTGTAAGGTTTAAAATATATTTAAATAATCTGCAGGTAAAAATGCAACTGTTTGTGAATGTTCAATATAACAAGTGTATACGACACCCTGCAGCTGCCAGAGGCAGTAGATTTAAACGCAATGTCATACCTGTCAACCCCTTATCAGTGCCTACCTTATTACAGACCAATTCAGACGCTATTGGTCACACCGTGTCCTTATAAATCTATCTCAACGTTCATTCTACAAAGTTCCATCACAAAGGGAGAAACACAAACAAATATATATATATTTTTGCCCATATTGAAACGGCTGTACACCGTATGAACCTGAAAACTCAATTTCAACTGTATGGGTTGGCAGGTATGCAATATTGAAAAAAATATTAAATTACTTAATAAAATCATAAGCCAAATTGTGAACATTCATCACAGGGCAAAAGGGGTAAATCATTGCATGAATAACAAGATGCCAGGGTCAGAGAGTGCGCAGCAAACCAGTCAGCAATTTCAATGTGCCTTACTAGGCTCGCATAAGCTGTGCCAAGCAATTTTCATTGCAAAACATCAGATAGACCATTCAGGTGCGTTACAAAGCCGAGGAGCCCTCACCAGTTGAAATGATGGTGGACGAAGGTTTGCCCTCCTGACCGTTCTTGACGGCCGTGACTGTGATGTTGTACTCCACACCGGGCGTGAGTCCCTCCACGGTGACTGACGTCTGATCAGGCCTCACCAGCTCGTCCACCAAGTGGCCACGCTGGCCATGCAGGGGAGTTCCACGCACTCGGTAGCCCGTCACCCCTACACAGTATCAAACAAAACATGGATATTACACGTACTCCATATGCCGTCTCCCAGCTTAAAACGAAAAATATCCAACTACACCAACTTTATGTTTCCAATACTTCACATAATCTGTTCCTCCACATTAAATTTCGGTAGCATTACTTCAACGCAAGAAAAACCTCTGGACAGGTTTTGACATTCAGTGTCTCATCAGCAGTTAGGGTTGCCTGTACCAATGCTTGTGAACTGTCCGATGTTTATGGGCAAGGACCCCCCCCCCTCCCTCTGTTGGACATGGATCCCACTTCGATATTGAAATCACACCAAAGACAATGATCAATTGCATCGTTGCAGAGAATACAAAGTTACAAAATAAACTAAGTTGGCAATTCGTCTCCCGCACAACTGAAAATGCAAAAGAGGCGAATCGTTAAGGGGACCTGTTTTATAACCATTGAGGTAGAAATCTATTTCTAGTGGTCGGTGAGGGACTGAAACGGTTCTCTTGTTTCCCGATGGTATATTGTTGTTGTTATTCGTGCACGTTTTGGGAAAGCGGTTTATATACAAGTGCGATATGAATGCAAATTGTGAAGGTATAATTGCATTCAATAGAAAAATAAAACCAAAAATATAAACGATGCACTTTACGGTAACATTAAATATTTGGCACATAGATATACATATTTAAATCTGGCTGGATGGTGCACTTGCACTCAGTCCTAAGTTTAAATGTTCAAATAAATGTCATGAATCAATTCTGCAATCCTTCAGGATTTGTTAAAATTAGCATCACTGTGGAAGGAGATGTTATCATTTGAAGAGATTGGCCCCTGCCAGAGCAATGTCGAGTTTGCTCCACTGCTGAAGGAGGCGAGCATGGCACAGTGAGACCACGGTTTGATTTGAAGTAAATATTACTCTCCTTCCATTCTTAAGGATGAATTCAACTACGTTTCAGAGACACAAAGAACAATGGGGATACTGGCGCCCATCACCACACACAAACGGACATATATGTGCAAATGCAGATGCACAAAGACAAAGACCCCCTAAACAGACTGTTAGGGCAAGTGTTGTTAAAAGCGAGCACCTATGAAGCCCGGCATGGCAGACGAGGGGGTGGGTGGCCAGCACCATGCTCAGCTATCTTTGTTACCCAAATCGTGATGTTTACACGCCGCACCAGGTACTTGTTCAAGGCAAAGTCGACCTAAGGGAGACCCAGGACTGGTTCAAATCAGCCACTGGTGTTGGCCATAACGTAAATTGGACCCGGGTCACCGGTTTCAGGGCGCAGTGTGTTAACCACTGTGCCACCGCTCCCCAAAAATGTAGATGTACACATGCACACAATCCCGTGTGTGCATCCACACCCGAAGTCACGCTTCATGAAGGAAGTTATTTACCATTGCTGAAACTCGCTAAAAATCAAGAGACACATCAAGCCACCTTCCTTTCACCTACAGAAGACTTCACGGCTACCAAAGTGTAACTTTAGATAGGACATCTCAATTGAGACCACAAAACATCGCACCCCCTGGCTCTGACATTCCTCCTCGCAGACACCGGTGTAACCAATAACTGCACCAGAACATCAACAAGACTATGTGCTCATTTCCGTCATGAATGGAAAATTAAAGAAAAGCCACAGCAGTGCGGTTGTGGCCATGCAAACCAAACTATGGGCCGTATAGGAAACCACTGTAGTCTGTGCTGCTTCAATGGAGGAGGAACAACAACACTACACAAAACTCTCTCCTGAAGCCCTCTAATTGTGGCCAGCAGACCCCAACGTTGGCATTTAGCTGCCGAATATATCACAATCACAATCAAGAATAGAATGACCAATTTGTTTGTGATAAGAGTGCCTCTTTTACGCAAGGGCATCTCGCTTTACACACGACAAGCAACTTACATCTCATCTCGAACATTTGAAAGGCCACCTCCCCCTGGAACGACCTGGGGCAGTGACATGGCCGAGCAGTTATGCGTATGCCACTTGTCATAGGATCAGATTTTCAAAATTGAGCGGCCGTCCTGATAAATACTGCGGGTGTATTAACTGTAAAATACTACGTTCAATCTGCTTCACAGTGGGCGTTTTAAAGCTCACGCGAGGTCATCCGAAAAAGTGCAGAATGAGAATTGGTATTTATGCCGGAGGAATCCAATGAGCTATGAAGATCTTTTTCACAGATGTCCTCTGGGTGCCAGCATCACAGTCCGAATTTGTTTAATTTACTCCCAAACAAAAATTGCTCTTTTTGAATCTATGAAGCAATTATCGCCCCACACTCGAAAAACACGTGGCAGGCCCTCCTGATAACACAAGCGTAACGAGACGCCAAAAGGCATATGCCTTGTGGCGTCATCTGGTTGAGCACCAATTGGGTCGAGGCTCAAAAGAAAGCCGTCCCTTGGTGTGGACCAACCAGTTTAAAGGACAATGCATATATTATCATAGTATGTTTTTTGTTTGCATTTTGACTGCAGGTATTGTGGTTAATGCAGACATGAATCCTTGTAAAAAGGTTTCAGTTTTGTTGCCAGAAAAAAAGGGGAAAAACCCTATTATTACAAGATAGACCTACTTGATACGAGCACGTGAAATACTCAGCAACTGACAAACGCTGCAATTAAATAGGAGGCAACTCTCCACATCGACGTCAAACATCACTGCACCTGGAGTGGGAACCTTCTGCCAGGTGATGGTCAACTCTCCAGTATCCGAGTTCAGGGTCACGTGCACGTCCTTCGGGGAGCCCGGTGCTGCAGTGGAGACAGGAGAGAGAAGGCGACTTTAAATCTGTGAACTCGCATTACAATAACTTGACACTTGTAACACGTATAAAAGTAAGGCTGGTTACGTTTCAAGGTTAACAATGCCCAACGGTTCTTAATGCAGAAATAAAGTTGAGCAATGATGGTGCAATGTGAGGCTAGGAATGGTTCAAGACAAAGATAAACTGGCACAATGTGATGTCAAATTGAACGAAAGATGAGACAAATGGTTGTGGAATTCACCAGTGGTCTGCGAGCGCCGTGCAGGTTCACTCTCCCCGTCCTCCGTCAGTGTGGAGACCCCAATATCATAAACCACACCGGGCCGGAGGCCTTCGACGGCATAGACCCCCGTGCGAGGCCCTACAGTGTCCTCCAGGAGGGGCGAGGAGTCGCCCGGCAGAGACACCGTCACGCGATAGCCCGTGATGCCAGGCACGGACAGCGGGGTCCAGCGCAGCACCAGAGAGGTGTCGCTCACGTTGGTGAAGCTGAGATCGGATGGCTGAGGGGTGACTACGACCCGCCGGCCGGCAGCTTAAAAGCCAAAAGCAGAGTGAGGTTAGCGAGCACGGTTAAATCAGATGCACTTTAAGCTTGATTGCACTGTTCAACATTCTTTAAATAAAATAAAACACATTCAGCCTTAGCCACATGAACTTCCACATGCAAGGACAAAGCCATTAGATATTGGATTATGGTGAACAGCCATAGAATATAAATACCTCGTTTGTATTTCTGTAGCATATATGCAGGATTGCAATTCTCTAACACGTCACATTTGTATTACCCTTTAACTGAGAGGTGACTGAAACACACTTGCGTGCTCAGCTGCAGTCAATAATTGTCTTGCCACATTAAAGTCAGACTTATTTATTAATTTAAATATAATTAATGATAGCCTCTTGACAAGGAATATCTCATTTGTAAGGGTGTCTAGTTTGCTCACTTTCAATATTAATATGACATTGGGGCATGTAAACAACTGGCTATAAACAGTGCAACTTACTAACATCACACCATTTTAATAAAAGCAATTATGCTTACGAATATATATTAAGTGTTTTTATTCATTGTTACATGAAGAGTGTTGGTTTACCACCAGCCACTTAAGCTTTGCTATTTTTGGTTTTATGAAGAGTATTTTCCATTTCAGAAAAAATATACAAATACATCTACAAAAGCAAATGACAGACATTTATTTTTAGTCGAATTGCAATGTGTAATTACATTTGGAAATCCCACACAATGCACAATGCCCCAGACAATAGTTTAAACTGGCAAAACAGCTGGCAGGAACAACAAGATTGACGCAAAAGAATATTGTTTTCAGAAAACAATCAAAATCCAGCTAAGCCAAGGAACCTCACCAGTTGAAATGATGGTGTACGAAGGTTTGCCCTCCTGACCGTTCTTGACGGCCGTGACTGTGATGTTGTACTCCACACCGGGCGTGAGTCCCTCCACGGTGACCGACGTCTGATCAGGCCTCACCAGCTCGTCCACCAAGTGGCCACGCTGGCCGTGCAGGGGAGTTCCACGCACTCGGTAGCCCGTCACCCCTACAGTGTTAAACAAAACATGGATATTATACGTACTCCATATGCCAAATCTCCCATTAGGGCCATGGCTTAACTAAAATGTACTCTTCAAATAGCTACTAATTCGAACTTAAATCCTCTAATACTATGTGGATCACTGGAACATGAAGTTATAGATGCGCACACGTACTTGGCTCATTTATTATTTACACAATCTAACCCAAAAACCTTCATTGTGAATTGTCTAACTTACATTCAATAGAAATACCTAATCTCAATTGTTTCGTAAACTGTATCTAAAGAAGACACCTCAAAGTAATTGGTAATTTGCATCTAAACTAAGTGAAACGAGGTTAATTTGTAATTCGTCTATATTAGATTACTCCATTAATGCTTATGTGAGATGTTGCCCATGTCTGTAGGTGTTATTTACCATGGTTTAGTTTTACTACCAAGTAAGAGACAATGCCTCATTCCACCTAGTTGAGCTGACAGTCACAAATAAGGGAAACTTGATTGTTGCTTGGGTTAGGCCACGTAATAATTTGAAAAAAAGTGTCACTGAACCTTACACATGTATCATGCGTGTTGATCTTAATCGACGTTCCTACTTTGTCAGGTGAAATACCAGGCAGCTGACAAACTATACATTTGTAATTTGTGTCTAAATATATACATCACTGCACCTGGAGTGGGAACCTTCTGCCAGGTGATGGTCAACTCTCCGGTATCTGAGTTCAGGGTCACGTGCACGTCCTTCGGCGAGCCCGGTGCTGCAGTGGAAACAGGAGAGAGAAGACGACTTTAAATCTGTGAACTCGCATTACAATAACTTTGACATTTAACATTGTTATATCTCAAGGTTAACTCTCCCAATACTTCTGCACTCAGACCTCAAGTTGAGTATAGATGGTGCCAAGTGAGGCTCCCTGTAATGCAAGATGAAGCTGAACTGGCCAACACGATGTTAAATTGAACGACAGATGAGACAAATGGTTGTGGAATTCACCAGTCGTTTGCGAGCGCCGTGCAGGTTCACTCTCCCCGTCCTCCGACAGCGTGGAGACCGCAATATCATAAACCACGCCGGGCCGGAGGCCTTTGACGGCATAGACCCCCGTGCGAGGCCCCACAGTGTCCTCCAGGAGGGGCGTGGAGTCACCCGGCAGAGACACCGTCACCCGATAGCCCGTGATGCCAGGCACGGACAGCGGGGTCCAGCGCAGCACCAGAGAGGTGTCGCTCACGTCGGTGAAGCTGAGATCAGACGGCCGTGGGGTGACTACGACCACCCGGTCACCAGCTTCAAAGCCAAATGCAGAGTGAGGTTAGCAAGCACCATTAAATCAGATGCAGTTCAAGCTTGATTGCAGTGTTCAATACTCATTAATGAATAAATGCACATATTCAGTCATTGCCACATTAACTTCCGCATGCTAGGACATGAAAGCATTAGATCTTCAATTACGGGAATGGCAGTAAAATATATTTGAAATCCACATTTATTTGAGGGAACTGAAATACACACGTGTGCCGAGCTGACTTATCCCTTGAGATTGAACATCATTTGAAAGGTTGTCAAATTTGCTCGCCTGCAATTTTTATACAATACTGCGGCATGTTAACTGCTCGCTAAAACCAATGCAACGCACTAATATGCCATTGTAATATGGGATATTAAGTACTCCAAGTTGTTCAAGAAAGTATTCTTTAAAAAATGTATTTCCGTTTTAAAAACAATTGTTTTACCTTGACATATCAGCCAGTTTGTATCGGGTCAAGACCATTGAGCTAAGAAGCTTCTTTTCCAAGGCGACCAGGCCAAAACAGCTGAGCACATTACATAGGATGGGAGGGTTCAAAGGGGCTGCAGAGAATGGCTGATACGAAGATAGCAAGCCCGTTACATGTGAAGGGTGGGCTTTGGAGGAATACTATTGCATGATTACACTGTTGGTTTAATGCCAACTAGCTTAAACTTTGAAATAACATTTAATTTTATGGAAAAATGTATTATAAATTTCCTACAACAGTTGGTAGAAATGTCCATTTTTAGTAAGGTGTAAAAATACTTTTAAGTTGCACGCTTTGCTTTAAGTGTTTTGATGTACAGGTTCATACTAAGAAGTGAAATGCTAATTGCCACAAATCCAAATAATTTTAATTGACAAAAGCAAACCCGAAGCAATAAAAATAGAGAAGCTTGCCGCAAGAGTAAAGCTAAAGAGAAAATCGTTTTCAGTGTTGAGTCAAAGCGCAGCTAGCCAGACCCCAGATAATTTTTGTATTACAAAATTTCACTTGGCTGGACTAGGTCGGACAATTTAAAAATATCTTACAAGCTGTGCCAGGCCATCTTAATTGCTAAACATCAGATGCACCATTCATGTGCAATCCAAGGAGCTCTCACCAGTTGAAATGATGGTGGACGAAGGTTTGCCCTCCTGACCGTTCTTGACGGCCGTGACGGTGATGTTGTACTCCACACCGGGCGTGAGTCTCTCCACAGTGACCGACATCTGATCAGGCCTCACCAGCTCGTCCACCGAGTGGCCGCGCTGGCCATGCAGGGGCGTTCCACGCACTCGGTAGCCCGTCACCCCTACAGTGTCAAAGAAAACATGGATATTTACACATACTCCATATGCCAAGTCTGCCATTAGGCTTATGGCTGAACTAAAAAGTACCTGTCAAATAGCTACTAATTCAAACTTAAATCCTCTAATACTATGCAGATCACTGAAGCATGAAGTTGTAGACACGCACACGTATTTGCGCACAAGTACTTACAGACACATTCACAGGTGCATGTTAGCACCCACGCACATCTGGCCGTGCCTTGTGAGAAAGAGGTGGGCATTGTCTAATTTGATTTAACACTTAGTAGTAGTAGGCCTTACGCGACGAATATTAGTCACAATAAAAGGTTTTTGGGATAGATCGCGTAAATATAAATGTGTCCATACTCTTTGGTTTTTATTTGGTAAAGTCACGTAGATAAAATAAAACAAAATAAAAGAAAATAATTAAATCACGACGTTTCGGAGGCAACACAAGCTTCCGTCTTCAGGTGGAAAAGTTAACGCAGTAATCAACCAGGTGGGGTGTTGACTGTTTTAGCCGACTGTGTTGTATTGCATTTGTCTGTGTTTACAAATCTGGATCGCCTCGTGGACAAATCTCTGATAATAACCGGTAGGTTTGCAGAGCACCTTGGTATCAGAGAAAACAATATCATGATCACCCACAGCGTTGTAACAATGATCAGCCACGGCAAAAAAATTCGTTCTGCCAGATTTACAAACACAGACAACTTCAACTGAGAGGATGGTTTCAAATTGAGTAATCACTGGAAAGATGTTATAAATCAAGTCAAAAGTTAGCTGCCTCTCAATTTTTTGTACAGCCATTTCCTTTTCTCAGTGGTTGTATATCAAGCTTCAGCTACCTTATAATTGAACAGCCGTTTGCACCCGCTTTCAAAATCCCCGACCCCCCACGCAGCTTCAGCCGTTTGCACCCGCTTTCAAAATCCCCCCGACCCCCCACGCAGCATCAGCCGTTTTGCACCCGCTTTCAAAATCTCCCCGACCCCACACGCAGCATAACAAAAGGTGGGTTTTTTACCCACTCCCGTGCAGTGCGAAGTGGTTTTTACCCGCAGCAGCCTATTAAAAGGCTGCTCAACTCAGCCGTCCAACCCACCCATGCCCCCTTACTGACTCTTCCCCCCTCCCTTAACCTGTATATAATCACGGTTGTCTCTGAACTGTGCTCCCGACGCAGATATTCTGCGTTGACTTTTCCACCTGAAGACGGAAGCTTGTGGTGCCTCCGAAACGTCGTGATTTAATTATTTTCTTTTATTTTGTTTTATTTTACCTACGTGACTTTACCGAATAAAACCAAAGAGTATGAATCCTTGCAGTCACGAAAGCTTCAAATCTAGAATATTAATGTGTCGTTAACACACCACCACCACCCGACACGGCCAATTAGTAAGGTTTGTTACGTGAACAAAACGTAGCCAATTAGTTACTACTTCAGCACACATTTACAATGTGTGGGTTTACTTTTCAACAAACTGGTGTGCTGAAGTATTAACTGAATGGCACATTTTGTTCACGTGACAAACTTTACTAATTGGCTTGTCAGGTGGTTGTTGGTTAACGGCACATTTATTATTTACACGATCCAACCCAGAAACCTGTACTGTGAATTGTCTAACTTACATCCCATATAAATGCGTTATCTCAATAATTATGTCAACTGTATCGAAAGAACACATCTCAAAATAATTGGTAATTTGACTTAAAGCTTTCGTGACTGCAGGAATTCATATCCTTTGCGTCTTTTGGTAAAGTCACGTAGATAGGTTAAAAAAAAAATAAAAAAAAAAAAACTACAACGTTTCGATCGCAACACAAGCGATCGTCATCAGGAGGAAAAAGGGGGGGGGGGTGGGGGGGAACCCACTAAAGGCAAGCTGTTTTAAAGGTTTAAAATGGACGTAGCCCAGGCATCCTGGTATCAGAATGAAGTGGGCGGGGCACAAGTGCCCCGGAGCCTGTGCAAGCGGAGATGGTTATGTTAATGTGAGATCGGAATTCGGAGAGGGGGAGCCGTATGAGACGGAGAAATCAACAACTTGTGGTACGCGCATAGCAGGGGCGACACAGCAGGAACTGGAATTGCCCGTCCCATCTTTGGTCAAGTAAAATGCAGAAATCATTGAAAGGACATCATCAATCAGTTTAAGTCATAAATGGCTGTGATGTTTCCATCTTGTCACCTTCTGATGTTATTTTAATTTTACCAAAGAGAGGACAGGAAATTCCAGTTCCTTTTTCCTCCTGATGATGATCACTTGTGTTGCGATTGAAAAGTCATAGTTTGTTTATTATATAATTTTTTGAACCTATCTACATGACTTTACCGAAAGACCCAAAGAATATAATTGGTAAAAACTTGATTTGGAGCTTTCGTGACTGCAGGAATTACTTTTTGGTTCTTTCGGTAAAGTCATGTAGAAAGAAAATGAATTAAATAATAGAATACGACGTTTCGATTGCAACACACGCAATCGTCATCAGGTACGAATGAATGAGAAAACAAACCTGGTAAGCTTAGAAATATAATAGTTTGAACGACCTCTACGGGAAGGATTTAAGTTTGTTTTCTCTGTGTTGTCTCTCTCTGCTTGTGTGTTTGTCTTCATGTCTCCGTGTCTGTGTCTCGGTCTCAAATTTAGGTTTGTTTTCTAAGAACGTAATCAACCAGGTATGGTGTTGACTATACTGTTAGCCGACTCTGTTGTATTGCATTATATTTCTAAATTTACTAGGTTTGTTTTCAGTCATTCGTACCTGATGACGATTGCTTGTGTTCCAACCGAAACGTCGTATTCTATTATTTAATTTATTTTCTTTCGACGTGACTTTACCGAAAGAACCAAAAAGTAAAAGAAATATAATTGGTAATTTGCATCTAAACTAGGCGAAACATGGTTAATTTGTAATGTGTATCTATATGAAATTACTCAATTTCTATGTTAAATGTTGCCCATCTCAGCGGGTGTTATTTACCATGGTTTTATTTTACTACAAAGTAAGAGACAATGCCTCATTCCACCTACTTGAGCTGACAGTGACTAAAAACGTAAATTTGATTGTTGTTTGGGTTAGGCCATGTAATCATTTAATAAAAATAAAAGTCTGTGAACCTTCCACCATCAAGCACATGAATCATACGTCTTAATCTTAAATCGACTTTCCGACTTTGTCATGTGAAATATTAGGCAGCTGACAAACGATACATTTGAACACGAGGTAACTCTCCACAATGTTATAAAACACTGCACCTGGAGTAGGAACCTTCTGCCAGGTGATGGTCAACTCTCCGGTATCTGAGTTCAGGGTCACGTGCACGTCCTTTGGGGAGCCCGGTGCTGCAGTGGAGGCAGGAGAGAGAAAACGACTTGAAATCTGTGAACTTGCATTACAATAACTTGACACTTAACGTAGTTATATTTCAAGGTTAAATCTCCCAATACTTCTGAACTCAGAACTCAAGTTGAGTAGAGATGGTGCCAAGTGAGGCTCCCAGTAATGCGATATGAAGCTGAACTGGCCAACATGATGATAAATTGAACGCCAGATGAGACAAATGGTTGTGGAATTCACCAGTGGTCTGCGAGCGCCGTGCAGGTTCACTCTCCCCGTCCTCCGTCAGCGTGGAGACCCCAATATCATAAACCACGCCGGGCCGGAGGCCTTCAACGGCATAGACCCCCGTGCGAGGCCCCACAGTGTCCTCCAGGAGGGGCGAGGAGTCGCCCGGCAGAGACACCATCACACGATAGCCCGTGATGCCAGGCACGGACAGCGGGGTCCAGCGCAGCACCAGAGAGGTGTCGCTCACGTCGGTGAAGCCGAGGTCAGACGGCCGTGGGGTGACTACGACAACCCGGTCACCAGCTTCAAAGGCAAATGCAGAGTGAGGTTAGCAAGCACGATTAAATCAGATGCAGTTCAAGCTTGATTGCAGTGTTCAAAACCCAATAAATTCATAAATACACATATTCAGTTGTTGCCACATCAACGTCCACATGTTAGGACACGAATCATTAGATTTTGGATCATGGTGAATGGCAGTAGAATATATTTGAACTCCACATTTATGTAAGGCAACTGAAATACACACGTGTTCCAAGCTAACTTATCCCTTCAGATTGAACATAGTTTGAAAGGTTGTCAAGTTTGCTCGCCTGCAATTTTAATACAATACTGCGGCATGTTAACTGCTCGCTACAACCAATGCAACTCACTAATATGCTATTGCAATATTTAAGTACTCTAAAAACGTATTATTTGAAAATGTTATTTCTGTTATAAAAATGTATCGTTTACATTAACATATCAGCCAGTCAATTTGTAACGGCTCAAGCCCATTAAGCTAAGAAGCTTCTTTTCAAAGGTGACCAGGTGAAAACAGCTGAGCACGTTATATAGGATGGGAGGGTTCATAGGGGCTGCAGAGAATGGCTGGTACGAAGATACCAAGTACGTTACATATGAAGGGTGGGCTTTGGAAGAATACTATTGCACGATTACACTGTTGGTTTAATGCCAACTAGCTTAAGCTTTTAAATAAGAGATTTTATATTACGGAAAAAATCTTGCCTATAAAAGTAATTTTTTGTCTGTCTGTCTCTGTCTGTGGACGCAACTTGCAACGGTTTGAACTCACTCTTTGGGGTTTAGGTTTCAAATAATTACCCAGGACTGAGCTATGATTTTCACACTGATGTCCTCTTCTCCCCCTGACCACCCCAATGTGTGCAGTTATTAATTAGAGTCGGTAAATATTACTGTAGTGCCGGCGGGGGGATGGTGGGAGGGGGGGTTAGCGGCCCAGTCCCAGCCCCAGCCTGCCAAGGTGCCACCTCGGCCGGCTGAGCAATCTAGGAAAGGCCGGGGATTCTGCACGGCACTAGGCCTCACCACGGCACTCTGTTAAGTTAGTAGTTAGTACTATAGAGTCGATAGATACTATCATAGAGTCGGGAGATACTACTGTAGAGTCGGGAGATACTACTGCAGAGTCGGTAGATGCTACTGTAAAGTCAGTAGATACTGCTAGAGAATCTGCAGATACTGCTATAGTTAGAAGTTACTACTATAGAGTTAATTACTACTACTATCAAGTCAGTAGTTACTACTATAGAGTCGGTAGATACTAGTATAGAGTCAGTAGATAATACTATAGTCAGCAGCTACCACTATAGTCAGTATATACTGCTGCAGAGTCAGTATAAACTACTAGAGTTAGTAGTTACTACTACAGTCAGTGGACACTACTATAAAGTCAATAGATATGACTAGATTATGTAAATTTCTACCATAGTCATTAGATACTACTGTAGAGTCAGTATTTATACTATAGAGTTGGTTGATACTACTATAGAGTCGCAGATACTACTATTGAGTCAGTAAATACTACTCACTCTATTGTATGCAGGGTGTGTAGGTATATAGCCTACGTGGGAGTTAAAAAAATAAGAAATTGAGGGGGGGTCGACAATTTTCCCAAAACCTTTTAGATCAACTATTTACCCCCCACTTGCTATAACTTTTTGTACTTCTGCAAACCTCGTATAATTTTGTTGATGGACAAATGGACAGACAAACGGAACGCCGGGCTTTCACAATAGCTTAGTACTTGTGTACAAGTTTTGAAATATATTTTTCACCCAGGCAATGCCGGGTACTTCCCGTTCGTGTATTATAGATTTCCTACAAGAGTTGGCAGACATGTCTATTTTTAGTAACATGAAATAATACTTTTAAGTTCCACGCTTTACTTTGAGTGTGTCTCGATGTACAGGTTTTACTAAATAGTGAAATGCTAATTGCCACAAACCTATTAATTTTAATTGACAAAAGCAACCCGAAGCAATAAAAATAGAGAAGCTTGCCGCAAGAGTAAAGCTAAAGAGAAAATCTTTTCACTGTTCAGTCAAAGCACAGCTAGCCAGACCCCAGATAATTTTTGTATTACAAAATTTCACTTGGCTGGACTAGGTCGGACAATTTAAAAATATCTTACAAGCTGTGCAAGGCCATCTTAATTGCGAAACATCAGATGCACTATTCACGTGCAATCCAAGGAGCTCTCACCAGTTGAAATGATGGTGGACGAAGGTTTGCCCTCCTGACCGTTCTTGACGGCCGTGACGGTGATGTTGTACTCCACACCGGGCGTGAGTCTCTCCACGGTGACCGACATCTGATCAGGCCTCACCAGCTCGTCCACTGAGTGGCCGCGCTGGCCATGCAGGGGCGTTCCACGCACTCGGTAGCCCGTCACCCCTACACAGTGTCAAAGACAACATAGATATTACACATACTCCATATGCAAAGTCTGCTATTAGCCTTATGGCTTAAAGCAAAAAAAAAACCTTCAAATAGCTACTAATTCGAACTTAAATCCTCTAATACTATGCGGATCACTGAAGCATGAAGTTGTAGACACGCACACGTACTTGCGCACAAGTACTTAGACACATTCACAGGTGCATGTTAGCACCCACGCTTATCTGGCCGTGCCTTGTGAGAAAGAGGTGGGCATTGTTTAATTGTATTTAACACTTAGTAGTAGAGGCCTTACGCAATTAATATTAGTCGCAATAAAAGGTTTTTGGGATAGGTCGCGGAAATATAAATGTGTCGTTAACCCACCACCACCACCTCCCGACACGGATAATTAGTAAGGTTTGTCACGTGAACAAAACGTAGCCAATTAGTTACTACTTCAGCACACATTTACAATGTGTGCGTTTACTCTTCAACAAACCGGTGTGCTGAAGTAGTAACTGATTGGCACGTTTTGTTCACGTGACAATCTTTACTAATTGGCTGTGTCGGGTGGTTGTTGGTTAACGGCACATTTATTATTTACACGATCCAACCCAGAAACCTTTACTGTGAATTGTCTAATTTACATCCTATATAAATACGTAATCTCAATAATTGTGTCAACTGTATCGAAAGAACGCATCTCAAAATAATTGGTAATTTGACTTAAAGCTTTCGTGACTGCAGGAATTCATATTCTTTGGGTCTTTCGGTAAAGTCACGTAGATAGGTTCAAAAAATAATAAAAACCAAAAAACTACAACGTTTCGATCGCAACACAAGCGATCGCCATCAGGAGGAAAAAGGGGGGGGGGGAACCCACTAAAGGCAAGCTGTTTTAAAGGTTTAAAATGGACGTAGCCCAGGCATCCTGGTATCAGAATGAAGTGGGCGGGGCACAAGTGTCCCGGAGCCTGTGCAAGCGGAGATGGTTATGTTAATGTGAGATCGGAATTCGGAGAGGGGGAGCCGTATGAGACGTGGAGAAATTAACAACTTGTGGTACGCGCATAGCAGGGGCGACACAGCAGGAACTGGAATTGCCCGTCCCATCTTTGGTCAAGTAAAATGCAGAAATCATTGAAAGGACGTCAATCAGTTTAAGTCATAACTGGCTGTGATCTTTCCATCTTGTCACCCTCCGATGTTAGTTTTATTTTACCAAAGATGGGACACGCAATTCCAGTTCCTTTTTCCCCCTGATGACGATCACTTGTGTTGCGATCGAAAAGTCGTAGTTTGTTTATTTTTTTTTTTACCTATTTACATGACTTTACCGAAAACACCAAAGAATATAATTGGTAATTTGCATCTAAACTAGGCGAAACAAGGTTCATTTGTATGTTAATTATATTACTCAAAATGTATATGTTAAATGTTTCCCATCTCAGCAGGTGTTAATTACCATGGTTTTATTTTACTACAAAGTAAGAGACAATGCCTCATTCCACCTACTTGAGCTGACACAGTGACTAAAAAGGTAAATTTGATTGTTGTTTGGGTTAGGCCATGTAATCATTTAATAAAAATAAAAGTCTGTGAACCTTTCACCATCATGCACATGAATCACACGTGTTAATCTTATATCGACTTTCCAACTTTGTCACGTGAAATATTAGGCAGCTGAAAAATTATACACTTGAACACGAGGTAACTCTCCACAATGTTATAAACCACTGCACCTGGAGTAGGAACCTTCTGCCAGGTGATGGTCAACTCTCCGGTATCTGAGTTCAGGGTCACGTGCACGTCCTTCGGGGAGCCCGGTGCTGCAGTGGAGGCAGGAGAGAGAAAACGACTTTAAATCTGTGAACTCGCATTACAATAACTTGACACTTAACGTAGATATATTTCAAGGTTAACTCTCCCAAACTTCTGAACTCAGACCTCAAGATGAGCAGAGATGATGCAAAGTGAGGCTCCCAGTAATGCAAGATGAAGCTGAACTGGCCAACACGATGTTAAATTGAACGACAGATGAGAGAGATGAGACAAATGGTTGTGGAATTCACCAGTCGTCTGCGAGCGCCGTGCAGGTTCACTCTCCCCGTCCTCCGACAGCGTGGAGACCCCAATATCATAAACCACGCCGGGCCGGAGGCCTTCAACGGCATAGACCCCCGTGCGAGGCCCCACAGTGTCCTCCAGGAGGGGCGAGGAGTCGCCCGGCAGAGACACCGTCACGCGATAGCCCGTGATGCCAGGCACGGACAGCGGGGTCCAGCGCAGCACCAGAGAGGTGTCGCTCACGTCGGTGAAGCTGAGATCAGACGGCCGTGGGGTGACTACGACCACCCGGTCACCAGCTTCAAAGGCAATTGCAGAGTGAGATTAGCAAGCACGATTAAATAAGATGCAGTTCAAGCTTGATTGCAGTGTTCAAAACCCAATAAATTCAAAAATGCACATATTCAGTTGTTGCCACATCAACGTCTGCATGTTAGGACACGAAGCATTAGATTTTGGATCATGGTGAATGGCAGTAGAATAGATTTGAACTCCACATTTATGCAAGGCAACTAAAATACACACGTGTTCCAAGCTAACTTATCCCTTCAGATTGAACATAGTTTGAAAGGTTGTCAAGTTTGCTCGCCTGCAATTTTAATACAATACTGCGGCATGTTAACTGCTCGCGACAACCAATGCAACTCACGAATATGCCATTTTAATATTTAAGTACTCCAAGTTGTTCAAAAACGTATTTTTGAAAATTGTATTTCTGTTATAAAAAATAGTTTTACCTTGACATATCAGCCAGTCAATTTGTATCGGGTCAAGTCCATTGAGCTAAGAAGCTTCTTTTCCAAGGCGATACTTTGAGTGTGTCTCGATGTAAGGTTTTACTAAATAGTGAAATGCTAATTGCCACAAATCCAAATAATTTTAATTGACAAAAGCAAACCCGAAGCAATAAAAATAGAGAAGCTTGCCGCAAGAGTAAAGCTAAAGAGAAAATCGTTTTCAGTGTTCAGTCAAAGCGCAGCTAGCCAGACCCCAGATAATTTTTGTATTACAAAATTTCACTTGGCTGGACTAGGTCGGCCAATTTCAAAATATCTTACAAGCTGTGCCAGGCCATCTTTATTGCGAAACATCAGATGCACCATTCATGTGCAAGCCAAGGAGCTCTCACCAGTTGAAATGATGGTGGACGAAGGTTTTCCCTCCTGACCGTTCTTGACGGCCGTGACGGTGATGTTGTACTCCACACCGGGCGTGAGTCCCTCCACGGTGACCGACGTCTGATCAGGCCTCACCATCTCGTCCACCGAGTGGCCGCGCTGGCCATGCAGGGGAGTTCCACGCACTCGGTAGCCCGTCACTCCTACAGTGTCAAACACAACATGGATATTTACACATACTCCATATGCTAAGTCTGCCATTAGGCTTATGGATGAACTAAAAAGTACCTGTCAAATAGCTACTAATTCGAACTTAAATCCTCTAATATTATGCGGATCACTGAAGCATGAAGTTGTAGACACGCACACGTATTTGCGTACAAGTACTTACAGACACATTCACAAGTGCATGTTAGCACCAATGCACGTCTGGCCGTGCCTTGTGAGAAAAAGGTGGGCATTGTCTAATTTGATTCAACACTTAGAAGTAGTAGGGCTTGCGCGACGAATATTATTCACAATAAAAGGTTTTTGGGATAGATCGCGTAAAAATAAATGTGTCGTTAACTCACCACCACTCTCTCCCGACACGGCCAATTAGTAAGGTTTGTTACGTGAACAAAACGTAGCCAATTAGTTACTACTTCAGCACACATTTACAATGTGTGGGTTTAACTCTCCAACAAAGCGGTGTGCTGAAGTAGTAACTGATTGGCACATTTTGTTCACGTGACAAACCTTACTAATTGGATGTCGGGTGGTTGTTGGTCGACGGCACATTTATTATTTACACGATCCAACCCAAAAACCTTTACTGTGAACTGTCTAACTTACATCCCATTTAAATCCGTGATCTCAATAAATTCTCAACTGTATTGAAAGAACACATCTCAAAGTAATTGGTAATTTGCATCTAAACTAGGCAAAACAAAATTAATTTGTAATGTATCAATATTAGATTACTCAAAGTATATATGTAAAATGTTGCACATCTCAGCAGGTGTTATTTACCATGGTTTCATTTTACTATCAAGTAAGAGACAATGCCTCATTCCACCTACTTGAGCTGACAGTGACTCAAAAGGTAAACTTGATTGTTGTTTAGGTTAGGCCATTTATCATTTGATAATAAAAGTCTGTCTGAACCTTCCACCACCATGCACCTGAATTATACGTGTTAATCTTAAATCGACTTTCCAACTTTGTCACGTGAAATATTAGGCAGCTGATAAACGATACATTTGAACACGAGGTAACTCTCCACAATGTTATAAACCACTGCACCTGGAGTAGGAACCTTCTGCCAGGTGATGGTCAACTCTCCGGTATCCGAGTTCAGGGTCACGTGCACGTCCTTCGGGGAGCCCGGTGCTGCAGTGGAGGCAGGAGAGAGAAGACGACTTTAAATCTGTGAACTCGCATTACAATAACTTGACACTTAACGTAGAATACATTTCAAGGTTAACTCTCCCAATACTTCTGAACTCAGACCTCAAGTTGAACAGAGATGGTGCAAAGTGAGGCTCCCAGTAATGCAAGATGAAGCTGAACTGGCCAACACGATGTTAAATTGAATGACAGATGAGAGAGATGAGACAAATGGTTGTAGAATTCACCAGTCGTATGCGAGCGCCGTGCAGGTTCACTCTCCCCGTCCTCCGTCAGCGTGGAGACCCCAATATCATAAACCACGCCGGGCCGGAGGCCTTCGACGGCATAGACCCCCGTGCGAGGCCCCACAGTGTCCTCCAGGAGGGGCACGGAGTCACCCGGCAGAGACACCGTCACGCGATAGCCCGTGATGCCAGGCACGGACAGCGGGGTCCAGCGCAGCACCAGAGAGGTGTCGCTCACGTCGGTGAAGCTGAGATCAGACGGCCGTGGGGTGACTACGACCACCCGGTCATCAGCTTCAAAGGCAAATGCAGAGTGAGGTTAGCGAGCACGGTTAAATCAGACACAGTTCAAGCTTGATTGCAGTGTTCAAATCCCAATAAATTCATAAATGCACATATTCAGTCGTTGCAACATCAACGTCCGCATGTTAGGACATGAAGCATTAGATCTTGGATCATGGGGAATGGCAGTAGAATAGATTTGAACTCTACATTTATTTGAGGCAAGTGAAATACACACGTTTGCCAAGTTAACATATCCCTTCAGATTGAACATAGTTTGAAAGGTTGTCAAAGTTTGCTCGCCTGAAATTTTTATATAATACTGCGGCATGTTAACTGCTCGCTACAATAAATTACTAATATGCCATTATAATATTTAAGAACTCCAAGTTGTTCAACAAAGTCTTCTCTGAAAATGTATTTTTTGTAAGTATTGTTTTTACCTTGACATATCAGCCAGTCAGTTTGCATACGTGTCAGGCCCATTTAGCCAATAAGCTTCTTTTCAAAGGCGACCAGGCCAAAACCAACGAGCACATTACATCGGATGGGAGGGTTTACAGTGGCTGTACAGCACAGCTGCTACGATGGTAGCCAGCAATTTACATGGGAAGGGGGGTTACAGGGGCCGCTTTAGCACGGCTGATGTGACGGTAGCCAGCACGTGACATGGGCAGGGTTTTTACAGAGGCTGCACAGCATGGCTGATGCGACGGTAGCTAGCTCGTTACATGGGAAGGGTGGGCTTTGGGGAGATGCTATTGCACGATTACACTTTTGGTTTACGGTCACCTAGCTTAAGCTTTGAAGTAACAGATTTGATATTATGGAAATTTGTGCAATAATACTTTTAAGTTCCATGCTTTATTTTTGGTGTGTCTTGATGTACAGGTTTTACTAAATAGTGAAATCCTGTTTGCAACAAACCCAAACCACTTAAATTGGCAAAAGCAACCCAAAGCAAAAAATAAGAGAAAAGCTTGCAGCCAGAGGAAAGTTCAAAAATGTGTTTTCAATGTTCAGTCAAAGCCCAGCTAGCCAGCCCAACAAATTTGTGTATTACAAAATTTTACTTGGCTGGAGCAGGTCGGCCAACTTTAAAATATCTTACAAGGCTCACAATAAGCTGTGCCAAGCAATCTTCATTGCGAAAAATCGGATGCACCATTTACGTGCGTTACCAAGCCAACGAATCTCACCAGTGGAAATGATGGTGGACGAAGGTTTGCCCTCCTGACCGTTCTTGACGGCCGTGACGGTGATGTTGTACTCAACACCAGGCGTGAGTCTCTCCACGTTAACCGACGTCTGATCAGGCCTCACCAGCTCGTCCACCGAGTGACCGCGCTGGCCATGCAGGGGAGTTCCACGCACTCGGTAACCCGTCACCCCTACACAGTGTCAAACACAACGTGGATATTACACGTACTCCATATGCGCCAAAGGTATTTTTTGGATTAGATCGCGTAAATGTGTCATTAAAAACCGCCACCACCCGACCATCAATTAGTAAGGTTTGTCACATAAACAAGACATAACAAATAGTTACTAGTTCAGCATACCGGTTTGTTGGAGAGTAAACCCACAACATTTACAATTCGAGTACAACGTTTCACCACAAATCGCCGAATGAGGCTGGCTGTAATTACCGGCTAAAACGTCGTACTCGAATTGTACATGTTGCGGGTGGTGGATTTAACGACACTGATATTCACGCAATATAACCCAAAAAAACCTCGTACATTGTATTGGTCACGAAAGCCTACGCGTCAAACACTTCATATACTTATTTGACTTTACCGAAAGAGCTAAGAATATGAATTACTGTAGTCACGAAAGCTTTAAATCAAAACTTCATATACTGTCTAAAAGCACTAACTTTAATTCCTCGAATACAAGGCAGGTCATGAGAAAAAAAATGTAGACTTTTGAACATGTGCTTTTTTCAGAAAATAATATTGCGATAGTTGTCAAATGCATTGGCAGTATACCTATGTTAAGATGGGACATATGGAAGGTCAACTCCGAGTAACCGCAGATTTGTTTATTGTGGAATCGATTGACCATTAGGTCTGGTGGCATCTGCTCTTTAAAATCAAATGGGGCGCCACGGTGGCGAGATGTTAACTACCTTGCCTGGTGTATACAGAGGGTTTGATCTCAACATTGACGCCTGTAGATTTAGAGTTTGCAAGTTCTCCCCGTGGTTGCGTGGATTTTTCTCCAGGTCATCTTGCTTTCCCTCCACATTTAGAATCAACGTGCGTGGAGAGTGTTTAGCCACGATACATTTCCACATGATGATAAGCTACTTTGTTGAGCGATCATTTGTGATGGCCAGATCGCTTTTGAAAAAGAGCTATATGCAGCTCAGTGGGCCTTACCAGGTAAAAAAAAAATAGTTTAATTATGTGGCGACTTCGTGTGTAGCGGGTTCACCTCTAACTAAGTTTCCGAGTGCTTTTTTCATTCAGAAAATGACCAGAAAGGCCTCGTTTCAGGACCAGGGCAGATCGAAGGATGACTATCAAACTCAAGATTTTGCAGTGTCCAAAGTCGGGAAACCCTCAAAGATTTTTCCCAGAATGCACAACACAGCTTTTGCATCAGGCAAGCTCCGAGTGCTCCGCTCGTGTCATCAAGACTGTCGAGCTACCGCAGAAGGCATAGCTCCCGAGCACATATCGCTTGTGAATTAAATGGAACGTTGCACGAAGGAAAGCTCCAAGCAGGACTGCTGATGAGTAAACTTTGCGTCACGCAAGACGGATTTATGCAACGTATTTTCTCAAGTGTGCTTCTATACATCCTTTCAGCTGAACGCACCTCACATCAAGCATGTGTGCGAGTGTTAATGCTTGGTGCCACCAGCCACTCCCAACCCCCTTTAACCGAGCTGGTAATACACAGCTACACTCTTTTGCCACGTGTGTATGCAATAAATACTAGGCAGCTGACAAACGACGCCTTTAGAACAATGGGTACTTCCAAACATTGTTATGAGACATCACTGCACCTGGAGTGGCAACCTTCTGCCAGGTGATGGTCAACTCGCCGGTGTCAGAGTTCAAGGTCACGTGCACATCCTTCGGGGAGCCCGGTGCTGGAGCGGAGAGAGGGGAGAGAATCCGACTTTAAATCTGTGAACTCGCATGATGATAACTTGACACTTGTAATGCGAATAACAGTACCACTGGTTATGTTTCAAGGTCAACCCTCCCCAACGTTTCTGAATGCAGAAAAAAAGTTGCACACTTATGGTGCAATGCGAGGCTAGGAGTAGTGCGAGGTAAAGCTAAACTCTTCATAATAAATGTTTTGCGGGTAAGCTCGCATAAATACACGTGTCCTCTAACCCACCACCACCAGACACAGCCAATAAGTAAGGTTTGTCATGTGAACAGGACATGCCAATTAGCTATTGCTGGCAATGTCGTACTCAATTATACATGTTGTGGGTTTACTCTCCAACACACCGATGTGCTGAAGTAATAGTTAATTTGCACATTAGGTTCATGTGACAAACTTTGGTAATTGGCTGCGTCGGATGGTGGTGGGTATACGATATGTTTATGAAAAGTAAGAATATGCTTTCGGTAAAGTCACGTTGAAGGGAAACAATAAAATATATATTTATAAAATTATAAAATGTATATATTTTATTATTTTATTGTTTCCCTTCAACATGACTTTACCGAAAGAACTAAGAATATGAATTACTGCAGTCACGAAAGCTTTAAATCAAAATTTAAGAATATGCTGTATTTACAGGAGGTTTAACAAGTAGGCTTTCGCGACCAATATTATTCATAATAAAGGTTTTTGGGTTATATCGCGTTATTTATAAATGTGTCGTAAACCCTCCACCACCCGACATGGCCAATCAGCAAAAAAAGTGTCACGTTGACAAAAGACAATTAGTTCACTACTTTAGCCCACCGGTGTGTTGAAGAGTGAATCCACAACATTTACAGTTTTAATACGACGTTTCACTGGTAATTACATACTGCATCATCGGGCAATTCGCCAGAATGGTAAAGCCCTCACTTGCTCCCGGTCTTAAATAGAGCAGCAGGGGTGACGTCATCATTTAACTCATTCAGGTGCAGTAATTATATAATCGATTGGAAATCAATGGTTATGATTAGTAATGAGTTGTAATGTGTGTTATTGTGATTATATGCTACGTTGGTAATCCATTAATTAGTATGTGTTTCCCCTATAAGGAATTGTAGTATCTATGATTGTATTATTTAATAATACGCTTCCAAGCCGCACTAAGCCTGTAGCTGTCAGAACAATTAACATTATTTCTATTTCTCTCAATTTCAATGGATTCTCTAATTAGTCTTTTCCAGTAATAATTCGTTTTACACAACACTTCAACGTTATCAAAATCAATTGAGTGTCCTTGTTGACAAGCATGTTCTGCCACTGCCGACCGTTGTGTTTGAGATAATTTAATATTTCTTTGGTGTTCTTTTAGTCTTGTGCTGATGTTACGTCCCGTCTGTCCAATATAGCATCTGCCACATAAACAATTAATCCGATATACACCTTCTGTTGATAATTTAGGTAATTCGTCTTTAGTGCAAGATACTAGTTTTTGAATTTTGTCTACTGTACCAAATCTTACTGTAATGTTTTGCTTTTGCAAAACACGGGCTAATTTGTCAGTTACTCCTGAGATATGGAATTTTAATTTTTTAACAATCTGATCGCTTTCAGCAGTGTTGCTTTGCGATCGTGATTTGGCATTCAGTGCTCTGTTAATTTGAGTATTATTGTAGCCATTCTGTCGTAATGCTTCTTTAACGTGTTTGATCTCTCTCACTAGACTTTCACCATCTGACACTGTTTTAGCCCGATGTATGAGCGTCTGGATAAGAGAGGATTTCTGAGCTGGATGATGATGCGACTCTGCATTCAGATAGGCATCAGTGTGCGTTTGCTTTCTGTAAACGCTGCATGTTATTTTACCGTTTAGGCCATGTCCAAGCAAAATATCTAGGAACAGGAGTGTGTTATTCACCTCCATTTTCATGGTGAACTGGATGGCCGGGTTTTGTGCATTGAGATGTTTTAGAAAATCATTAAGAGTATCTTTACCATGTGGCCAGACAACCAAAGTGTCATCCACATATCTAAACCAAAAATATGGTTTTAATGTGCTCGAGGCAAGTGCTCTTATTTCAAAGTTTTCCATGTACAGATTTGCTATAGCAGGAGATAAAGGAGAGCCCATTGCTGCTCCTTCCTTTTGTTTAAAGAAATCCCCTCTCCATAAGAATTAAGTGTTATTTAAACAATGGTCAGCAAGTTTCGGAATATCTTTTGGTAAACCCGTATTCATTACTAGTGTATCAAGTAATTTAAGCGATTCGTTCACTGGAACCTTAGTGAATAGAGAAATCACATCAAAACTTACCAGAATATCATTAGGATTAAGTTTAATATCTTTAATCACATTCACAAGATGTTCTGAATTTCTTATGAATGAAGATGTCCTACCGATGTAGGGCTGTATTTGTTTAGTTACATATTTTGCTAATTTATAAGTGGCAGAGCCAATTGTACCGACTATATGGGTCGTAATGGGATGCCGATTTTATGAATCTTTGGTAGCCCATACAGTCTAGGTGGTTTTGATAAAGGCCGCACTACTGTAGTGATGTCACGAGCCGATTATGATAATAAAATTAGAAATTTACTAGAGGAAAGTACCTACATTAAAATTAAACGAGATCCAACTAATACTTTAGAACGTAAGACGACTGCAATAATTGCAAATTCATTAATCCCTAAGAATGAGCAACACCAAATTAGCCAAGGGCCTCAAAACCACCTAGACCATATGTCTCTGTGCTAACTCGTTCTGCTTAGATGTCTTAGTGTGCTCCTCCATCTATACATGTCTGCGATCTGTATTCTATCACTCTTATATTTCACACAACTTACAATTTAGCAATCTTTGAAATAACGTAATCTACCAGACTATGCGTTAATTGTGTTTTGACCGACCGTCTGTGTTGCTTTATATGGTTTCCAAATTTTGCTAAACCCTGTTTGATTTAGTGTGCTCCTCCGTCTTTCTCTGTATCCCCTTGGGTATCTGTGTTAATTCCCTCTACTTAGGTGTCTGTATATATATCTGTGGTTATGTGTTTCCTCTCTCTCTTAAATTTAGCTCTTCTGTACCTGATGATGATTGCTTGTGTTGCAATCGAAACGTCGTATACTATTATGTTATTTTATTGTCTTATTTCTACGTGACTTTACAGAAAAACCAAAGAGTAATTGTCTTTTGTCAACGTGACACTTTTTTTGCTGATTGGCCATGTCGGGTGGTGGAGGGTTACGACACATTTATAAATAACGCGATCTAACCCAAAAACCTTTATTATTTACAGGAGGTGTTAAGATGTGCAAACAGCAAATAGATACCTTTTGCAAGGAATCAGGTCTGCATTAACCACCACACATACTTGTGGAGAACATGCAAACAAAACATGCTCTATTTATAATAGCATTGTCTTCGAAACTGATTGGCCTACACCAGAGACAGCCTTCTTTGTGGGTCTTATCTCACCAGTGTCAGACCAGAGAACGCCAAATAGCGAACAGTACAAATCCAATGCACGTGTTAGAACATTTATAGCTTGGGGTGAGCAGCTATATTGCTAGAAAGAATAAAACCTAGTCTTATTTTCCTACTTTAATACTGGCAAAAATGGTCCCATGACATTCATATTTACGTGATTTAACCTAAAGAAACCTTTATAATGAATAATATTGGTTGCAAAAGCCTACGTGTTAAATAAAGATAAACTGGCCAAAATTATATTAAACTGAACGACAGATGAGACAAATGGTTGTGGCATTCACCAGTGGTTTGCGAGCGCCGTGCAGGTTCACTCTCCCCGTCCTTTGTCAGCGTGGAGACCCCAATATCATAAACCATGCCGGGCCGGAGGCCTTCGACGGTATAGACCCCCGTGCGAGGCCCCACGACGGCATCCAGGTGGGGCGAGGAGTCGCCCGGCAAAGACACCGTCACGCGATAGCCCGTGATGCCAGGCACGGACAGCGGGGTCCAGCGCAGCACCAGAGAGGTGTCGCTCACGTCGGTGAAGCTGAGATCAGACGGCCGTGGGGTGACTACAACCACCCTGTCACCAGCTTCAAAGGCAAATGCAGAGTGAGGTTAGCAAGCACGATTAAATCAGATGCACTTCAAGCCTGATTGCATTGTTTACCCATTGAATTAATAAAATGCACATATTCAGTTTTTGCCACATTAACTATAGCATGTTATGTTTTTTTTATAATTTTCTTTAGAACTGCTTTGTGTTTTATATTCTTAGTTTTTTCGGTAAAGTCACGTTGAAGAGAAACAACAAAATAATAAAATATATAAAACAATAAAAAAAATTCACGACGTTTCGACCATAACTCAAACGGTCATCTTCAGGTGTGTTGGTTTGCATAAATTAATTTTTAAACGGCGCATTTATTTATTTATGAGGCTATCCACATATACAAGCACAGAGACAATTTCAACCGAGAAGATGGATTCTATCTTAGCAATCATTGGAAAGATTTGATAAACCATTTCAGTTCTTAATTGATTGTTCACGCTTACAGTGGCTTTCAGACAGCATACATTATAAAAAATTTCGTCTCCCCCCTCCTCTTTTCAAAATATAGATGGACTAGTCCTGGGCAAACTGCCAAATCACTGCGCGTGACGCTAACGTTTTTTTTATAAATAAATAAATGCGCCGTTTAAAAATCAATTTATGCAAACCAACACACCTGAAGATGACCATTTGAGTTATGGTCGAAACGTCGTGAGATTTTTTTATTGTTTTATATATTTTATTATTTTGTTGTTTCTCTTCAACGTGACTTTACCGAAAAAAACTAAGAATATGAATTACTGCAGTCACGAAAGCTTTAAATCAAAATTTGCTTTGTGTTTTGTTTGTTGTCCATCCCCCGCACCTCCAATCAGCACGGTTGGCTACGTACGGTGCGAAAGATGTTCAACATACATACATGGCATAAAAGCATTCGATATTGGATCAGGGTGAATAGCATTAGAATATCAACACCACAGTTGTAATTCCATAGCCTATATGTGTGACTGCACATCTCTCGCACGCACTCACACACACGAAACATTTGTACACCTGATTTAATTTAGAGGCTAATTAAATACACGTATGCGCAGCTGCAGCCACACATTTTATTGCCAGATTAAAAGTATCACTATTTATCAAAATGAGAGTTTAATAAAGACGTGCAGATATCGTTTCTGGAAAATCTGTTCATGGTGAACATCTCTCATTTGCTCACCTTAAATAATATAACATTGAGGCATTTTAACTGCGAGCGACAACAGTGCAACTTACTAATATAATGCCATTTTTATATTTAAAAATATTCAAGCAAGCATGATTAATATGTTTTTAATCATAAAACGGTATATTTCAGTTTACATATTGTAACACATTTGCATTGGTGGTGTATTAGCAACTGAAGCTTCAGAACAGATTAAATCGTAAATACACTAAAGTAGAGGGCAATAGCAAAATGTGATTTGCCACAGCGTTAAGAATTTGTACAGCTGGAAGTAGAACAAAAATACATTTCAGCAAGATTCAAGATCAAGACAGTAAACCCTTGTTAATTCAACACATATGGGGCTCTGGCCTGGCCAAATTATCCAATATTCTGAATTATGTACAATGGTACTTCCCCCAGTGCCTCCTGCTCCAATAAAAAACATTTTCCAAATGTATTTTCCAAACTCTTCACACATCATACGCATTAACACACCTGCATCAATTATATCCAAAACTTTGGACTCAGGAGATTTTTTACTTCAGTCCGTTTCTATTCTTGATGTGGGTGTAGACGACATTTCCGAGAGGGTCCGCTTGCACAGAGTGCATAAGCGGCAGGTCTGGACTGACGCTCACCACGCGCACCGCCACCAGACCGAGTCGTTGTTTTGGCCGTGGCGCGTGGCGTCGCCCCACGTGTATGCCGGAATTGGACCATTCGGTACGGTAATTCGGCTCATGGTGAATTACTAATATACCGTATATATGCAGAAAGTGCAGCCGTGCCGAGATATCCCCAATAACAAATGATCAAATAACGAAATAATGCGTTTTCAGAAAACAGTCAAAAGTCCAATATAGCCATATTAAAACCCTTTCTGATTACACATACTTAAACAGACCAGGTTGGCCAAATCCAAAGTACCTTACAAGGCTCGCATAAGCTGTGCTAGTCTGTTGTTTTCGTTGCGAAACATCAGATAGACCATTCAGATGCGTTACAAAGCCGAGGAGCCCTCACCAGTTGAAATGATGGTGGACGAAGGTTTGCCCTCCTGACCGTTCTTGACGGCCGTGACGGTGATGTTGTACTCCACACCGGGCGTGAGTCCCTCCACGGTGACCGACGTCTGATCAGGCCTCACCAGCTCGTCCACTGAGTGGCCGCGCTGGCCGTGCAGGGGAGTTCCACGCACTCGGTAGCCCGTCACCCCTACACAGTGTCAAACACAACGTGGATATTACACATCACATCCTCCATATGCCAAGTCTCCCGTTAGGCTCACGGCTTAAAACTATGAAGAACCCGGCAACTATTCAACTGCTCTAACTCTAATTCATCTAATACTAGGCAGGTGAATTGAATAGAAATATGTAGACTGTTGAAAGTGTGCCTTTTTATCAGAAAATATTACGGTGATGGTTGTCAAGAGTACTTCCAGTATACCTATGTTAAAAAAAATAACCTTTCAAATATCAAATTGCATTGCAGGAATCCCCCGCTGTTAAGTTGCCATATTTTCTGTTGTTTCGCATAGACGTTATTGATTAATTCAGTAACAAATTTCCCCTTCAATTATTTAGAGTAATTTTTTTTAACCAGGAATGTACACGCTGAAATATTTACAATTTTGTGATGTAATACTGTAGTTTACAGGCATAGCGTGTACCATGTGTAGGCAGTGTGAGCTCACCTGTGATTAATCACGTGTATAAGTGTGCACTCTGTAGCATATGGGAACTTAAGAAACCATTTGGCACAGCTACGGAGAGCCAGGTGCGTCTTTATTAATAATAATTTACACTTATAAAGCAGGTTTCACCCAGAGGTCGCAAGGCGCTGCACAGAGCTAAAAGCAAGTCAATAACTAACGCAATTCTAAAACCTCATTTTAGCACACAGGCTCATGATTTAATTACGGGTACAATTACACTGTGTAAAAAAAAATTGTTCCTGGGTAGCAAGTGTTATTTCCTAATTGCTTATGCCTAAAAAGTAAAAAAAAATGGCTATTATTCCCCACAAACTTTGCTTTTGTGACCAGGACAGTGATATTTTGAAATTACCTATTTTCAATGAGAAAGCGGGTGAATTCGTGTCTTTTCGTTCACATCAAGTCAGAAAAAAACATCATATGAATAAAAATTTACATAAAGTAATACAAACATGACTACAAAAGATGTAGACACCAAGGCGCACTACAAAAGATGTAGACACCAAGGCGCACTACTACAGGCGGGACTGGCCAGAGCGAACCGAGTTCTCTGTGGGGAGGAACAACGTCGCGTAGGAGTCACTGGTGGACCCCCGGAAGGTGCTGATGCCACCACTGCACATCAAATTGGCCCTTGTGAAACAATTTGTCAGAGCTGTAGATAAGAAGTCGGCAGCCTTCAAAAGTACCTTCAAGACTTCTTCCTTAAGCTGTCCGAGGCAAAGGTCAAAGCTGGCGTTTTCGTCGGACCACAGATAAAGAAGATCCTGGAGTGCAATGAATTCCCCAAGAAGCTCACTAGTAAGGAGAAAGCGGCTTGGAACAGCTTTGTCACAGTGGTTCTTGGCTTCCTGGGCAATCACAAGGTCGAAAACTACGTGGAGCTGGTTGAGACTCTGGTGAAGAACTACGGCACAATGGGCTGTAGGATGTCCCTCAAAGTCCATATCTTTGATGCTCATCTTGATAAATTCAAGGAGAACATGGGAGTGTATAACGAGAACATGATGGGAGACTAAATTTGGGACCGATTCGTGAAAGTGATTTACAGTATAATTGTAAATCTCGAAAAACTACTCACTTCTAAATATTTTGTAGTCATGTTTGTATTACTTTAGTATAGATACATGTCAATTTTGATTCATGTTGTTTTTTTCTGACTTTATGTGAACAGAAATACACAAATTTGCCCGTTTTCTTATTGAAAATAGGTACATTTCAAAATATCACTGTCCTGGTCACAAAAGCAAAGTTTGTGTGGAATAATAGCCATTTTCTATACTTTTTAGGCATAAGCAATTACGAAATAACACTTACTACCCAAGAACAAAAACTGTATTACAGTGTTATTATTAAGATTTGGCGATGGTGATCAGCCATTGGATCGAGCCCCCACGTGCACGGTCAAGTATGAGGCACACCCCCCCCCCCCCAATGTAGATGTGGGGGCTATCTTTTGGACTGAGGAATTCAGCTGCGGTGTTGTGACGTGGAAGGCATCTCTAAACGTCATTGCAGGTTATGCAATTTGCCCTTCCAAAGAGGACTTTTGAAATAAAGTTTTGCCTTTTCACAATCCTCTGGTGTTCGTTCTGCCGTTGTCGAGTCTCCCACTTCTCCGGCGGACAGAACACAACGCAGTCTACTCGTCGTCCCCTATTATTATTTTAATTGTTGTTATTGTTGTCTATTTAGCCGACCTGCCAAGGTGCATGTGGTCGGCAGTTGATGGTCTCCACGAGCTTCAGCACAAGACCCCTCTCTCGCCAGGCGGTGTCAATCGCGGGCGGAGGAGAGGTCAACGAATGTTGCACTAGTTTACCCATTTTGCGTAGCAAGCCACGTTCCATGAAACATGTCAGGGCTAAAAAAAAAAGAACACCTGGTCAAGTAGATTTGGCCATCCTGAAAAAAGCTTGAACTCTGGGGGACGGTTGTGGGTTTTAATTCGGGCGGCAAGGTGCTCCGAAAACAAAGTGCTCCATCGGCGCTGTGCAGGGCCAGTTGGCCTCGTAACTTGCGGGGTTGTTTTGGTGTCCCTTCCCGGGGCCTCTTGCTCGCCATTATCGTCGCCACTCTCCGACTCCTCCAAGGCCTGTCCAATTGAATGGATGTTGGTAAAGAATGGCACGAGCTGTGTCTGGGAAATGGGCCCCAAGGTTCTTCAGGAACTTTGGGAAAACTCCGTTTGAGCCGACTGCTTTTCCAGAACTTCATGTCTGCTCGGTCGTTGTTCACCTCCTCCAGGGATAGTAAGGGGGGTTTGAGCAGGTGGGGACGTTGGAAAGTAATGCGGTGCAGTTCCTGGTGTGCTTACGATCTTCATTCCTATCCACTGGCACCTTTCATCTAGCCACCAGGGTGGAGGCAATAGCATCCGGGTGGTTGGGAAATCATAGGAGCACATAGTGGAGGAGTTTCTAGACTCCAGAGCTTGAAGCATTCCACCATCTCACGCCATTCTCATTTTCTTTAGAACTGCCTTTTGTGTTTAGTTCATTGTCCTTCCCCCGCACCTCCGATTAGCACGGTTGGCTACGTATTGTGCGAAAGAAGACCAACATACATTACGATCCATGGGCAGATAGCCCATAGGTGTCCACTGCACATGTCATTTGTTTCAACTTTCCTCTGTCGTGTGCCCAACATACATACGTATAATGACTCAAGAAGGGCTGTTTCAGTGGCTTGCATTGCATCTCTGGTACTCTTGATAACACTGCCTCCTCTTTGTGGAGACCGGCTAGGAAAATATTCCCTATGGAAGCCACAGGGGATGACCTCTGCGGATACATTAACGAGGTCGACGATGGATGTGATTAACATTGGCCTTCACGATCGTTAAACGAGCTGTCCAAATAGGCCTCCAGGAGGTTCTAGTGCACTTTTGGCTAGGACACCGATTAGCAGGAATTGGAGCCTGATGTGCGAGCACCACGCGGGCCCTGTGCCGATTGGTGGGAAAAGTAGACCCAAGCTGGTCCATTCTGACGGTGATGGAAAAGCCATTCCTATCATGGGCAGACAAAAATCGCGGAAGAGAATGTATGACTCTTTCCAATAGGCCGATTTGAACATACCACGTTGTCTGGCATCGTAGAGTGGGTGTTGATCTTCAGACAATGCCTGATGCCCAGCAAATCAACCCCATTTTTGGTCGGGTTTTCATATAACCTTACATGGTGTGTGGGTGGCTTCTGAAATCCATAACGTGGACCCCGAAGAATGTATGGTCTGGTCCGGTTGGGGCCTGGCGAATGAGCAGTTTGTACACAGGACGGGAGGGGGTGGCGGGGGCTGGTACACATTGGCGATGGTGGACTTCACAAAGCTTGTTGGGTGATGGACGGTGGCGTTGCCAGAGTTGGGAAGCAAAAACCACCGCGTGCCAAAAGGCTTCCTACTGATATACAGCAGGCCTTGCCTGCTGTATATTTGATACTTCAGTGAGAAAAAGGTAAAGAGAACACATGTGATTTATGATCAATGTTTGGGTTAGGCCGTGTAATGATCCAAATAAATGTGTGTCATTAGTAACCCTCTACCACATTAATCATATTTTCTACAAAAACCTATGAGTTCCGTTTAATAGACGTTACTAATATTTGTGTCTCGTGTGTAGTATTAGGGAGCTCACAAATAATGCATTTTAAACGTTAGGCACTCCCCACATTGATATCAAATATCACTGCACCTGGAGTGGGAACCTTCTGCCAGGTGATGGTCAACTCTCCGGTATCTGAGTTCAGGGTCACGTGCACGTCTTTCGGGGAGCCCGGTGCTGCAGTGGAGACAGGAGAGAGAAGACGACTTTAAATCTGTGAACTCGCATGACGATAACTTGATACTTGTAACGCAAATAACAGTAAGGCTGGTTAACGTTTCAAGGATAACCCTTAAGTTGAGCAATGATGGTGCAAAGCGAGGCTCCCAGTCGTGCGATACAAAGATAAACTGAATTTCGATTTAAAGCTTTCGTGACTGGAAGGATTCATCTTCTTTGGCTCTTTCGGTAAAGTCACGTAGAATGAGAATAAAATAATAAATTAATACAATAAAATAACACAATAAAATTCTCACGACGTTTCGGCCACAACACAAGTGGCCTTCTTCAGGTGAAAGGAACAGACCTGTTGGGACGATAGAGTTTCAATGAACGTTGTTAAGATTCGTAGCGTCTTTTTAAGCTGGTTTAGAGAAGTGAGGCACCTTGACAAAAGAGGTTTACATATAAAACAGGAGAATTTAGCATTGAAATAGCCGAGTGATTAGCTTGTGACTGGTCACAGAAATGGTTATATTAAAGTCAAAGCCTACACATCCACAGAGGCACCTAGTACAAATCAAACAGGATAATTTAGCATTGAAATAGCTGAGTGATTAGCTTGTGACTGGTCACAGAAATGGCTATATTAAAGTCAAAGCCTACACATCCACAGAGGCACCTAGTACAAATCAAACAGGATAATTTAGCATTGAAATAACTGAGGGATTAGTTTGTGACTGGTCATAGAAATAGCTATGTTAAAGTCAAAGCCTACACATCCACAGAGGCACCTAGTACAAATCAAACAGGATAATTTAGCATTGAAATAGCTGAGTGATTAGCTTGTGACTGGTCACAGAAATGGCTATATTAAAGTCAAAGCCTACACATCCACAGAGGCACCTAGTACAAATCAAACAGGATAATTTAGCATTGAAATAGCTGAGTGATTAGCTTGTGACCAGTGAAAGATGTTTTAAACCATTTCGGTTCTTAATTAATTGTATTTTACGATGACCTTCAGAACGCAGCTCTTTCGCTGGCATTGACTCTTAATACCTCTCACAACACGGTTAATGGTATGGTTTACAACATGGAGGATAACAGCGCCTCGCAGCTGTCTCTCTCCCCCTCCTCCGTTCCGACCATGGATGAACTCGTCCGTCTGAACGGGGCTCATAGCTATCCGTGGTGCTGAAGTTGAGGGTAAGAATCCACCCATTTTTTCGCCATAGAGCATTGTGATATATAACGACTTATTGTTGGTAGCTTAGCTGATTGGAGAATATATAGAGTTTATTGATAACATTGAGGTAGTTTATATTTTAGTTTTTATTGGTTTACGATATGGTATTCATTGGTGTAGTGTATACCCAGTTACTGTTAATAGCTCAGCTTATTGAAGAATATATTGAGTACATTTATTATATTGATGTAATTTATACTTAGGTTTTTTCACATCGGTTTACTATATGATAGTCGAGTTGTTGCAGCCCCTTTGGCGTCCATGTGCTAGGTGCCTCTGTAGATGTGTAGGCTTTGACTTTAACTTAGCTATTTCTATGACCAGTCACAAGCTAATCCCTCAGTTATTTAATGCTAATTATCCTGTTTGATTTGTACTAGGTACCTCTGTGGATGTGTAGGCTTTGACTTTAACATAGCTTTTTTTCGATTTGAAGCTTTCGTGACTGCAAGGATTCATCTTCTTTGGCTCTTTCGGTAGTCACGTAGAATGACAGTTCTGTACCTTTCACCTGAAGACGGCCGCTTGCATTGTGGCCAAAACGTCGTGATAATTTTTTTGTGTTCTTTTATTATTTTATTCTCATTCTACGTGACTTTACCGAAAGAACCAAAGAAGAAAGCTAAACTGGCCAATGTGATATTAAGCTCGACAGATGAGACAAATGGTTGTGGAATTCACCAGTGGTTTGCGAGCGCCGTGCAGGTTCACTCTCCCCGTCCTTTGCCAGCGTGGAGACCCCGATATCATAAACCACGCCGGGCCGAAGGCCTTCGACAGTATAAACCCCCGTGCGAGGCCCCACGACGGCATCCAGGAGGGGCGAGGAGTCGCCCGGCAGAGACACCATCACGCGATAGCCCGTGATGCCAGGCAGGGACAGCGGGGTCCAGCGCAGCGCCAGAGACGTGTCGCTCACGTTGGTGAAGCTGAGATCGGATGGCTGAGGGGTGACTACGACCCGCCGGTCGGCAGCTTCAAAGCCAAGCGCGGAGTGAGGTTAGCGAGCACGTTTAAATCAGATGCAGTTGATTGCATTGTTCAAGCATTCCTTAAATAAATAAAAGCACACTCGTCAGCTTTTTTACACATTAAGCTAAGCACGTTAGGGTGTGGAAGCATTAGATCTTAGATAAGGGTGAATAGCAGTAGAATATCAACACCACGTTTGTATTTCTGAGGCCAATGTAGAGGTTTGTAATTTTCTTTCACAATCACACCGCAATAGAAAATCTGCTTACGTCGGGTTGCAGTGGAACGTTTTCTTTTCCCATCCATTATCAGCCTTAAGCAAGTCTGGTTTTGCATGTTCTGCGGTCCCTCACTACTGCCCTAGTAGAGAAATGTACTTCTCATGGACCTAACCGCATTATCGGTAGCCTAAAACAATGGCTGAACTGTGAACTGAGATTCATAATAACATCCATGTCTAGATCCTGTAGACCCTGTGATTTATCGAATTTATGAAGATGAAGGGAATAGATAAATGTAGTTTTCCAGTCATTCATTTTTTTTACTTGTTCATCCGTCACATTCAGGGGCATTAGGTACTCATAAAGGAGTTTTTTTTACAAAGGCTTACCAGAAAAAAAGACATTTACAATGTCCAAATTTCCTTTCCCAAAATTTGAGTCTCATCTAAAAAAAAAATTGCGCTTACAAAACGCCTAAGTTGTTACGCAGTGACAACGGCAGTGTGGATATCTCACCGTTTGAGATGACGGTTGAAAAGGGCTGGCTCTCCATTTCGTCCTTGATGGCCGTGATCGTGACGTTGTACTCCACATTGGGCGTCAGCCGGGCCAAGGTGAAGGACGTCCGGTCCGGCCCCACGAGCTCATCCAGAGGCTGTCCCCGCTGCCCGTGGAGGGGCGTGCCGCGCACGCGGTACCCCGTCAGACCTGCGCGGTGATTTTAACGTTGAACCTCGGGCGCACCACAGTTCGAACGACATCATCGTGAGAAGAGCGGTCACGGTGTTTTCCGGTGCGGTGACGCGTGGCTGAGTGGTACCGCGTTCGCCGCTAATTGCAGAGGTTCGAGATTTGCACCCGAGAGAGGGCGTGTCCCTGGCTAATACCGCACCTGTGTTCACGGTGAAATACTACGCACCCTCTGCTTCATAGTGGGCATTATGGATCGTGTGATGCCAATCAAAAAACATGGGTGTGGTATGTATGTATGTAGAACTTCTTTCGCACCGTACGTAGCTAACCGTGTTAATCAGAGGTGGGGGGGGGGGGGTGAAGGACAAACTAATTACATAAAGCAGTTCTAAAGTAATTAGTGTTCATACATTTGATTTAAAAGTGCATAGCTCCAGTGGCTTCCTAATAACGGAAGGAAGAGCATTCCTAAACGGCCGCAGAAGCGCATCCGAAAGTGTGCGATGCGGTGACTGTCTTTGTTCAATGGCCAGCCAAAAGCCGCTGCGAGAATGATCAGATTTCGACTTCTGGTTTATGTTCCTTAACGAGATCAGCACGGTATTGTGGTTCATTTGTGGCAAGCGGTGCATATCTCCAACACACACCTGGAACGGTCATTCCCTGCCAGGTGATGGTCAGCTCTCCGTTGTCGGGGTTTACGTCTACATGCACGTTCCTGGGCGGTCCCACTTCTGTTAAGAGATACGAAAGCAGTTCAAGCGTAAAAATTAAACGTCTATGTCGTTCTAATATTCATCCACCATGACACAATGACATACTAAAGCATAGCCAAATTGGTAAATGCAACACATCTATTAGAATTCAGAAAAAACACGAACAGTACCATGATGCAATGCTCAGCAATTTTTTCAGTTTTAAATGATGTTTTCTTTTATTTTGCGTCGGTTGTGCAAAATGCATCTCACAACGTGATTTGTAATGCGCACAGCTCTCACACGGCGCCGTGGAAAGCTTGTGACTGAATCTCGAGTGAAGGGGTCGGCAACCATAAATAAAAAGAGCCATTATTTTTTAGAATTTGGTAAAAAAACTCAACAATTGAAGAACCGCAATGCGTGTGAGAATATGAGACTGTGGTCCTAAATAAATAACGTCACCAATCCGTCCTTAAAAGGCCGTGCATTAGTGTCTATTGAAATCCTTTTCAAAGTGGGAAAACCAGGAGCTGCACCAAACGGCTGTGACAGGCATTCCACATGCAAATGTTAACAACATGTGACAGTTATTATGCAATTAGGGTCTATATAGCATGCATGTTGAACTTCTTTCGCACAGTACGTAGCCAACCATGCTAAATCGGAGGTAAGATATAACACTAGTTTACAGAGATAATTCCCTGCTAATTCCCGTACCACTCCCACTATGGGAGAACCAAACACGGTTTAAATTCCATCCATGTGGCAGCCGCTTGATCTCTGGAACAGAGCAAAAATGTTTGGGATCAAAACCTCACCCCATCCTTGTCCCTACTTTAAAATCACTTTTAGACCTCTGATTTCCTATCACGTGTACATGTGATTGATCGCGCAGCTTTGCAAATTTTAAATTAGAATATTGTTTTATTTAATGCGATGCGTTCTCCCAGCCCTGTTGTATTTCCCTGTGGTGCTTGTACCACGACGTTGATGCAGGATGGGCCTTGCCATTCTGAACTTCAAAGTGCACAGTTATTTTGGGTTGTTTTAGGCCCATTTTTTGTTATTGTTGAAACTGGGTTTCTGTAACCAGATCCCCATAAAAATAAACATTTACAACCCAATAGGTTGTACCTGTGCCAGAATAAAACCAAAGACAATTTTGCTATATTTAAATATTAGCTCTAGCAAAAGTCTCACTTTTAAAAAGGACAATCTTTTTTTGACAGGGAGGATAGCGTAACACAGAAGTCAGTGGCGAAGGATTGCTCGGTGTGGCCAATGCTCGGATCGAGGATGGCTGAAGACAAGTGTGTTGAACTTCTTCTTTCGCACCGTAACCTAGCCAACGTCGACAACGCTTCCCAAGAAAAAAAAACGCGTACACATTTTCTGAACTTATAAAAAAAACAGATCTGCACTCACCGGTGCTGTGTGTCCCGCGTACGGCTTCAGACTCCCCATTTTCCACGAGCGTGGACACGCTGAAATCGTACAGGATGCCGGGCTCCAGCCCGTCGATGGAGAAGGCCCCAATGCCGGGCCCGACAGTGTCGTCCAGGAGCAGCGAGGCATCACCGGGCAAGGACACGGTCACGCGGTAGCCCGTCACGCCGGGCAAAGGCAGAGGCGTCCAGCGCAGCACCAGCGAGGTGTCGCTCACGTTGGTGAACGCCAGGTTCGTGGGTCGGGGGATTTCTGTGGCGAACCCAGGAGGAGGGGGAAGCACAGAGTGAGGGCACATCGAGGAGAACCGCGGCGATTACGTGGCAAACGTAAAATGCCACAACGCAGACATCCTATTTCAAACTGGTGGCTTATCTTGTAAAAGGCCGGAGCAGTGAACAAGGGGGTAATGAACACAAATGTGCCACATGTAGTATGGTTGCAGTCTCAACAAGAGTACACGCAAACCGACACACCTGAAGACGACCGTTTGTGTTATGGTCGAAACGTCGTGAGAATTTTTATTGTTTTATATATATTTTATTATTTTATTGTTTCCCTTCAACGTGACTTTACCGAAAGAACTAAGATTAAGAGTACACGTTTCAATGCCCCACTATTACACTTTTTTTTTATCAACTTTGCATGCTTATTTCTTGCAACAATATGATTCTCCTTAAGCACCGATAGACGGCAGGGGAGGCCACAGCCTGACCTTCAACTACCACTCGGACATTACCTTTACCATTTATGTATGGTTAAATTATGACGTGCGTATATTCTGAATATGAAGTTTCGGTAGAAAGAGCTTTGGATTTATTACCATTATTTTACAGTGAAAATAATGTAATGTACACCTTTAAATCACTAAATACATACTATATTTATCAATCTGTTTTTTTTATAAATACAAACAAATTATGTTTCTTCACTATGTTCTTTGATTTATATCAGTTTTTAATTTTAATACTGTACAGTATAAAATATATTATTTTCAATGTAAATGGTCGTTGCTTAAAATATGAAATAAGTTATTCATTGTTTATAGTATGACATAATAAGCTCCAAAGGCCAGAAATGCATCATCATAGTACTCATGTTACAAGTTATGCAGCATAATAAGTTTCAAAATACGAATAAAGTCTCAGGTAACGTACCCTACTTCATATATCGAGGCATTGCTGTATAATGTACCTACACGAGTGAGGGACCACGACAACATTGGGCACTTACCACCGGTGGCACTGGAGGAAAATGGGGCACTCTCCACACCATCCTTGAGGGCCGTGATGGTGATGTTGTACCTCACTCCGGGAGTGAGGCTGTCCAGAGTCAGCGACGTCTCCTCGGGTCTCACCAGCTGATCCAGGAGGTGGCCTCGCTGCCCGTGGAGGGGCACTCCACGCACGCGGTACCCGGTCAGGCCTGGAGGGGGTGGGCATTAGAAAACGGACAGCAGAAAGGTTATTCAATGAGGTTTTGTATGTACGTATGTTGAACTTGTTTTGCACCGCACGTAGGCAACCGTGCTAATTGGAGGTGCGGGGAGGTAGGACAAACTAAACACAAAAAGCAGTTCCTAAGAAATTCGTTTTCAATCTAGATTTGAAAGTGCATAGCTCCAGTGGCTTGCTAACATCAGAAGAACGTTCCAGATGGCCGCAGAAGCTCATCTGAAAGCATGCAATGGCAGTGACCATCTTTGTTCGATGACTAGTCAAAAGCCATTGAGAGGATGACTGGAGTTCGCGTTTTATACAGGAACATGACACAGGCTACTAAACTGCTGACAACCAACTTATTTACGCACGCATACACATGCCTCAAAATAATAAGCTTACTGCTAAATAATACAAATTGACCATCATTGCCACTTTACAATTTATGTTCTCTGAACTCTTAACAGAGACAGATGTTCTTAAGGTTTCCCATTGACATTTATTTTTTTATACATTTTCAATTTCTACCAAGCAACCAAAAATTTTTGTTTTCAATTCAGCAACTATAAAAACAGCATATTCTGGTTATAACTCTTTTAAATAAGTTTGCCTTGTATATAAATACTTCAGGCTCCACCAGGAAAAGCCCCTTCTTATCAACAAGACATAAAGCGGACAAAAATTATCATCATCTAACATAAACGTGTAATTTGATTAATTTTATTACAATGCACATCACTAACCCTTTCCCATTCCGATTATGTAAACGTACACGTACGTCATCGTCGGAATGGAACCGGGAAAAAAAAACTACCACACGGAGAAATATGGCAAGCTCTGATTGTGGGGCACTTTAAAAAGGTACAACAAATCAGCAGGTTTCATCGTTTGGTAGGTTTACACATACATGAAATCTAATATACATTGGGCCTTATTATTATGCCCGCACTCTGATGAAGTATTACTCTTCTAAGCTATCACGAGGCCCACAAACTTAAACCTGAACGTATAATTTACACATACTTGCTATACACTCGGAGAAGATTTGAAAGGTTTTACAGAAGTTGCTGCTCGGGCTAATGTACAATATCAGATAATATATATTTTAAATGGTTTCTATGATCAATGAGTGTATCATTAAGGGGCTGGATACAATATATGTAACACACGTGACACATAACATTAAAATTATACAGGAATCGCACCAATAACTACAGAAAATATATTCGTGCACCGCCTGCTAAAAAGCCTCAAGAAATTTTCAAACAAACACAAAAGAGCGCAAAACAAAACCTACAATAAATTAAAAAAAAACATAATGCAACTGGTATTGACCAAACATCTCAGCGCTGAAAAGTTAGCAGAAAATTACTCGATTTGGATTATACATTTAAAAGATGACACCCGCCCCCTGCGAAAATCTGGAAGGACCCTCCTGAAAAGCTTTGGATTTATTACCATTATTTTACAGTGAAAATAATGTGACTCGGCGAGGATTTTTCTGGGCGAACGATCGTCACGATGAACAACAACACCAAGGTAGCAACGAGGCCATACCCGGAATGCTGGATCTGTCCCACGACAGCGTCAGTTTCCTTGTGATGGGGTTCACATCCACCTTGACGTTCCGGATTTGAGCAAAGGCTGCAAATGCACACAAAAGTGGAACAGAATTGACACGCATTTATGCAAATAAATTATACTCCAACGCTAGAGAGCTGCGTTGCCCATATCGCACGAAATGGGTCTTCTCCGGGTGCTCCAGTTTCCTCCAACATGTATAACCACTCTCGAATTGGCCGAAAACATCTTAGAATATACGGGCCTCCCATGTTTGTGGATTGTGCAGCCTTGCGAGTGAGATGCAGTTTGCAATAATGACGTTGCTATAAATATACTTATTAAAACTTACAAAGAAAGGAGACCTCGCACGTTATGCCGACGTGTCTCACTGTCACGTAGTGGGCAGTACATAAAATGGACTTGCATGCAGCAGACTAGTTGGCCCAGAGTCTGCTTATTATGTCCCACGTAACATTCTATTGAGGAAATAGCTTAAACTTAAGATAGCAATTACACCATTGGCGATAACGACAAACAAAAAATCATTTAAAAAATTCCCCAAAAAACAACAGGGTGAGAAACGGCAGCGTACGTGTGGTGATGGTTTTCGTGGCGGGCCGAGCAATCTGCCGCCCATCCCACAGGATGGAGACGGTCACGATGTACTGCTCTCCGGGGGTCAAGCCGTCGATCAGGATGCTGCCCGACTCCGACGTCTCCGTCCTGAAGGGAGCCTCGTGCTCGGGGAGCTGCACCGATGCCTGTGGGTGGTAACGCGTGGGCACGCGCACTCTACCCGTTACAGCCGTTCAATCGGTTACAACAACAAAAACGCTAATCAAGAGACACACCCCCAGGCAACGGCAGGTGTGGTGGGGGCTTGCTGTTTGCCACGCATAGGAGGGCAATTGCGCTGCGTGTAAATAGCGTTTAGCAATGACACACACGGCTCGGGGGGGGGGGGGGGGGGGGGAGCGGCCACCTCCTCCACACTGGAGAATGACGGAGTTACCCCCCCCCATTGTGGCGAGATGTGAACTCCCTCCCCTGGTATACAGGAGGTCAGAGGTTCGATCCCGACCCTGACGCCAGTTGTATATTTGGACTTTCTCTCTACCCGTGGATTTTTTCCAGGTTCCTCTGGTTTTTCCCTCCACATTTAGAATCAACGTGCGTTTCGAGTATTTTCCTGCTATAAAGTTCCACATGATAAGCTACTTCATTGAGCTATTATTTGTGGCCAGGTGGCTTCAGAAAATATAGAAAGTTCAGTCGGCCTTTTCCTGGTAAAATATTTTTTTTTTAGTTTTAGTTCAGAATGTGAAGCGCAATCTGTTTATCGCAGAACCCACCGCTGCCTGTTATATATTCTTACACGCGAGGTAAATGAACACTTAACAGCAAGTAACTCCTGATACCAGACGAGACAAAGTTATTACGTTTCATCAGTTGCTTTTCAATTTCCTGACAAGAAGATATTATTTAAAGTCAAAGCGAATTCTTCCTCAATTGAGCATTGAACAAGCATCCATGCTCATCGCCTGTTTATAGCCTTGAGCCAGTGCATTGAAATTCCTCATTCCTATGATGGGGTAAGTCTATCCATAGGACAAGCACTTGACTTCCCCCACGAAGTGGTAGTTATTGTATCAACTCCAGAGGTCCGATGAGTTGAGTAAACCCCCAATCAGGATTGGAACTCGCAACCTTCCGAGTGTGAGCCGCCCACTCCAACACTGCTGGGCATACGGTAAACCGAGACAGCTTGATCGCTTCCATTTTATTTTTAGGAACTAACACTGACAACTGGTAACTCCAGCGCAAGTTATAATTAAAAGGTAACGTTTACTAATACACACAACCATGTGCCACACATTATTCGTTTTTTGTACTCCTGGAGTATACTAAAAACACCACTGCTAGTTTGGCACGATTAATTTCTCATAAGAGCCCCACCTAAATACATGTGTTTATTTATTTACTTTAAGCGTAAATGTGAATAATTTTCACTTCCCTTGGAACCATGCTTGACAAAGATGGGATAAAAAGTTTAAACTTATAAATGTACATATGTTAAGAGCTTCGCAAACCATAACAGGATATAATTCATGTCAAATGAATAAGATATATCAATCGGTTAAGGTACATGAATAAGTTCGTATGTATGTTGAACTTCTTTCGCACCGTACTTGGCCAACCGCGCTAATCGGATGTGCGGGGGGGAAGGACAACAAACTAAATACAAAAAGCAGTTATAAAGAAATTAGTTTGTGAATCTACATGATTTTAAAGTGCAGAGCTGCAGTGGCTTCCTAATATCGGAAGGAAGAGCATTCCAGACGGCCGCAGAAGCGCATCCGAAAACGCAAAATGCAGTGACCGACTTTAATTAATTGATATTCGCTCTCTGCCATAGGAATGTGGACTTTCCAAGGCTGGCTCAGGGCCACCAATATAAATTAGTACCACCCCACACACTGGCACATGAAGTGACCAGCGGCTATAGATCTCCAAATACCTTTCCTAATGTCACTACTACCACAACTTTTACTTAAAAAAAACACACGGGAAAGGGAATTTTAACTCACCAGGACCGAGACACTGGCCGTGGGTTTCCACCTGAAAGTCAGCGACGTTTCCGTGATTTCCGTGATGATCTCGGGCAGAGATCCGGGCAAAGGCCCTGACCGTTCCGATGTCTCAAAAGGGCCGACAGCTGGCTGGCGTGGATGGGTGTCTGGCTGGCGTGGATGGGTGTCTGGCTGGCGCGGATGGGTGTCTGGCTGGCGCGGATGGGTGTCTGGCCGATGTGGATGGGTGTCTGGCCGGCGTGGATGGGTGTCTGGCCGGCGTGGATGGGTGTCTGGCCGGCGTGGATGGGTGTCTGGCTGATGATGTGGGTGCAAGTCAGAAGGAGTGCCAGGCTGGGTATCTGGATGAGGATAAGCCTGAACGCCCACTTGGGAGCCCGCTTCCACTGGAAAAGGTAACAAAGAGAAAGCACACACAAAACGCACGCCCGTCACGAGTACGCAAGCTGCTCAACAGTGCACACTGCATCCAAGTGTTCCTCCTTTCACTGCAAAAAAGGGACGTTGCGATCGGTCTAGAAAAATACGATAACGGCAGCGAGGTAAAACATTCAACAAACCAATATACTCAAAGCTCAAATGTTTGACAAAGTAAATGTAGCCCCACTGGAAGCAAGAAAAGTGGCTCTTGAAAGCTGAAGATTTTCGTCCCCCCCCCCCACCCCCCCCCCCCCCACCCACAAGCAAAAACAAACACTCTGCTTCGACGACAGCCGAGACAAGATAAAGCGGCAACGATGACGATGCTCCAGCGCCCGACGGAAACGCGAGCCATGGGGCGGGTGGGAGGGGGACGTACGAGTCGTGAAAATGGCGCTGAGCGGCACGCTGCGCTGCCCGTTCTTGACGGAGCGCAGCGTGATGGTGTACTCGGTGGCGGGCCGCAGGCCGCGCTCCGTGTGGTGGCGCGCCTCGGGCGACACGGCCAGCGATTTTGGCCGCCCGGCGCCGGGGCGCGTGGGGCCGTAGCTCAGGTGGTAGCTGTCGAGTGCGGCCTGCGGTGCCGTCCAGTTGATGGCGACGCTCGTCTCGGTGATCTCCACGAAGCGCATGTCCGATGGAGCGTCGACCACTGGCGCCCCGGGCAGAAAGCGAAACGGAGGATTCAACGTCGCGCGGCGAATTTGAAAACGTTTTGGCCCCGCGGACGACATGAGATTTTGATTTGGGTCGGCAGCCACGCAGGTAAACTGCACGGCAATGGCGTACGCAGATTTTACTGTGCACAGTAGAAACTAAAAACTCTATGATTCTAGATTTGAAGCTTTCGTGACTGCAAGGATTCATACTCTTTGGTTTTATTCTTTTATTTTATTTTACCTACGTGACTTTACCGAATAAAACCGAAGAGTATAAACTCTATAAGTTGGTCAGATTTAGGCGAGTTACATGCAGAGATAAACTGACACACGATGATCTGCCTCAACAGAATAATTCAGATGCTAAATTGCCTACAATGTGTTACAAGTGGAGAAAACATGACCTTGTGCGTGACGTCAACAGGGGGTGGTGCTTAACTAGCACATGGTAGTTAGACAGTTGAGATACGGTACAGAGAGAGATGGTTATGTTTACTGAAAGGTAGTGCTTGTTGTTACTTGCCAAGTAGTAAACAAAGACTTACATTTTTCATATTCTTGGGTCTTTCGGTAAAGTCACGTAGATAGGTTCAAAGAAAATAATCAAAAATAACAGAAAACTACGACGTTTCGATCGCATCGCAAGCGGTCGTCTTCAGGAAAGGGGGGAAGCGGGCTAGCTTGTTATTTTTTTTATTTGAACCCATTTACGTGACTTTACCGAAAGTCCCAAGAAGAGGAATTCCTGCAGTCACGAAAGCTTTAAGTCAAGATTTAAAGACTTACATTGTTTAATAAAGGACATATAAACGTATTCTTGGTTATTTCGGTAAAGTCACGTAGAAGGGAAACAATAAAATAATAAAAATATAAAACAATAAATTTCTCACAACGTTGACTGCAACACAAGCAATCATCATCAGGTTAGCACCACGGATAACAATTTGACAGTTTGTTCAGATGGACGAGTCCATCTATGTTAATGGACTCGTGAGAATTTTATTGTTTTATATATTTTTTTCATTATTTTATTGTTTCCCTTCTACGCAACTTTACCGAAAGAACAAAGCATATTAATCCCTGCAGTCACTAAAGCTTTAAATAAATAAAAAGACAAACGGTTATTTATTTTATCATTACAAGACCATCCTGAGCGCAATCACTTTAAACTTCTCAATTAGCGAGCTGCCGAAGGAAAGGAGGAAAAAAAAACAATAAAAAACAAATACAACTAACCCTTAATGACGTAACAAAAAAAAACACCACGCGTGACGACGTTACCACGAAACGAGAAAAATTTGTTTCCTGGATTCCGTGCAGACCCAATGCCGCCGAGCAGGTATATATCGAGCGCACACACAGGGCAGTAAAGGGGCGGGGGGGGGGGGTGTGGGCGATAGGAGGGTGGACGCACGTGTTGTTTGCTCGCCGACGAGCGGCTGGCTCTCCTGGCCGCCCTGGTGGTACACGGCGTAGACCTCGAAGCGGTACGTGACGCCTGGCTGCAGGCCGTCCATGTCGGCGAAGGTGTGCTCCGTGAATGGCACGCGGAACGCCTCCTGCGCCCGCCCCAGCGGCGTGACGACGATGCGGAAGCCCATCATGGCGTCGTCGGGGGCGACGGGCCGGTTCCACATGAGGACGATCTTCGTCTCGGTCACGGCGACGAACTGCAGGTCCGTCGGAGGCGCCAGGATCAATTCTGCGAAGAACAAAAAAACAAAAACCGTGAGCTTCGGACGCGAGACGGACACTACCCGCTCACGCAAATACCAATCAGCAGGATTTGTAATGCACCGATAACAGTTTATTTGCTTTAAATGTAACCCAATGATAAAAACAAAGAAGTATGAATGTTCACCATTTAGATATTTGTCCTGGCAAATAAGAATCTGCTGATAATTAATCCATATCACACAGGACGATAATAAATGATCAAACTCCATAGCTAAGTAGCACACACAAGGATGTGTGAGATGGCAGAAGCTATACTGCGACGATGCGATGGGATAGAAGTGGCAGATTTAGAGGTTTGAAGTCCTTGCCACCTGGCAATAGATGATATCCGTCACTGAATAGCATCGACTACACTGACAGACAATTCTACCCAGTGGTGGGCATTGCTTTACCACATTAGTGCACCATCTCCCCAACCATTCATTACACAGATAATCTGCACTCTCCCTTGGGTAGTGCTATGGTGGCAAAGTGCCCGTCATTTGGAAGGTCGAGTTCAAATCCCAATTGAGAGTTAAATTATACAATCATGATTTAGAATTGATATCTGGCCAAATGTATGTCGTGACACTTGCCACCACCTGATATCGCCATTGAAATGCAATTGTCACTTGATGTACATGCTTTTAACAAACCGATTACTATTGTTGTTTGAACTTACCAGTGAGTTGAAGAAACTTGGCCAGATCATTATGTGGCCAAACCCAAAGATCAATTACGAATCATATTATTTACTGCGAAAACCAACCTTCTAAGTTTATATAATCACCATTCCCAGGTGCTTAAAAGGGGCAAATGAAAAGAATGATGCCAAGGAGGGATTTTGGACATCAATTGCAAACAAGACATACAAAAGTGCATACTAAAACTAAGTAGGAATTAATAAAAAAAAACAGACGCATTTACTGGGTGGACAATTCAAGCGGGGCCGCAAATGACATTATACCTCGGTGTTGGCCCGTGCCAGGCAGCGTGGACTGCTGGATGAAAACGGGTTCGCTGTCCTGCGTCTCCCCCACGGCTGTTAGCGTGATATTGTACGTGACTCCCGGAGCGAGGCCGCTGAGCGTCACCGAGGTGGACTCGCTGGGCAGCGTGAGCTCCGTGCTGGCGAGCTCCGGCCGGGAGCCCTCCTCCACCGGCGTGAACACGATGCGGTAGCCTGTGCAGAAAGCAGCGCGCGCGCGCGTGAGCACACGCTTGTCACTACGGGCCTAACCACCAGTGGTGGTAGGGAGGGGGGGGCACGTGTACGTGCGTGTGTGCGTGTGTGCATGTTGAACTTCTCAAAGCACCACCGTACATAGAAAAAACCGTGCTAATCGGAGGGAGGCATGGGGGAAGGACAAACTAAAGGCAAAAAGCAGTTCTAAAAAAAATAGTTTTCAATTAGGTGGCCTGTAAGGCAGTACTATAGAAGCCAGCAAGGGTTGGTGGATCACAAAGATCCCCTATATAGCCTTTAACACAGACTGAGGGAAAGTGCTTTACCGAGCACCTATGAAGGCCAGAACGTTACGCAACGGAGTGAGTGGCCAGTATTACGCCCGATCGCCTTCGTCTCCCCAGTGGCGATGTTTACACACCCCACCAGGTACTCATTTGAGGCAGTCAACCTCGGGGAAGCCCAGGACCAGTTCAGAAAATCGTTACTGGTGTTGGTCACGAGCACGAATCGAACTCAGGTTGTCTCGTTCGTCGAGCAGTGCACAAACCACTGCACCACCCCCTCCCCTCACTACACACACACACACACGCCTTAGCTGCCCCGCCCATCTCTAAACCTTTACAAACAGCCTGCCTCATCAGCAGATTTCCCCCTCTTTTTTCACCCGAAGACGATTGCTTGTGTTGCGATCGAAACGTCGTGATATTGTTATTATTTTTTAGTATTTTCTTATATCTACGTGGCTTTACCGAAAGACCCAAAGAATATTAAATCATGCAGTCAAGAAAGCTTTAAGTCAAGATATAACAAGCAATCATGGCCCCATTGTTGGGTTTGAATTGTTGTGTTTGTTGGCTACTGCAGAGCAATACCTTCTCCAAATCATCCAAGAAACACCGAGCTTAAATCTAGATTGAACACATTTCTCTACAACTGCTTTTGTGTTAAATTTGTTGTCTTTCTTGCGCACCTCCAATTAGCACAGTTGGCCAAGTACGTTGCGAAAGTAGTTCAACATTACACACACATATATATACAGGCTAAAGCACGGATATCGGATTACAGAGCCAGATGCTACTATAGAACAGCATTAAACGTATTGCGCAAATATGACTCTCTCTCAAATTTCTCTCACGTTGTCTCTCATATTCCACAATGTATGTTAAGCTGTCAGCTGTCATTAAATCTGACCAGGAGGCTCAGCGGTAGAGGTAGCGGTACACAATGGGAAGGTTTACCTGGTAAGATAAAAAATAGTTGAGTTTTATTTGTATCAATCTTTTTCCCAGTAATTTGTTTACCTTTCCTATATTTTGCGCTCCTATCGTAATTTTGAATTGTTTGTTGTTTGTAACGTTCTGACCTGCTCCCTACTGTACATCTGTGAAAAAGAGCTTTATAGCTCATCGGATTCCTCCAGTGTGAATAAATATTCCGATTCTGAGATTGTGAATTCAAATCCTGGTTGTAGGGTGGGACGTTAACTGCCAATCATTCGGAGACGATAAAGTGGAGCAACTTTGCGGGGAAGTCAACAGTGGTTGCCGTATGAATGGACATCTCACCCCCGTCATAGAAATGTGGAATTCCTACCTCAGTGCTCATTTGAGCAGGAAATCACGTGACTTTCTTTTCAACTCCAATTATAGCAAGCGATGATGCGGTACAACTTTACCTCTTATGGGAGCCTTTGGAGCGATCCAGCGGATTACAAGGGATGTGTCCGTAGCCTCTGTCACTTCATATTGTTGAGGGGCATCCGGAGCTGCATACAAAACACACGCACACACGCACATTGAAATGGCTGCTCAAATTTTCGATTTTTGATTTTTTTTAAAAACCACCACTATATCTAGATATTTAGATGCCTGTCAATCCCTTAAAAAAAACCTGCAAAAGACACCAGAAACTAATAGGCTACTTGTGTTTATTACGATACTCAATATCCAATACAAAGATCCCCCGTGTAGCCTTAATGGACTGTTGGAGCAAGTGCTGTTAAGCGAGCATCTATGAAGGCCGGCATGGCCTTCATAGGGTGGGTGGGTGGCCAGCACCACACCCGGCCACCTTTGTTTCCCGAGTGACGATGTTTACATACCGCACTAGGTACTAAGACGAAGGTACTTTGCAAGCCTACTGGCTATCAACAAAGATTCGCTCGTGGCCATCCATATATAGACAGACACAATTTCAACCGAGAAGATGGGTACAAACTGAGCAATTATTGTAAGGACGTTATCAACCAGTTTAAGTCATAATTGGCTATGATGTTCCCATCCTACCACCTTCCGATGTTAGTTGTGCTTTACGCCCATTTCAAACTTGCGCTTTCACAGACGCTTCACGCGCCGACCCCTTGGTTGTGGCTCTGCGATCTGCCATTAACATGATAATCTCTTTAACATGCTAATTTTCACCTGGCAGCCCTTTGATTGGTGGAAAACGAACCACCGCCGGGCTCGCTGTCGAACACTTACATTATCATTGCCTGCTGACATTTGGGCTACGTCCATTTCAACCCTTGTAAACAGTTTTCCTTGGAAGCTAACCCCTCTTTTCCTGAAGATGACCACTTGCGTTGCGATCGAAACGTCGTAGTTTTCTGTTATTTTTTATTCTTTTCTTTGAACCCATCTACGTGACTTTACCGAAAGACCCAAGAATTTGAATTCCTGCAGTCAAGAAAGCTTTAAGTCAAGATTATTTAGCTTGTTTACACAGGATAGCCTCACTTTGTCTCAAGACTTTTTCAGGAGGATACCTACCAAGTGTTCACAGTAGGAAGTGCTGCTGCTGCGTGTAATTCCAATTGTTTGCAAGGCAATTTTTCAGCACCGAGAAGTTTGACCAATACCAGCTACGAGAGGAAACTAGAGAGCCAGGAGGAAAACCCGTGACAAAACCAACAGGGGAAGAAGAACACACAGATGCCTGAGCCAGAAATCAAACCATTCCTCCCCCACCCGCGGATTTCTGCCGCCAAAACAGATTTTTAATGACGAATCGTTCAACGGCCGGCAATCGCCTTCAGGTACCACTCGCAGAGAGCAGTGACGGTGCGGAGGGCCGTGCGGCATTACCGGTGGTCTGCGTAGTGATGAGAATGAGAGAGTCGTCCTGTCCATCCGTCACCTCGTACACCTTCACGTGGTAGCGCCTCCCGGGGAGCAGGTTCTCCAGTGACACGGAGTTGGCCGTGTTCGGCAGGTCTGATCGACGACATGAGAAAAGGCACGCGCACCAGTGTGTTCAGGACGAAGCAGCAGGATTGCGGCGTGTAAAAAAGCGTTTTTTATAAGACGTTGATGAAACCCTCAAATTATTTTGGTCGGTCATTAAGTTCAAGAGCTTCTCAGGTACAATGACTCGTTGGTTCCCAACTCAAATTCATTCAAGAAAAGGTCTGAATATGGAAGCATAACACCTGAACCTCCTCAAAGTTTTTTTTATATTTTAGTTTTTCCTCTTACCAACACAGTATCAAAGAGGGTAAAATCCAGCGGGCACAGTGGCTACCGCACTGCGGTACGAATCCCGAGTTTCATTCTCAGTCACGGCTAACATTAGTGGCTACTCATATCTAGATTGGGCCCACCCCCAATCTGCCCTTAACCAACCTACACCAACCAGCGTGGTGAAGTATGGCGAAACCCCCCCACGACCAAACTGCCCCTACAACCCATGTCAACACTGATCACACCCGATGTTGTCTATCGTCGTATCCTCCATCCCCACTCAAGACTTTGTCTCTCTCTGCACACACACCACACCTCTTTGTTTTGTCCTCCTAGCCATCAGATCTTCATTGTGCGGGAATCGAGGCGATATCAGGAATTTTGCAGCGGTTGGGAAGCAGAATAAATAAATCCCGAATAAAACACAGTTTCGAATGAACCGAATTTAAGCGAGGGAAGGTAATCTCAGATTAAAAATATTGTCAGATATATACTTTAGTGAATTTATCCTGTGGATTTTATATGAACACTGCTAGGCAGTTGGCCAAAGTGTGCGTGCTCAGGTGCCAGCGGATGGAGAAATATTGAGGGGCAGGGGCATTGCACTGCCACTAGGTGATGCCTGCACCTCCCGTGAGATTGCCCGGAAACGGTGGTGGAGGTTTTGCACCGACCGCGAGTCCGGCTGCGTGTTTAAATCGAATTCATAGTGGGCTGCATATGAAACTTTCATTAATTTATTCCGTGCTCCGTCCGTAGACCAGTGAGAGGCACAATTCTCCCCTCAGTGTCACTCCATCCATCTTCCACCGATCTCTTCATCTGCTTGCATGTCCATCCTTATTAAAAATCTACAGCAGCGTTCTTAATTACAAGGACTGTGGGCCACTGGTGGCCCCTGGTGGCCTTTAGTGAGGCTCCTGACAATACATGTGAAAACACTTCCATCATTACCGTGCTGTCAAACCCAATGTTCAAATGTGTGGCAGCCCTCATATTGATGATGTCTTATCGATCAAAGTGGCCCCCTCTGATCTAAAGTGATCAACCTTTCTCTTCCTCTTGGTTTTTTCCCCAAAAAACCTTCCTTTGATGAGCTTCATCCATCCCACTACTACTTGCTCAATCACTTCCTCCAGCAACGCCATTCAATCTCACTACCACCTCCCCCAATAATTCAGGTTATCGTCCTCTTTCCCCGATTAATCTTCTCTCACCTGACACGAGAACCTCTCTCTCCCCCTCTCCATCTGCATTGTCTTCTTTCCGCCCAGCATATTTTCACAACTCTCCACCAAAACCATATTTCAAAAACCTCCCAACGGAGGTTCGGATTCCTTTGAATTAAATTGCAACGTGCTGCAATTTCCAAGGGTGATAGATAGAGGCGCAGTGGACTTGCTGACAAAACTGCTGGCATCACTCGCCCAGGTCCCACTACCACCCGCCGTGCCGCCCCTGTGGCACACGCACAAACGCCGCGGCACCATGCATGCCCACGGTACGCCTGGCGGCAGCAAGGGGACAGGCGGCCACAGGGGCTCACCTAGGCGGTGCGTGACGGCGCCGTCTTCGCTCAGCTCGTACTCCACGCGGAAGCCGGACACCGACGACGAGGTGGACACCCAGGAGACGAGGAAGCTGCTCGAGGTGATCTCGGTCATCGTCTCGGAGGCGCCCGAGAGCACGGGCGGCACGGTGCCCCCGACGAACGAGCTCTGTCGCGTCTCGCCCTCGTTTCCTCGAGTGACTGGGGGCGGTGGCGCAGGGGGTGGGCAAGGTGGGGAGGGGATGCGATAGTGGAGCGAGTGTAAGGTCAGCGTTTGCAGACATCTTGCTCACGACTGTATTCTTTCACGTTACGTCGATACTGCAGGTTACGAACGAGACAACGCAAATATCCCAAGCATGCTCTCTATTTTGCAACATCGATAAGAATTTTTTTGGTTAGATTGCATAAATATAAATGTCAATAATGAAGGTTTCGGGGTTAGATCACGCAAGTATGTGACGTGAATAATGTTGGTCGCAAAAGCCTACGTGTTAAATATAAATGTGTAAATAGCAACCACCCGGACACAGCCAAATAGTAAGGTTTTTCACATAAACAAAACATGGCAATTCGTTATTAGTTCAGCACACCAGTGTGTTGGAGAATAAACTCACACCATTTACTGTTCACGTACAATATTTCGCCGGTAATCACAACCAGCCACATCAGGCGGTGACGTGACCTCGCGCTCGCTCGTCTGCCACCTGCTGTAGAAGTTCACGGTTCGATTCCAGAGACTGCCCAAATACTGCAGGTGTTTTAATCGTAAAAATGCCGTTTGTTTCACAGCGAGCGTTACACGTGATATCATCATTCGCAAAGGAGTAGGCCTATTGTGTGCCGGTGTCGTCTGAAGATTACTCGCCCGGCCACATTTGTCTCCCTGGTGGCAATATTTACACACCGCACCAGGTACTCAATTGTGGCCGAGTCAACCTAGTTGAGGCCCAGGACCGGTCCAGATAATCGTCACTGGTGTTGGCCGTGAGCGGGAATCGAACTCGGGCTGCCGAGCTCAAGACATCGACAAAACAACAACACCAGCCATTCACCACTAAGTGACAGTGACGTCACCATGGCGCCTGCACAAGGTCAGACACACACACACACACCGACAGACACGCAGCTCTTACAGTGGTGCGTGACAAGCGAGGTGGTGAACTCGAAGCGCGTCACTTCGCGCAGGCCGGACACCAGCAGCGTGATGAGCTGCCCCTCGTACGTCAGGCCCGGCTTCAGCCCAGTGATGGTGTAGGAGTTCAGGCGTGCCGGCACGGACACCTCCCGCCAGGACAGACGGCTGTTTTTCTGCCAGCAGAAGTCATTGAAGGTACGTGTTACATGGGAAGTCGAAGAACGGGGCGTGCTTTCAGAATTTACAACGGCACGCTCGACGCATTCTTGAGGAGGTTTCGGTGGCAGAGTCAAAAACTGCACACACGTGTTCTCCCGGCGAACAAAGTCGGCAACACGCCTCCGATATTAATGCAGTGCAGATTTTACGGCGATTTTTCATCTCTTCTTCATTTAATTCGCATTTCATTTGCTTTACTTTTACTTCATTATACTCAACAACAAAAAAATTACAAAATTGTTAACAACCATATTTCAGTGTTTGCGACACCTTGCTGTTATTGGCCATTCCCCAAAAAAACTCAAAATCTTACCGTCCGTTTTATTAGCTCTGGCTGGGTGCCATTACCCAGAATTCCAGCTGCCTTTTCATTTATAGCTTCACAGGTGAGTGTGTGAATGATGGTGGAAAATGATCTAGCCTCTACTGAATAAACAAGCGTTTCAATTTTCTTTGGTTCTTTCGGTAAAGTCACGTAGAATGAGAATAAAATAATAAAATAAGACAATAAAATTCTCACGAAGTTTCGGCCACAACACAAGTAGCCTTCTTACTCAATTGTGGCCGAGTCAACCTAGACCTGTAGTCCCTGTCATCCCGACATGTCTGTTCCTTAACCTGAAGGCTACTTGTGTTGTGGCCGAAACTTCGTGAGAATTTTAGTCTTATTTTATTTCATTATTTTATTCTCATTCTACGTGACTACCGAAAGAACCAAAGAAGATGAATCCTTGCAGTCACGAAAGCTTTAAATCGAAATTTAAGTGTCTCAATTATTTTCAAGATACTCTGAGTGTTTGTAATGAGGTGTCAATGGTAACCCACATTGACAAACTTCTCACAGAGAAAACAGGGAAACAAGTTGGGCAATATATACTTGTATTTTTTATTGGGGTAGGTTTGTGCCAAAACCGAAGCAGGTGAGAACTATTGCCTTGGAGAAGACAGTTAATTCAGAATCAGAATATTTATAATGGAGGAATCCGATGAGCTATAAAGCTCTTTTAACAGATGTACAGTAGGGAAATGGCGTCAGGACGTTACAACAACAAATAATACAAAAAATACGATATTTGACGATGCCAAGCATTGATTGGCATCGTCAAATATCATTGCTTGGCATCGTCAAATATTCTCAGGGGTGGAAGACTTTGGGTTTTTGTTGTTGCACCAATCGCTTACAAACACTCAATACTTACAAAAGCGCTCGCAGTTAATTCGAACATTAGGTAATAAAGAGCTTAATAGCTCATCGGATTCCTCCAGTATAAATAAATATTCATGCTTGGTGGTGGTGGTGGGGGGGGGGGGGTACCTGTCTCCAGCGGAGCAAGTACCCCGTGACGTGAGGCAGCTGCTGGGTGTTGGCCCACTCGATGCGCGGGTGGGAGCTGGCCTGGTTCGAGGCATCTGAGATGAAAACTTGGATGGGAGTTTTTACTGCGCACCACACAGACCAGGGGGGGGGGGGAGGGGGAGGCAACGTACTCTCTCTGAATACGAACACACGGACGAGGAAATGTATAATAAATACAAAACACGCACAGACAAAGCAAATGTACTATACATACATGTACACAGACCAAGTACAAAGCAATATACTCATATTATAAAAATAAATATAAAACACACACACACACAAAGCAATTTACTAGAAATATAAACAGACAATGCAAGGTACTATAAATACTAAGAATACAAACATTATGCACCAAGGTCTCGACTGCACCCCGGGTTGTTGCATGAACACATAGATTGGCAATTCATCAGTGGTATGGACCGCCAAACAACTCCGTTGCTCAATGCAGTTATATCAAGCTACGGAAGTGCGTAGTTGTGTACGATCACACGCTGGCCAGCATTGTGCAGTTATATTTTGATATGGGTCCTGTTTATTTATGAAACTGTCTAACAATAGGACTCTGGATGCCAAATTCCACCTTGGAACCTCGCGGTTTATTTCCTTCGACCTTAGAAGACAGAAAAGTTTTCAGTTATGTAGACAATCATCTATACTTTTGACATTTTAGTTGCCGATTTTGTTTATCTTTGGGTGACAATAATATCACATGCTGATCTACGATTAGTGGCAGTGTCCTGGGTGTTAGCGAGGTAATAGGATTTTCTTTACCCAGGAAGGCTTCAAAAATCATTCAGCAAAATGGAGCTTACTGCCACCTGATGAAGCTCAAAGAGATTGGAGCAAAAACGCCATAAGGCGTTGATGTTGAATTCAAAAGCCTACCGCCACCGGTGAGGAAGAACGTTGTTTATAACTCGATCAGTACATTGGCACGTATTAATTAATTTATTTGTAGGCGTCACTAACAATCTTGTCGGGTGATAGAGGGCTCGTGAATAGAATGTTGGCAGAAAACGACCAAAGTGGCCCAACCCTAAAAACAAATACAGAGTAGAAACAAAAACTGATATTCAGCTTGGGGGGCAGGGGGGGGGGCACGCAGGCCCCTCTGGGTGCATAACCTCACTGCTGCTGTCAAAGTAAGCGTACCACACACGAGAATCACTCGGCCACATCCTGTTGTGGCTGGAAAACCCACGGCCAACGCGAGCCGCCTCACCACAGCAGAGGTTCATTCAAAACAGCGAGACGTTAGTACAGATGGTGCCAGTTGATGACAAATACACTTTGGGACCAGGAACTCCTCTCACCACATCTGCACAAAACGTTTTCTAAAAACCGCAGCTGCTTTCGTGCGAGCGAATCCAGTCCTCAATCTACGCCTGCCCGAGTCGTTTGTCATTTCGTTTTTTTCCCCCCCACACATCTCTAAACGAGCAGACGTAGATTGATGTGCGTGCGTGTAGTAACCCACACGGCGCATCGCTTTGTCGCCACCGCACAACTGAGACATGCCCAGCAGAGTACAACAATTAAGTAAATGTTAATGTGCTATATTAATAATATGGAAAATCAGGCCCAGGACTTCATCACCCAGAATGCAACGGATCTCATTCGCATCTTGAAAGGTTGAGCCTGGACATTGCGTGGATGGATGACCACGATGCATAACAAGTGTTATAGGCTGCCAAGGTACATGGTGGGCAGTGCAGAACGACCCTTTAATGTACTGTACTTGTATGCTCGCTACATCTATACTTCCCGTTTCCATCAACCCGTAGTGACCAGTGTGGTAAAGTATGGAATATAGCTGTCACAATTGTTCAGCAGTGGATTGATGTGGTTGAATATTCACACCAAATCAGATTTGTACAAGGGAGCATCTAAAAAAAACGTAATAAAATATTAATTTATATATTCAACATTCACTACGAAATGGTAACAATATCACCGTAGTATGTTTGCAAAATACATTTGCATTATATTGGCAAACAGGTATCCAAAACAGGCCTCAACTTCTACTGCAAGTGGCATGCATTTTTAAAAGCCCCACGAGTACCGTTTAATGCCGCATTTGTTTAATCTGAAAAAGGTTCAAATCTCGCTCTCCAAGCAACACACATTTCACGTCGCGTGTTCATCTCACAGTAAAAAAAAAACCCCACCACACCGCAACAGACACAGAGTCATCGTATGGCGTTCCACTTCTGGGCTGCAGCCGCTCGCACAAATTCAAGGGACATTGTTCGCCATGTACGGGGCAAGATCTCCCCTCCTCCTGCTCGTGCCCCACCACGACGCCACGTGCCAAATTAGTGCGAGGCAAACCCCCCCCCGCCCCCAACGGCTTGCAGCATCAGCAACAGTACCAGTTGGACTTGCTGCATTTTATTTAAATGCATAGGATTGTATAATAATGATCATTAGTATAACCTCTCTTTACGACCACCCGTGTTCACGACTAATCGCTTAACCACGGGCCTCCATAGAGCCCAATGTGTTCACTTACCGACCATTCCCCTTTTAACGACAGGCTGTTGTCGGTACAGTCAATTAATGCATTGATTAAATCACGTTCATTTTCATGTTGCGTGTTTATAGTGGTGTTAGTATTTTTATGTATTAATATCCATTGTTTAAATATTATAAAGTATGTTTTTTGGGTGGAAAAAAATGGGTAACTTTCCATGCCATCGGAACGAATTAAGCCTTTAACGTGCATTTCCTATACTCGCTTAATGACCAAATCACTTCACGACCGGTTTCATGGAACCAATTACCGTCGTTAAGACGAGGGTTCGACTGTAATTCCATTTATTTCATGCTTTTCATCAAGTGCTGTCCAGGACACAGCAGCAGCAGGCACTCAGCATAAAAATAATTATATTCGAAATACATTCTAAGAATCCATTTACGAAATGAACTAAAAGGTGAATAAGCGGAAGCATATAAATAGGTTTTAAGACGCATTAAAAAAAATGAGAGATCCCTGATATCTCGTGAGCGAGCATTCCATAGCCAGGGGGCTACATGGGGACAAAACCTCGGTCACCCGTAGACTGAAGCCTCGACCTAGGAATGCAGATAAGATCTGCCATCCCCAGATCTTAAGGCCCTCGAGGGCAGCATATGGGTGCAGGATGTCAATGATGTAGGCTGGGGCAAGACGATTAACTGATTTGTAAGTTAATAGGATTTTAAACTGTATAGTTAAACCCTTGTTAATTCGACACAGGATACTGTGTGGATACTGTGTCGAATTAACTCCACAATGCCTCCTGCCCAAATAAAATAGTTTTTCCAAATTTGTTTTAAAAATTCTTCACACATCATACACATTGCACATGCCCTGCATCAATTCTATCCAAAACATTATATTTGTCTCGCAGACTAAGGGACTTATACTTCAGTCCCTTTTTATTACTTCTTGATGTAGGTGTAGGCGACATTTCTGAGAGGGTTGGCTTGCACAGAGTGCATAAGCAAGGTAAAGTCCAAAGCGACAGGTCTGGACTGACGCTCACCACGCGCACCGCCACCAGACTGAGTAGTTATTTTGGCTGTGGCGCGTGGCGTCGCTCCACGTGTATGCCGGAATTGGACCATTCGGTACGGCAATTCGGCTCATGGCGAATTACTAATATACCGTAAATATGCCAAACGCGCAGCTGTACTGAATTATCCCCAATTACGAAAATAACAAATACCGAAATAACGAGGTTTTACTGTATTCTATGTCCATTGAACTTCCTTCGCACCGTACGTGGCCAACCGTGCTAATCGGAGGAATAAACTCCTCAATCGCAGAGCTTGAAGGTCGAACGTCGACTGTGCCTTGGTTGTCACTGCAAAGACGGTCACCGCATTGCGTCGCGCTTTCAAACGCGCATCTGCAGCCGTCTGGAATGTTCTTCTTTCCGATATTAGGAAGCCACTGGGAGCTATGCACTTTTAAATCTAGATTGAAAACTCATTCCCTTTAGAACTGTTTTTTTGTTTAGTTTGTTGTCCTTCCCCCGCACCTCCGATTAGCACAGTTGGCTACGTACGGCGCGAAAGAAGTTCACCATACATGGATACGAATGTTGATGGCTGTTCTTCATACTTTGCTAATTAACGCGCACGAACAGCAGTGACGAGTGGTGATTGGCGCACTGCGCTGTAAACTTGGCTCCCCTTTCACAAACCCGCAGTGACCAGCCTAGTGAAGTATGGTCAAACAGTTCAACATTCATATATACAGCTGTGGGATGTGGTGGAAAGGAAGCAATGGCGAGGTGCAGTGGCACCAACAGCGTTGGCCATGAACAATGTTCTACTTAAGTGTCGTCAGGCCATCTGGTGCTGTGGGGATAGAGCAACTCGACTGTTGTTTCGTAGGCCCAAATCTTGGCTGGTGGTCGACTCGGACCCATCGGGTTTCTGGTGTTGACAATGTGAACCCCCCCGCTGTGCGAAAAGTCAACAGCGGCTGTTTTCACCACCGGCGCAGGGGTGCCTTGGAAGTTGAAAACATAATCCCGTGGTTCACTTGACCACGTGGATACTTTGGCTTTCATTTACAGTATGCCGCTGTGCGTGTGGGAGAGGTGCTCGCTAACAGCACTTGTGCCAACAGTTTGTTAAGGCTAAACGGGGAATCTTTGTCTCTAGTGGTTAGCCTACTGTGCTATGATCCCGGTGGCCTGAGGTCGATTCCCGCTCACGGGCAACACCAGTGACGATCATCTGAACCTGTCCTGGGCTGCCCCGAGGTCGACTGGTATAGTGTGTAAACATCGTCACTAGGGAGACAAAGGCAGCTGGGTGCGGTGCCATGCTGGCCTTCAGGAGGTGCCCTCTGACAGCACTTGCCCCAACAGTCTGTTGAGGCTAAGGGGGATCTTTTGTATAAATACGAAGGAATTTATATTACAGCAAAACGCTGTCACGAATACAGTTGTATATCACTCGACTCTGGCAACATTGTAGGAATGGTCCCCCACCATGAAAGCGTCATCACATCAAGCTACACACATGCTTTTCATAATAGCACAGTTGTAAACTACCACATTTAGAATTGTTTACCACATCCTTCAGGCTTCCACCAAGAGTTAATCGCAAAGTCTCCGGCCCTCACAAAAGAGCCGTCACTACGACTACGATGGTGCTACCAAGACTCCTCAATCACAACAACAACAACAACCACCACCGCTATTCACCACTAAGTGGAGGTGACATCACCACGGCGCTTGTGCAAGGCTATGTGCACCTTGAGGCCACGTGAAGTGTCGAACGCCCGCTGGCAGGTCACGTGGCAGACCCAGGTGCCACGGGTCGACTGACTGAGATGACTGGCTGATACACCACCTGTGCCCCCTACTGTGCCAACCTGCTGTGCTTTAGCCACCCGGCGCTCCGCTCGTTGTTGTGAGCGTCACTCCTCCGCCCTCCGTTGTTGTTGGAGGGCGACTGCCTCCAACTGCCCAGTAGCGTCCTTCACGAGCCTCCTCCACAGAGGCCAATCTTGACACTGCTGGTACCAGTCATCGGCAAGTCCACTCAGCTCCACGTCCTCCTGTACCACATCACTCCATCTCTTCTCTAGCCTGTGCCGTGCCCGTTTAGCCCCCTCTGTCTGGCCAAACAAAAGCTGTTTGAGGCATGCGGTGGCTGAGAATGCGGGCTACATGACCCAGCCAACGCAGCCTTGCCTGCCGGAGGAGCTCACCGATGGGACTTTGTCCAGATCTTTGAAGGATTTGTGAGCTCCTCACACAATCCAGCCTGGTTAAACCCAGGATAGATCGTAGGCAGGCCAGCCTAATTGTTTCTAACCGGCAAAGATGTTCCAATCACGAGCATGCCAGAACATCTGTTCATCGCAGTCCTCTCACCGGCAGCAATTGTAACTTAGTTACGAAGGAGGGAGAGGACAGCAAATGGAGCTGAAGAAAAGTGCCCAGTCGAATGTACCTACACAGAACACGATGGACCTCTCTCTCCACCTTTACAAAAACAAACGCATTAAACGTGTTCCAGTAATAACAGTTTGAGACGTAAATGTAACCGACGACACATTTATCAGAAAGGGGACTAAACCACTGCCACATGTGCAACATTAACCCTAATACGAGCATACCTCAAAACCGAATGCTGATTACTGCCATGTGTCACTGGCCGTTCGTTTAACGGGCCCTAAATTACGTGGAATTTAAGGGCGACTGGAAAACGCTTGTTGGTTTATTTTCCTTAGCCTTAAATTTATTTCCCACCACCCAAAAAAGGTAACAGCTTAATTAATTAAATATAACCTAATTTTCTTGAAAAAATATGAACAATGCTCCAACGAATATCAATACAGTGACATAAACACGGAATTAGATTAAATATACAAAATGCCTCTTTCACAGACAGGAGAAAAATAATATTTATTTAACCCCAATTTACTGCTTTCCTTCTTGATTTGCTTATTTACCAGATAAAGCCCATTGAACTATTAGCTCCAAATCAGAGGCAACCTGGCCACATGTGATTACAGTCCATCGAAGTGACTTATATCATCACGTGGGAATTTATAGTAGCAGCCATATAATCTAAAAGGCACGTTTCTAAATGTGGAGGGAAAAACTATAGGAACACACAGAAAAATCGACATGATCACCGAGGGGAGATAAATTACACGGATTCCAAATATACGACAGGCATCCCCAGGATCTGGGATGGAACCCACGACCTCCTGCGTATCAGGTGATGGAGATACCGTCTCCTCGAAACTGCAGCACCCCATGATTAAGATGGTTAAGATAGTGGAAGAGAGTAATACACTGGGTGATTGATTGTTGATCACACTACTCAAGAGACTCCCTGATCAACATCAGCATTCAGCTGGAGCTCATCCATTCACACCGCTGCCGAGCCAGTGGTGGAAATCCCTCATTCATATGGCAGAAGAAGAAGTGTATAACCATTTGACACAACCACTGTGGCTGACTTTTCCAGGAGGAATTATGGGCAGAGTCAATCCCCCAACGAGGATTGGAACTCGCGACCTTCCTATGACGAGCCACAAGCTCTACCACGGAGCCACCCGGCCAAAAGAATATATTCATTACAATAAATTCAACATTATTTAACACAGGTGTGATGTTTGCACAGTTGAGGGAGGTCAAGTGTGACCAGTTTGAATGCAAGAGAACATGATCATTTTCTCAGTCCTGAAATGTAATCCGTTTTAAAAACAGAAGTAACTGCATTTTTAACGATAGACTGACAACAGGGATGGAGATGAAGTTTAACACAGTTGTAGGCTTTTGCGACCAATATTATCCGTAAAAGGTTGTTGGGTTAGATCACAAGAATATAAAAGTCTCGTTAAACCCGCCACCGCCTGACAACCAAATTTTTTAAGGTTTGTCACGTGAACATAACATGCGAATGCATTACTAGTACAGCACACGAGTGTGTTGGAGAATAAACCCACAAGATTTACAATTCGAGTGCCATCACGTTTTGCCAGTAATTACAATTAACATCATCAGTCAACAGCCAGAGTTGTGGAGAAATCCACCTCCTGTTTACTCCTATTAGGAATGGAGATGTGGCAGAATGGTTGGCACACTGGATTGTAAACCTGACCAAATGAATTGGGTTCCGGGCCACTGCTAACATCAGATGACTGAACTGACCCCCTCACCTCTTCACCCACTTTCACTGACCAGCATGGCGGAATATGGTAAAACAACCCTCACATGGCTGACACAGGGCTGTACGTTACACAACGAGCAAAGACTGACTGTAGCATTTTTTTGAAGGCTCGTTGTATTAAGAGTCCTATACAATCGGCGAGTGCGGTTGCCTGCATTTCTGCCTCATCAGGCAAGGGGTTGCACCTAGGCTACGAGATGTGTCAAGAACTACGCCTCCCGCAAATGCGTTTATGTAAAAACCCACGGAAACGGTACGATTCACAGAGCAAGCGGCGTTGCTGCAACTATCGCAAGCCAAGTGATGTGGAAAATAACGCCGCATTTACAAACAAAAATACACACACTTTTCAAATTCCAGTCGAGGGAGAGAACAGCCGCCGGAAAAAAAAAAAAAACGCGATTCTTCAAACCGAGGCGACCTGACCAACAAAACTATAAACAAGACAAACTCACAATTGTCAAGCACACCGTGCCCATAAGGGGATAAATAACCACAACGGGCGACCTTATGGGCAATGACCCTTCTTCAGTGCACGTGAAATGTGCTATCGACGAGGCTCAATGCATGCAACGTTGCCCATTATATATTTTTTTCTCCTTTTAAGGCCACGGCGATATTGACAAATGCATGGAGTTGTTCATTTGTGTGCTTGTACACAAACCACTGCCATTGCTGTATCGCTGAATAATAAATTGAATGCTGAACCGCTCGCACGTTGAGGTTCAGCGGTGAACAGGACCCCACCACCCTGCAACTTGCATACGTCTCAGAACGGGAAAAGGGTTAAGACAACATCTCCCAAAATTTGAACATGGCTTAACACCTTACCCAGCTCAGGGAAAAAACCAACCAGGGGGCCCGGAATGTATGAGCACACAGTACTTAATAATAACAACGCACAATTCCCCATTCGAAAGAGGTATCTATAAAAAAGCATTTCTATAAAATCGGGCACTTTCAAATGGGCGATTTACCGGACAAATTATTTTAAAGCGGGCACGTGCGCGCACGGATAAAAATGCATTTGAAATGCACGACCCTTCGTACCTTCGTTCAAATTTGTCTGAGGATTGCAGCTCCATTCGCCAATGCCTTTGCCGAGGCAGATGCACATGTACGGCGAGCCCTCCACAAGTCGCACCCACGTCTCTCCGATCTGGTAGAACTGCCTCGAGTCCGTGTCCTGGCACTGGTCTGCGGACCACACACAACAACACGGCCACAAAAGCAGGATTTGAGACACGGTGTGGTCAACGGTGATGGGGGGGGGGGGGTCATTGGTGTAAAGTCCCCACGCCACGTGCTGTTATAGCTTCGCCACACCTTTGGAGTAAAATAACGTTACGTGGGAAGTTTTAGCGATTCAGCCCAGTGACTTTTACACGTAATTTTGTTGAAAGGATTTAGCAATACGGCTACTTCTCGTTTTACGGGGGGGGTTGTGTTCTTGACAAAACGACGCGTAACTCAAAAATCGCTTATAAATAAAGGGAATGGTTGGGGTTAGGGAGAGCACACTAGCGAACCTCCTTCTTACGACTACATATTGGACTGGTTACAGTACATATATTTACAATACTGCCGTACATGTATTAAAGATAGTCAACAGCCTATTTAAAGAAGGATTTGGAGACATCCTTGGATGTAGCTGGACGTTTACCAGACACATTGGTATACAAATCTGCACAAGACAAAATTCAATATGGTGAGCGATAAAGTAGATGCTGATGCTTCTGCCCTTGCTTGTGGTTGTTGTGCTGCACCTCAGACAGCATCGCCGCTGAACTTTGGTGCCTGACTAACGACGAGCTCGCAGCGTGTTCTCTGTACACCTAGGACAAAGCGCTGGAGTGCGCTATTTCAACAATAGTTTGCACATAATAAGTGTTAGTTAATCTAACCCACCTATTTCAAAATCGTGTTACGTAAACGCACGTAAAACGCGAGGCGACCATGTAGCTTGCCCGCGTGATGTTAGCACTTTGCTGCCGTGCGAAATCACCAACAGGGTCGGTAAAAAAAAGGCTATTGTTGGTCGACGGGACGCTCTTAGCGAATATTATGGGGGGGTGGGGGTAGCGTGGGAAAGTTATACATGCATTTGCCTGGAAAGGATGGGTGGGGCACTGAGAATGTTTGTAAATTTTCATAATGGCTGTGTGGTTTTGTTAATTTCAATCACGTTAGACGAGAAGGAGGGGGGACGAGGGCATAGGCAGCTTTGACCACGTTTGAATGAAGACACCGGTCATTTTTGTAGTGCAGCAAAATCTTTACGGAGTCTTCAAAGTTTGAACGGCAATTGTCAAGGCGGGTGGAGATGCATCCGGTGGAAACTCATTTAGAACCATAGATTATTTAGAGTATTTGTCTGCTATAAATTTCCACACAACAAGCCATTTCGTTGAGCTTTCATTTGTGGCCAGATCGCTTCTGAAAAAGAAGCCGATAGCTCAGTGGGCTTTACCTGATAAAACCAATATTAAGATTAAGTTAGTTTTTTGGGGTTTAGATCATTGTGTATGTGCAATGTTATTTCATGTATCTATAACCCTCCACCACATTGATTCGACTGGCACGTGACAACTCTATTTGATTGGCTCTGTCAGGTGGTGGAAGGGTTATATTGTTAAAAGAAACTGGACATTGTACCTACCCGATCGAATGGAAAATACAACCAATTATGAATCACCCCTTCTAATAATTATCCCAGATACATAGATGCACTGTGTTGTGTTTCCCAGCTTTGTTTCTCCAACAGCCATTTTCTTTTGTTCAGGAAAATGTATACTCTTTGGTTCTTTCGGTAAAGTCACGTAGGTAGAAAAAAATATATATCACGTTTCGATCGCAACACAAGCAGTCGTCCTCAGGCGGAAACAGGAATCCTGCGGTGGCACTGCTGAACCGATAAAATGCCCACATTTGATTGGGACCTTGTAGATAACATGATTGTTTCTTCTGCCGTGACAATGTCAACCAAATGTGTAAGTTAACCTGCTTGCTAAATTCAACATCCTGTAAAAAAAAAAGCCAGATCCACACCTAAACAAGTTAGATGTTAACAAGATTCATACTCTTTGGTTCTTTCGGTAAAGTCACGTAGGTGAACAAATAAATAATAAATATATCAAATAACATAAAAAATAGAAATAAGCAAATCACGACTTTGGTTCTTTTGGTAAAGTCACGTAGGTGAAAAAAAATTCTAATAAATAAAAATATAAACATATAGAAATAAATAAATCACGGCGTTTCGATTGCAACAAGCAATCATCATCAGGTGTGATAACCACAGCAAGGAATTGATTGCTTGTGTTGCAATCGAAACGTCGTGATTTATTTATTTCAATATTTTGATATTTGTATTTATTTATTATTATGTTTTTCACCTAGGTGACTTTACCAAAAAGAACCAAAGAGTATGGATCCTTGCAGTCACGAAAACTTCAAATCTAGAATGTTAACAAGATTATCGTCAATCATAATAACAGCACAATTTCCGATAGCCTAACATCGGTACTAGCTGAAAGGGCTGAACTTTGCAGTCACCCCAAACACATCCCCAGTAGATGATATTATTGCCCAGGTTGACGTAGCCCTCAAAAGGTTTGGGTCACATCCCAGCAGACGTGGCAAGATCTGAAATCACACACAAGCGAACCTCATTCTTACGACTACATATTTGACTGGTTACAGTACATATATTTACAATACTGCCGTACATGTATTAAAGATAGTAAACGGCCTATTTAAAGAAGGATTTGGAGGCATCCTTGGATGTAGCTGCAGGTCACGAATGCTTCAAAGCAGGAGAATTTACTTTTGTTCATATGATTATGTTTAGGCCCACTTTGCATCCTTCTTGGTTATAAGATTCAATCAGTTCCACGAGTTCGTCGTCAACGTGGTTGTTTGTAAGGATTGTCGCCGGCGAATTATACTTTCGCCCATTTATCTTGATGCCTTTATTTATCCGATCTAATTTGCGGAAAAGTATGTTCCAGTGTCACTGTGAATAGCCGCCGCGAGATTGACAACTCGTACTTAAGCTCCTGAAAACTGCTCTCCATTTGGTGGATTCCCATTAATTTCTATACCCAACTTACTGTACAATCGCATCTTGAGATGCATATGCCTTTAGAAGGCAAAAAAAACCAAAATGCTAAAATGTTACGTCCACGCTTAGGCCGGTCAAGAAAACAAAGCACTCTTGTTGTCAGGGTGATTAAATATTACCCGAGCAAGCGGCAAAAGCCCACGCTGCGACTTCTGCAAAGCCGCAGTTTAACAAGAGCCGGCGTTTCTACCCTGCAGCTATATAGCCATTAAAATTATTGCTACCAAACTTTTGTAAATAAATACCAACGTGAACAATTCATAAAAATTACCACCACTTTTCCGGACAAAAATTACAAGTTTTTTTTTGACGTTATATGTACTGGCTGCGAACATATTCCACTTAATGGTTAGGTTTTTTTAAATTATATATTTTGTAACGCTCACAGCCAATGTGCTTTCTCAAGCTCAACGCTCGCTGATTCCGCCCAAATGTTGTGTATACTCTACGCATGGACGAGAGACTAATTACTCGCACAATTCAGCAAGTTCCATGCCTTTTGGAGTTTGATGACCTGAGGACCACCTTCACGAAGTTTAACAAGACCAAGAAAACATATTTGAAAATCTCAAGTGCAAGGGCTTTTCAAAGTAAACCGTGTTAATAGCAAAATACTCAAATCGAGCATTTCGATATCGAATTTGCGTTTATTTGAAAGTTCACAGGGTTTTAGTGGTTTTATTTCATTATATTATTCGTGCACTCATTGTTTATTTTTAAGAAAGGACTTGCCAAACTCCGGAGACTCCACATTTGCGAACAATTATCTTTTGGCGTAACTAACAAGTGGCAGTGAAAGATACCCCAGTGTTGCAGCTAAAGGGTGGACGTAATCTACCACACGCCTCTAATTTGTTTCATTTCCAGTGGAGTATTTGGCAAACGCGTGTCCATAAAAGGTCATTACTTGCCAAGCATTTTGTCTTAGCGATCTAAAATTGAGTTTTGGGGAAATGGGTCTGAAAATGTTGAGAAAAAAAATCGCTCGAGATTTTCATGATAAACTGCGTGGAGGATATCTGGGAGCCGGTGTGAGTAGTTACACAAATAACAGGAACCTTGCTGTGCCACTACAAACAACCGATCCCATATCTGCTTTCGTTTTAGCAAACAAAAATAAACCGCAGGTTTGTGGGTGCTTCGTTTCATTTGCGGCCTACAGCAGCCAATGTTAGCAGCAAAATGTTCTTGAAAGTGTAAGTTTGTACTAAATTAGCAACATTGTATAAAACAAAAATGGCCAAATTAAAATACAATTATAAATAAAATTGGGTTTACATCGAAAACCAAACTATATATTAAATATGGAAAAAAAAACATGCATATGCATGGATTATAATGCTTTTGAATATGCATTCGTCCTCATAAGTATTTAATTAGGGGCAACGGTAGTGCGCGTGCCATACGTACAGGAAACAACAAGTAGCTTATGACTAGACAACGGGGCTTGGATTCGCCAGTTTTAATGTGGGACAATTCCCTAAAAGCAACACAAATATATTTGAATTTGTATTGGAAATTTTTTGCGAGAGTTATCATGCCCTTTTTACGAACGGACGGAACTAATACAAAGAGAACTCTGGCTGAAAACTCAAACGCACAAAAAAACAAATAAAATCTTTTTACCCCAATCATACATTTGGCAGCAGAGGGTGGTACATTGTGCCTAGATCTGTCGGCTCACACTGGCAAAGTTGTGAAAATAAATCCTAATTTGGGTATCAACTCAGCTAAACGTCCCTCCAGGGTGATTATCAACGAGTGCCATTGTGCATGACATTTAGTGTACATCGCAAGGAATAAAACGTACTGTTACCAAGTAGGTCTCTGTGAGAATATACTCAGACTAATTTGAGGAGCCACACATCGTTCAGAGATTCCTGACTAACAAATCAGTGTTAAACAAATCATTTCGCCACGCTACTGCATTGGCAGTGGTGCACCAACACAAAATAATTTTTAAAAACCTTATTCGTCAATAACATTGCCTGAAAAGTCACCGAATGCATACTTTCCCATTAAGGTAATGGCCCTTCTTCATAGAAAGAGGCCTCTATATGTGCTCTAAACAAGGGCCATTGTTTGAAATGCTGCCTATTTAAAACTTTTCCTTTTAAGGTAGCATTATTAACGAATGTGTTTTTTTTATCATTGTATCCATCAGCTGCTGGGACTCGGTGAACTTGAAATGGATCCAAAGTTGCCATTATTTGCAAAAGTGGAGTAAAACATTCAAAGCTAATGCCTGCAAAAGTTGGATGGACGACAAATGTTTTTTTTTTAAGCGATTGCAAAATATCCAGCTGGACCGCGATTTGGCATTTAAGTCCTTTGGAGAGGTCAATAACATTACCACCAATTAAAAAATACACTTTCGGCTTTTGCGACCAATGATGTATCGTAAACCAACCTCCAACAGGCACAGCCAATTTAGTAACGTTCCAATTTGTTACTACTTCGCTCAAATTTGTGCATTCAAAGTGTACATGTTGTGGGTTTGCTCTTAAAATACACTAATGGGTGTGCTGAAGTTGTGACAATTTGGCATTGTTTACGTGACAACCCCTACCAATTAGCTGCGTTGTGTGGAGGTGGGTTTAAAATACGTTGACAATTGCGCAATCTAACCCAAACAAAATGGTCATGAAAAATGACCATCGCTTTTTGGTTCTTTCGGTAAAGTCACGTAGAAGGGAAACAATAAAATAATAAAAATATAAAACAATACAATTCTCACGACGTTTCGACTGCAACACAAGCAATCATCATCACCTGATGATCATCATCATCACCTGATGATCATCATCATCACCTGATGATCATCATCATCACCTGATGATCATCATCACCTGAGAATTTTATTGGTTTATATTTTTATTATTTTATTGTTTCCCTTCTACGTGACTTTACCGAAAGAACCAAGAAAATGAATCCCTGCAGTCACGAAAGCTTTAAATCAAAATTTGACAATCGCTTTGTTGAAGGTCAACAGTGGTTGCGGTGTGGACTAACTCGCCTGTCCAGCCAGGAAATGGAACTTCCACTCCTGGATTCGGACTAAAAACAGGAGGAAAGTGCTTGTTTGATTGTAAAACATATTGAACTATTATATTTTATAATTTTCAAATGAGTCCTCAATTCTGATTCATATACTTAACAGAACAGTTTTCTTGCACAGACACTCATTTCGGCTTTATATACATATATACATGACAACATCTTTATACTGTACGGCTTTATCTATATACACATGACAACATCTTTATACTGTATATATCACCGATTGGGTAAATGGAGAGACTGGAGAACAGGTCACCTCAAGAAGCTGGTGTACAGACTAAGACATTTTATATTTGAAATGTGTGAACTAAGCATTGATGAGGACGATTGACAGTAGTAGTATATGAAGCTTGACAATGGATAATAATGATGATAACAATGGCAAAGGACAGCGCTGAACAATGTTAATAACTCACCCATCGCATCGCACTTCCAGCGTCCACGGCCCTGTCCCAAGCAGGTGCAGTTCATCATGTGGCCCTCATCGTGTCTCTTCAGGAACGTCTGGTTCACGTTGTATGTCCGCCCGTCTATCACGCACTGGTCTGCAATGCACACAACACAAGAGCATTGGTAGGGCCTGCAAACTTCATACACTACACACACACACAGGTTATTAAGTTTAGTCGCCAACTTACCTGTCCGTTAACACTTCAAGTACAATTGAGGATTGATTTTTCAGTCAGATCGCCGCGTGGGTGAAATGCTAATGTGTGTCGTACCACCCTCCTCCACCTGACACAGCCAAAGAAATAAAGTTTTCATGCGAGGAACAAACGTTTCACTTTTTTCCTGCTTCAGCAGCACCAGTTAAATGGTGGAGAGCGATCCACAAACATTTAACAACCGAGTACGACGTTTCACAGTTCTGGCAACCGGGCAATTGCAAGAACTGTGAATGTGCCCCAGTCTGGGGCGTTGAACAGGTGGTGTGATGCCATCAACATCGTGCCTCCACAAACAAAGCCCACATGTTGAACTTCACAGTACAGGTGTGCCAGGTAACGGGCGAACGGCATGACCATTTTCACCCCGTTCATTCTGCGATTAAAGCCCAGTACAAAAAATGTAGACTTTTTCGAAACACCCGTGCCACTTCACTTACTCCCTCCCCTCCTTCATATAGTCCAGTTGCATCGGGACCGCCCTCCGCGAATTGCGATGCCAGATCATGCGAGTCACGCGGCGTGCTGTTCTTGCAATAAAAAACATAATTAAAAAAATAACACCGACGTCACGCGACCAAGCTGGCGAGAAACTGGCGAGCGGCGTGCGAGCGCGTGCTGGTGCGACTGCGCACGGGCACCCACCGAGGATCTTGGTGTAGGGCACACATGTCCAGTCGCCGCGGCCACCGCCGATGCACGTGCAGCGCATCGCCTGGCCAAGCTCGTGCGGCCGGTCCCACTGGTCGCCCACGCGGTGCTGCACGCCGTCCGCCGTGCACACGTCCTCGTGAGCTGAGCAGAGGGGGGGGTGGGCAGCATCCGCCCACAATTATCATCATCGTCGTGAATTTGATTCAAAAGGTCAGGGGGGGATCGATTTCAACCCATGCCTTTTCTTCTCCCCTCGTGCGTCTCCTTGTCCCGCGCTTTTCCCCATGTCGAGATGTTAACTCCCTCACCTGGTACGCAGGGGAGGTTTTTCCCCTCCACATTTAGCAACATGCGTTGAAAATTATTTAGATTATTTTGCTGCTATACATGCCCACATGGTACGCAATTCCGCTAATCTATCATTTGTGGCCAGGTCGCGTCTGAAAAAAACCCTCGGGTGGGCTCCACCTGGTAAGATAAAAAAATGTTTAGTGATATGCTTTCCTTTCCTATACTTTGTACTCCTTTCGTGTTTTTGTATTCTTTGTTGGTGTAACGTTCTGACCTGTAGCTCATCGGATTCTTCCAGTGTAAATACAATCTTAGTCTGATATTGAAGTTCTTTTGCACCGCAAGTAGTCAACTGTGCTAAATCGGAGGTGCGGGGGAAGGACAACAAACTAAACCCAAAAAGTTGTTCTCAGGAGAAACATGCAGTTGACCACACCGACAAATTCTGGAATTTAAAATAATAATGCGCTTCTGTTGCCCTGCTTTGTTCTTTAGACAAATTCTGTAAACTCCACACCACACACAATATAAAGAGTTGCTAACATTACACCTCTTATGACGTGACGATATCATTCAGCGTGCATGGACATTGTACCAGTTTACAAGAGCAAGTAGGACTGAAGTTAAGCGATGGCAATAAAAACACTCATCACAGCTTGCATATCTATGAAGCATTAACCATTTCCTATTAAAACGTATTTTAATCAATTTTTATCTCTAATCATTTTTATTTATGGACGTGGATTCCCTTCGCTGCATGATGCATTTTCTATTTAAATAATTGAATAAAAGTATAAAAAAACTCGTCCAATTCTGGTTCAATATTTTCACTGAAAACAATATAATAAACACCAACACGGTGTTTATTATGTAGTTTACATCCCTGGAGAAACATTACGCGCGCTCCTCTGAAAACGTGTTTGCAGTGTTTATTTTTTGACGACAGATGCGTTTTATTGGCCGTACACAGACACTGGAGCCCTTCGCTCAGCGGCGGTTGATCGAGCCTCAAAGTCCCTGCCATCAGCAGAAATCTCCGATGCTATTTTCTCCCAAAAAAAATTGCCCTTCCGAAAAGAACCCTCATTCAGGACAAAATTACCACAGAAAGCTAAAACATCGGGTGTGATTTATACCAATTTTATCTCGAGGTTAATAATGGTGTTGTGATTTCAATGTCATTATGAACATTGATCATTCTAATGAGTAGAAATGTTTAAACTACCGCACTTGTGTAAATAGTGATAGTGCAAATAAGACGGGGGGGGGTGGGGGGGGCTGCCCCTGAAACACCAGAAAAAGTTTGGGCTCTGCGTGCTTCAGACTCCGCTTCAGGGCCGCGGTCCCATCATCATCAGGGCGCCCCGGTGTTGAGATGTTAACTACCTCGCCCGGTATGCAGGAGGTCTTGGGTTCAATCCTGACCCTGACTCCTGCTGTATATTTGGAGTGTGCGCATCTCTCTCCCCGCGGTCGTGTAGATTTTTCTCCGGGCTCCTCTGGTTTTTCCCTCCACATTTAGAATCAACGTGCGTTTAGAGTGTTTGCCTGCCACAAAGTTCCACATAAGACACTTTTAGTGCAGCTATTATTTGTGGCTAGTTCGCTTCAGGAAAATAACTATATAGTTCAGTCGGACTTTTCCTAGTAAAAAAAAAATTGGTTAGTTGGCATGCCTCTCTCTTTTTCAGAAGCTACCTGGGCTACAAATAATAGTCCAATGAAGTGACTTACCGCGTGGATTTTTTTTTATAGCAGCCAAATACTCTAAAATGCACGTTGATTCTAAACTTGGAGGGAAAAAACAGAGGACGCAGAGAAAAATCCATGCCATCGCGGGGACAACATGCACACTCCAAATATACAGGCGTAAGGGTCGGGATAGAACCCACGACCTCCTGTATACCAGCCGAGGTGGTTAATATGTCTGCCTCGCTCCCCGATATGTTCGAGTTGTATCGAGTGTCGTTCAGCACATTGTCCACGCGATTGAACCCACGACCTGTATTACAAGGCGCAGTAGTTTACCACACAAGTAGCCCCCCATTTCAACGTACTGCTTTACATGCCAGGCTATAAGCCAGTCCCGTCAATGTGTAGCGTACCCATCCCCTCCCCCACCACTCCTCAACGCACCATGCTATCCGGTCAACTCCTTCCTGACTTGCTAGGCTAGACATGTCCCCCAGTGGGCAATTTTACTAAGGGTGGTTCACGTGGATAATGGGCTGCGGCGAGAACAAAAAATGCATTGGCAAAGTAGTGGCTGGCGGGCCTTAAAAGGCTTCAGAAGTAAATCACGACATTTCGATCGCAACGCAAGCGGTCGTCCTCGGGCAGAAAAAATATAATCCAGCAGTGGAACTGCTGAACTAGCGAGAGAGCAGTTACAACAAGGTGTTATATATGTGGCGATGGGCTTCGCCACATATATAACCGTGTTGTATATAACACCTTGTTGTAGCTGCTCTCTCGCTTTCAGCAGCTCCACTGCTGGATTATATTTTATCCGCCCGAGAACGACCGCTTGCGTTGCGATCTAAACGTCGTGATTTATTCTATACCTACGTGAACTTTACCGAAAGAACAAAAGAGTATGGATTCAAATCAAGATTGAGGCTTCGGAAGGTTAGGAAACGCTGAATTTTGCATTTATCAAGTAAAACATGTTAAAATTACATATGTATAATGCACACAGTTTCCGGAGATTCAAGAGTGTGGGAAACCAAGCAAGCGGAGGAAGGCTACCGGAACAGGCACCAACAATTGCCCAAGCTCTGTGGCCCTACATTGGGATGTTTGTCCCAACTCCAGTGATGTAGGAGGAAACCAGCACACCCGGAAAAATCCCACACACGTGGGGAGGCAACACTAACCTTGCACAAATGGAACACGTGGAGTCCACATTTTCTGTTGGCAAACCAGGGTATGGTACCTCACTGCCCATGGGAAGGGAGTTTCACAACGTTTGCACGGTCCACCAACCCTTGCCCTCCAAAGCGCTGGACTACAGTGTAGAATTATTATTTTTAACTTTTTAGTGCACCACCACGTCAAAGCCATTGCCTTGCCTTAACAGACAATGACGCCATGCCGCAAAGGTTTAAATATAAGTCGATGGGGAACCCAACTTCCAGATATTTCTACCAATAAGACACGAGGCACGCATCTCATTGGTTTGTATTGGATGTTTCAGCGGTAAAATGTTCACTGGGAAAGGCGACAATTTTGTGGGTGTACCCTCGACAAGAAAACATTTTTCTTTCGTCTTTTTTTTTCATGCGATTAACCTGGCGCAAAATAAATTGTGAAGGGTGGACACACGTGCATTCAATATTTTATACTCCGAGATTTTCATGCAAATTTAATTCCTGCACCCAGGTAACATCGTGGCAAGGATGCAGCTGACAAACCTAAGCTGCGAGCTGAAATACTTGTTGCAGACTAGCTCAACGCTTCATTGCTTCGAGTTACATTATAGCGATTAGCACGGTTGGCTACGTTTGGTGCGAAAGTTCAACATACATGTGCTACTCTGCGGGAAGTACAGCGACTCTCCTATCGAGTAGATGCTTGCCACCACCATCATAGGAATGTGGAATTTGCTCCACTGGCTCAGGAACATAAACAAGAGACGAGTACCAACCTTAGCTCACTTGAGAATAAAACTACTTTCACTATTTTTTTTTTACAACCTAGCCCTCCAGCATCCTTGGGGTCCACGGCCGTACACACACCTGCCATGGGGCAGAAGCCGTAGCGTTGGTCGGTGTCAAAGTTGGCCGTGGTACTGCACCACTTCATGCCGTCGGCGCGACCCTCCGAAGTGCAGGCGACGTGCTCTCGGCCACCGAACACGAACGGGAAGTGGCACAGCGCTCCATTGGAGTTCCCACCCCTTGTGGTCACCAGCGTCACCGTTGTTCCTGTACAATGACGGCCGTAACCGGAAGAAAAACTTATGACGTACACGCACACGTAATCCAGTTTTACTTCTGGTTTCATTACAATGACGTACACACGTACCAACCGGAATAAAAACGAATATCGGTACCGAGGCTCCTACAAGGCCATGCAGGAGGACGTGTGGCACAGTTTGGCGACAGCTATCATAGAGTTCAGTTGTGTCTCTACGGTTCTCTGCGGTGAGTACAATGTCTTTAAAAACAGCGGTGCTATGCCTCTCCACCGCTAAACTGCTTGCACGTTCCAAGACTCAGCGGTGAAAGGGACCCACCTGGCAAATCACAGATGTCTCGGAAGAGGAAAGGGTTAAAATACAGAAACCCTCGCCTCTTAGAACACACAAAAACAACCTAATAAACACAACTCCACTGCAGCTGCCACTTCCAACGGGCAAGCCAAGCGTAGTTAACAGTGAAACGGATCGAAACATTTTAGTCGTCGTTCCGATGCCCAACTAAGTATTGTAATACAGACAATGGCGAAGTAGCGACATTATCAGCTCAAGGGGTGTAGCAACCGGATAGCACCTAGGCTAGTATATATCACGGGTCCTCTTGTCGAATCACATCGTCGTTACACACTCACGGTCTCGAACACGTAACGCTGTTGGGGCGCTCCAACGTCGGGGAGGGAGGGAGGGGGGGGGGGGGCAAGGCATTCCCTTGCCCCCCAAACTAGTTACGCTACCATATACGGATAACAATTTAATTAAAACCACGTGCGATTCAGAACAGAAAAAAAAAAACTAAACAAAATGAAGCCATCGTTTTTTGGACAGCGAAGTGGTGGGGTGGGTGGGGCGGGATCACCTTCTTCCTGGCTGCACAGTGAGAACTTCTTGTCCTGGGCGTAGTTGGCGGTCGTGCTGCACCACAGCTTGCCGTCGTCGCGCCCCTCGGCCGTGCACGTGCTGTGCACGCGCCCCTCGTGCGTGAAGGGGAACACGCACGGAGCCCCATCCGAGTTGCCGCCGTGTGTTTTTATGGCTGGGCCGCGGAGGAAAAGCAAAAGCAAAGGGGGGGGGGGGGGGGGGGTTTGGCGTGGTTGGCAAGAGTCGCCGCATTGTCAGGCAATTTAGTATGTACCGTATTTAGCATCGATAAACGATTTGGATGTAGCGTATAGTGCCGATAAATGATTTGAATGTACCGTATATAGTGTCGGTTATCATCCCATACCCTTAACGGTACTTGCTGAGATTCATAAAGGCAAACTGATGTGCTTTTGTTAATTGTGTTAATTTTTTTGCCTATGGGTACACGGCTTTGTTGGTATGACACCACTAAAATGTGATGTAGGTTACATGTGCCAGGGCATTCATGTCAATTCTATTTTACGTAAAGTGCTCAGACGCCATTATTGGATTGATCAATTGAAAAATTTACAAAAACATGTTTATAACACATCGGCTTTCACGGGCAATAGAATGTTATCTAAATTTAGTGAGAATTGTTCTTCAGTTTCGCCGGTAAACCGAAACAATAACAGTTGGCGTGTTTAACACTCGATGCACGCGGCAGTTTCATTTCGTTGACAATGTTAGGTGGCGGAGGGTTTTACAACAGGCATTTGGTCAAACAAACAAAACATATATTATGAATCGTTAACTTTTTTCCGGCCGTACCGCAAGTCCTCACTTAACGCGTGTTCACACTATCACACGTTTTCGCTCAAACGCGGTTCTGCTATGAAGGAACACTTGTCGCACAACGTGGATCGTACACCGTTATTACGCAGAACGCGCACTTTGTTATAATGCAGAATGCACACCATTATTAACGCAGGGGGCAAACCACTTTCTTGAGCTGGGTACCTGAGCAGTACACGATACAGTACGCGGAACGCTACAGTAACGCGGCGGCGTATCCTCATCTCAGATTTTTTGTCCCGCCATGAAACGACTTTACAGAGCAAACGCAATTCGCCAACGGAAATTCCTGACTTAGCCCGGCACTCTTTCGGGATTGCATCTAACCGCGCCAAACGAAGAATTGCTATTCATCAAACGGACAAAAAAAAAGAAGAAAATCCCCAGCAACTTTCAAGGTCAACGTATCCACCGGGGCTTACCGATGGTCTGGCAGTTCACTCCACTGGGCAGACAGGTGCACAGCAGCTGTCCCCCCCCTTCCTGCGACTTCACCCAGCGCTCGCCGCTGCTGAACAGCGCGCCCCCGTCCGCCTCGCACTGCACCGTGGGCCGGTACACTGACGAGTGTACGCTCGTGTGCACGCTCGTTTGCTGCACACTGGTCTGGTGTGTGCCCGAGTCCTGCACACCTGCCTGGTGCAGCTGTCCTGTGCCTACAGATAGAGAGAGAGGGGGGGGGGGGGGGCGCCCGCCGCCGACAAACCATCGTTCGCACGTTGAAACTTCTTTCGCGCTGTGCGCGGCCAACCGTGCTCGCCGAATGTGTGGCGTTCAATCGGGAAGAGGGAACGTGCTGACAATGCGGACTGATTGCAACTTGTGAGGTGCTGCCAGCCGCACTGCATTTCACTCCTCACTCTCGAAGAGCGAGAGAATAACTTGAGAGGCACGAGACAGCCACAGAAAAGCGGGAAAGAAGCAGCCTGCGCAGCGAGCCGGCACCATCAATTGCCCAAACTCTGCGGTCCTCTGTATATGAAGGTGTTATCGGCCAATTAATGAGTGTTTACATGTGGGACAAACACTATCTCACACAGAGGGAAGAGGCCAAGCCCACATATTTGCTGTACTGCGTTTTCCCGGCGAGTCAAGGTATGGCTACTCAATGCCCACAGGAAAAGCGTTTCACAACATTCGTGCGATCCTCCGACCCTCGCTGCCTCCACAGGGCTGGATTGCAGACCACGTGCATAGCCACCACCATCAGTAGTGTTTGCGTGAGGGCACAACTGTGCAACCTTGATAACCCAGTAGTCAACATTAAAAACACATTATTTGGTGATGCTGCTTCATTAGCAGTGGTGCACAAGGACAATTAACATCAAAGGACTCACATTCACCAATAAAGGCCACTGTGTGACCTTAAAAGGAAAACAAATATAAAAAAATATATATTAGGTGACATTTCAGGGCAATGGTCCTTCTTTGGGTTTTGTTTTTTGTTGGGAGTTAACATGCTCGCAATAAAAAATATTTGTATTCTACCAGGTAAGACCCACTGAGCTATATAGCTCTTTTAGAAGCGACCTGGCCACAAATGACAGCTCAACAAAGTGGTTTCTCGTATGGAAATTGATAGCAGCCAAATACTCTAAATGCACATTGATTCTAAATGTGGAGAGAAAAACCGAAATGCATTGAGAAAAATCCACGCAACCATGGGGGGGGGGGGGGCGAGAGAGAAGGATAGACACGCAAACTCCAAATATATGACCTCCTGTATACCATGCGAGGTAGTTAACATCTCGCCACCGTGACGCCACTAGGCCACCAGGCAAGCGTGACAGCCGTAGACAAATGTGGGGAAGTGGCGGCGGTGACACGGAGGAGCCTTGTGAAGGAGCGAGGGCGGCGTACCCGTGGCGGTGACGCTGGAGGTCTGGCGGTCGCACTTCCACTCCCCGTTGCCGTTGCCAATGCAGAGGCATCGCAGGGGCTGCCCTCGCGCATCCGCTCGGGACCACGTCTCGCCAACCTTGTACGAGCGTCGCGTCTCCTGGTCGTTGCAGCGGTCTGGGGGTTTTGAACGAGTTGAAATGTAAACGGTTCTATCGGGCGGCTTTAGAGCAATTATACGTACTATTTATTTTGATATAGATGCTACGCACACCAGTTAGACTCATAACTGTATTTTAATGCACGAATGAGTATTGAGGCAATACCCATCTCCAGAGCAAGTGGTGGGCATTCCACATTCCTATGGGAGGGACGAGTCTATCCATCGGACAACCACTGTTGAATTCGCCACAAAGTGGTCCTCACTTTATGGACCCCCCCCCCAACGGGATGATGGGCGGAGTCAGCACCAACCAGGAGAACTCGCGGGCTTATGATTGCGAGCCGCTCGCTCTGCCGCTGAGCCACCTGGCAGGAAACTACAAAAGAGGGCATTTCCAAATTTACTTCCCTCCCATTACGATGAATTGTCAAGATTCGCCGTCACAATTCAATTTAAAATTGTCTTTAAATACACACTGCGAATGCGGCACCCCTCCAGTGGCTGTAAAAGTCACGTGAACCAATTAAAATTAAATATACGAGTGGAAAGCACGATCCGATGCTTTTCATACTTTGCTTACTTTCTACAATCTTTTGAGATAAACGTTGCGACAGGTGCAGCTCCGCATTTGCTTGCTCATGTCACCGCTGGTAGAAGAGCCTCCCCCATTAGATGAAGCTCAATGGCGCCCCTGCCCCCCTCTAGATCGTACTTGGCCTACTCTTCCAGCAGGTATGGTTTCATCTATATGTTTAGATATTCTCCAAACAATAAAAGTCAAGGCACCGGGCCGAATTGATGTCTTAAAAGACTGCCCATAAATAACTGACAAAAGGTGGCCAAGTTGCCATACTTGCCATAGACCACTGCAAAAAGCAGTGGAAAGTAGGGGGTGGGAGGGGGGCTTGGGCTTCTACTGAAACAACAGTCAAACCCTACTGTGAACACAGAAGCTGCGTGAGCCTTTAATCGTCATTGCTGTCTGTGCTATTCAGATTTGTGCATTTCGTCACCAACCATACAGGGTAGGTGCGATTGTACATACCATCACACGGTTCCTTTTATGCTCATGCACAAAAGAGCATTCTGCACCATCTAAGGTAGGTTGAGGTCATGGGAAATGACCGCACCACAATATTATGTTGTTGCCAGAAGTGCTCGGCTGTTTTGGCCAGGGTCACCATTGAAAACGAGATCCTTAGCCCTATGGGCCTTCCCCGAAACAAACTGACTTGACCGATATCAATCACAAGTTTTTAATAGAATTACGATAGAAATTCATTTAATTTAACTACCAACTTCAATTTAAATATCCTTACAAATGTGGACAAGTTTAAACTCTCAAAAAAAAACAGGGCCAGAAAAAAAACTAGGTCGTCTTTACCAAAGTAAAGGTCTCCACGGTAACTTCAACAGTACCAGTAGATTACAAAATGTGCACCTATTCACAAACTAACTAAAATTTTAGGTTGCTAGGAAACTCAAATACACGTTTCACAAATAATCCTGAGGTGAACAGTACATTTCTTAGTGAACATGCCAAACCCCACAGGTTGAAACATCATTAAATATTTGTCAAATTGTACGTGTTTTGAAAGCATTAATTTACTGGTCACAATCCCTCTGCAGGTTAATTGCTTTTAAAAAAAAACCATCGTGAAAGTGAAAAAAAAAATTGTCGTGAAAAGAAATTACAACCCCTTTGGTGCTTTCTGTTGGACATTCTCCCTCCCCTGCATGTGTAACCGCAGCACGAATAGAAACGTTGGCATTGGCATGAAGGTACAAGGATGATCGGAATCAGAATATTTAAACTGGAGGAATCCTATGGAGCTATAAAGCTTTTTTTTTTCACAGATGTCCAGTCGGGGCGGGTAAGAACGTTACAACGACAAAAAAAAAACAAGATAGGAGTGCAAAGTACAATAAATCACCCAAACATATACAAATAAAACTAAACTATCCCCATCCTACCAGACATTGCCCACCGAGGTTGCAAGGTAGATGCACAAAGCGACGAGGTGAACAAAGCTGTCGACGTGCTCATCCTGACGGCAAAGGGGACGGGCGGCGTCTCTCAACACGCACCACCACTCAGGGGGCTCTGTAGCGCTCGTTTAACCAAGAACGTCTCGCCAATTCCTCAACCTCTTTCAGGAGGGGCCTTCCCTGCCAAGTTCTCAGTAGGGGGGGGGGGAGGGGGAGTGGGGGTGACGTTGCTACCCCGGTGCGATCCACCAAATCGAGTGGTTTGCAGTTGTAGTTACCCAGCGATAGGATGTTTGGCTCAAAACCAGGTCACACCTTGTGCGATATTTTAATTTTAGCTACGGGAGGGAAACCGCGGATGCCGGAGGAAAACCCAAACCGAACGAGGGAAAGAACATTTAAAGTTCCACGCAGAAAAGGCGCCCGAGTCGGGGATCAAACCCAGGAAATCTTCTTGCTGCGGGGCACAAGTGTTACACAACTGCGCCATGCGAATCCCTCCTCCCTAGGGCGAGCATTTAAAACAATCTTTACGCACCACAGCGTCATCTACACCATAGCGAAACTCCCAGCGATGCACGAGGAGAGAGTGAGAGCCGTCTTTTGTGTTTTTTTTCTTTGTTAAATTTCGTGCATTCACAGTAACACGGTATCCATACTACATCGAGCACGACATGTTATTCTACTGCGGAGGCTTTCATGGTTATGCTGTTAAGATGTCGATTTGATCTCGGATTGTACACCGCTATTTTCGGGCAGGAATGATGCTCCCGGCACATTGAAGCGACCGACTGGGCGAGGTTTTTTTTTTCCTGGCTAAACGAGCATAATAGTAATTGCAATCAATTAATGTTCATTTGTTCCACGGAAAGTCCCGTGTAGCCAGTCACCCAGCCAGTGGTGCAAGGGAAATATCCGTGGTGCTTCAGCACAGAACAACAACGTCGTCAGAGCGACGCATACGGAGGAGGGGCAGGCAACAATGGAACGCTTCAAGGAGGTGCTGGCAAGCAGTAGTGCTTAGAGAACAAAATAGTACAATACTAACAAAACAAACAACAGGCGCACCTTGCACCAAAGCCAAGGGCGAGGTGATGAACGGTCAGAGAGGAGGTGAGCGCGAGGCAAGACGAAGAAGGGAATGCGATCGAGCGAATAGAACAAGCAACCCTCCACGGCAATGCGGGGAAGCATGGATGGCTGGATGGATGGTGAACTTACTACTCCACTCCGTACATGAACATCCATGCTAATCGGAGGTGTGGGGGAAGGATGGCAAAAAATGTTTTCTCCGAATACAGCCCTCACCAGTTTATAGGGGATGGAGTAAAGCGACGTCAAACGGGTCCCGCAGCCATCAACGAGTTCTGAGCTGGGAGCGATTTGAACACGGAGCTGGAGAGAGGGCCGATGGGAGCGGCCGATGGGAGCTTCCATCGGCAAATGCGGGGGGGGGGGGGGGCAGGGGGGTAGGGTTGGAGGGGGGTGCCCACTCACTGCGGGACGTGCAGGCGATGCGACCCTGGCCCTCTCCCAGGCAGGTGCAGTCCACCACCATCCAGCCCTGGTACGGCCGCTCCCAGGTGTCGCCCACCAGGTGCGCTGAGCCCAGCGTGTTGTCGTAGCAGCGCTCCTGGGAGCCGGCTAAGCGACAGGGGTGGGGGGAGGGGCGGGTGAGAAAACACGTCGCGTAAGTAAAAGTAAAAATCTGTTTTCATGTTTATTACCGGCAACCCATCAATCATCAGTTACAACCGGGCATAAAAAAACACATTACACTGGAAAGATGCCATTCGCCTCATCCTGTATGACATCTTGTACCTTGTGAACATATATTATCACAATAAATGAAGACACACCAAGCGAGATATATATAGGACACACACACAAACCGCTCGTTTAAAATATATATTATTATTATCGTCCGATAATCTTGCAGAGGCAGGTGACAGCAGCTTTGCCTGCAGCATGGAGTTAGAGCTCTGAGACCACTGGTAAGTCCAGTCAGGTCCCACTCAACAACAATAAAAATAATCATTAAAAAAGGACAACCTGAGTGCATACGTTTGCACAACACCATATATACCAACCGTGTGAATACGTGTAAAACAAATCACACACAACACAGTGACATTATAATAATGCACAGGCACGTTGTTTTCCCTGGGGAAACCGAATCGGTTTCTCAGCACGTTTTAAACATTCTCTCTGCATTGGGGTACTCGCACTCAATCTCGAAGAATGACTCGCAGATACACATCTGCAAGTGTTCATGGGTTTCAGCACAACTATCCATCAAGCCCTGATGTAGCATTCCACCCCCTAGTGTGCCAAAACGTGTTATGTTGTCCGTGTTCTTTCCAGCGTAGACAAAAAAAATATATACATTTAATGTGCAGTCTATAAATTAACAACAATTTATATGGTATTTAAAAAAAAAACGCATTTATATCCCACACCTCCGATTAACATGGTTGGCTACGCACGGTGCGAAAGAAGTTCAACGTACATCATAATAATACACACCATAATAATACACACATAATAATGTGTGAATTTCAGCATTGTTGTTTATGATCTTGTATATTAAAGCTGGATCAGAGACTGAACCTAATTATTTTTCAGGAGACGAGCTTTAACAAGTCAAGGACCTATTTGTTTGTCAATTCCCCATTCGTCATTTAAAATTGTCGTCAACAAATCAAGCGGGATTGTTCTTTCAAAGCCCTCGTGTCTTCTCTCTGCAGTGGAAACTACAAGACCTCGGCTAACAATGGAAGAGCTGTGACACACAGGAAGAAGCTTGAGGCACGGGGGGATGGGGACAGATTGAACAAGATGGAAGGTAAACGTGAAGGGGGAGGAGGAGGGAGGTGGAATGGCAGAGGAGCGTTTTGGAAACTTCCTAAGGTCCATCTCGAAAAAACTAAAAAACTGACAATATCCACTCACTTTACTACTATCTTTATTTTACCAGGTAAAGCCCCACTTAACTGTATAGCTCTTTTTCAGAAGTGACCTGAGGACAAATGAAAGCTCAACAAAAGTGGCTTATCATTTGGAAATGTATAGTAGCCAAATCCTCTAAACGCACGTTTCTCAATGTGGAAGGGACAGCATTGGAGGACCCAGAAAAAATCCCATGTGACTATGAAGAAAAAATTCAAACTCCAAATATACAGGCGTCAGTCAGGATCGAACACACGACCTCCTGCATACCTAGCGGGGTAGTTAACATCTCCCCACCGTGGCGCCGTCAGGGCCAATATAAACTCCTTGCCAGACCCACTCTTTGCAGCAACACAACAGCACCAGGAAATCTTGGGCAGCCACAACATAACCTTAACAAACAAGCACACTGCGCGACACGTTCACTTGGAATTCGTCACACAATGTTAAACATAAGATGCGGTAGGGGGGGGTGGGGGTGGGGGGCTTGCTGGGGTAACAAATGGGCAGCCCTGAATGTGGCCCCTCAGGGTTGAGCATGGAAAGTGTGGCGAGTGTGGCGGCGAGTGTAACGCGAGTTGAACGCGAGTGCGGCGGTGGCGAGTGTTTCGGTGCCGGTGGTGCGGCGGGATGGCGAGACTCACACACTGGGTTGCAGATCCACTCCCCCTTGCCGTTCCCCAGACACACACAATCCATCATGTAGCTGCCCGACTCGTGCACCCGCCGCCACTTGTCTCCGATCTTGTACGAGCTGCCGCCCTCGTGACAGCGACCTACGGGGCGCGCACACACAGACACACCAGCAATCACTCTTGCGTTCATTTCTTTAGAACTGCTTTTTGCGTTTCGTTTGTTGGGCCTTCCGCCCCGCACCTACCATTAGCGTAGTTGGCTACGAATGATGCGGAAGATGTTCAACGTGCATAGATAGTAGAGCACCTGTCAAATACACCACAACCAATACTACCCACCCACACCTCTCCCTCCCCTCATAGCCTTAACAGACTGTTGGGTGCCAGTGCTGTTGGCAAGCGCCTCTGTAGGCCAAAGCGGCGTACACGAGGGGGGTGTGGTGTGGTTATCAGTCCGTCCAGCCACATTTGTGTCCCTCCCGCCCACCTCCAGGGTTGATGTTCACGCAACATCCCGCGATACCCTAGGGGAGGGACCAGGACTGGTTCAGATTTTGGTTGTGAGCGGGAATCAAATGTGGGCTTCACTGGGTCCACATCGCATTGTGCCAACCACCACACTGCCACTCCCCACCAACTACCCAACATACAAAGCAAATATATAGGAGCCTTAAACATCAATATAACCGATTTAAAAAATGTTATTTCACTTGATGAAAGACACAGGTCAAGCCCAATTGTGTGAACGCAGATTCAGTGAAAGTTACGATCGGAAAACACGTTTTCACGTACGTACATGCACATTTTGTTAAATGCTTTTACTTGCCTCAACCGTGTTGTTAACATACCTGACTAAAAAAAAAACATGACCAGTCTACAGCATGTAGATACCGATGCCAATGTCCCTTCTCGGGCTCGTCTCTATGCCATACCCTGAAGCAAATTTCCAAGGAAGTCCCATGCCATTCACTGCTGGTGTGTATGCGAGGAAACCGTGGCTGGATTTGAGGCTTCTGACCGTTTACCTTCGCACAGTCCACCCATGGCCGTGTTTACACCAATGGGCAGGAATTCACACGAATAATTACATAACCACAAGTGGCAATTCCTATCAATAGAAATGTACCATAACCCCAGAAACGTTAACAATCTATTCTAAACATGGTTCATTATGGAATGTCCAGCAGCTCAAATTGCATCTTCAATGAAGTACAAGTGCTGAAGTCTAGTTTGTTAACTGTTTAAAATGCAGTCACATGGAGTGAGATGGCACATGCCTATAATCCCACGCCCTGGAGGCAGGGTTTGGTAGTTAATACACATTTCATCGGGTGCATGAGACTTTTCACATACTGGGCCGAGGTGGCCTGGAGATGGGAGCATGCTTCTGCATTGGCTTTTAAAAGGCATAAACCCCTCAAAGAGTTAGGGTTTTCTTTCCCCGAGGCCATTCAGTATCCGCTCGCAAACCACTTGGCAATACATTTGCCAAACATTCCTAAGCAATCCCATTCTGGATAAAGACCTGCCCACGTCGTGTGGGTCATAAGGGTTAATTGGCCATACTTCACACTGGCCAACATAGTGGTCGCCCATCCCAGCACCACTATAACGAACAATATTATATTATTACTCGTGTAGAAAAATAGACAGCCGTTTTATTCTCAAAATCCTGTTACTCGAAAACACTAAAAGCAGGGGCGGAGCCAGGGGGTGACAGGGTAGACAATTGTCACCCACGAAAAAAATCGAAAATCTGAAACATTCTGCGTATAAGTGTACGACACTCGGTCTGGCGGACTCCGTGCAACTGCATTGTCAGAGTGTGTCGCCAACCGATGGCGTCTAGTTCAACTGCCTGACTCTCTAATCATTCTTGAAATTTATATTTGTTGAACGTCACCCCGGGCTGAAAATCCTGGCTCCGCCCCTGACTAAAAGTCATGTTTTTTTAATATATAATAACATAATGCCAAGAAAGTGTGTATTGAGGTTTTTTAATATATATTCTCAATTTAAAGAATATTCTTGCAACAATTACAATGATAGGAGCTCAAGTTGGAAGTTTACAGCAATTTTAAATTAACAGTGTCAGTTTTCTGTATTCGTTATTCCCACCTCTTTGACATCGCTACCATGTCCGAGGACCTTTTTCCATCATTTAAAGTCAATGTTTTTTTGTGACACGGAAAATACGGTTTAGCGAGTTAGCCAGCTAATTTTAGTGGCAACGACCCGCAGTCATAGTTGAGGTGGGGGAAGGTGGGGGAAGGTGGGGGAGGAGCCCACCCAGCAGCCAGCCAGGAAACTGAAGGCAGAGATTCGTTTTAACAGAAGGATGATCCATAAGAGGTTTTTTTGGGTTAGAGCGAGGATATGTGTCGTTACAACCCGCCACCACCCGACACAGCTAGCTAGTAAGGGTTGTCACGTAAACAGAACATTCAAATTCGTCACTAGTACAGCACACCAGTGCGTTGGAGAGCCAAGCCACAACATTTACAAACTGAGTACGACGTTTCGCCGGCAATTACAACCAACTTGTAATTAATGGCAACAGCCAGATATGTGGAGAAGTCTGTTTCGTTCCTTATATAGAGGCGTAGATGTGGTGACCACACTTCTGCGCTCTTGCGCAAGGGGGGGGATTAATGAGTCAACGTACATTATGCATGTGCATTATGCGAGTCCTTTGGCATGTTCTGTTTACGTGACAACCCTTACTAGTTGGCCGTGTCGGGTGGTGGTGGGTTTTGACGACATTTATATACTTACACGATCTAACTGAAAAACCTCTTATGGATGATATTGGTCGCGAAAGCCTATGTGTTAGTAGGATGATTGTAAATGTCTCAATGTATTTGGTATTGTAACGGAATAAACAGGCAAGGATTATATTTATGATCAAGAGGCCAAAAAAACGAAACTATATTTTATTTTGCCAGGTAAGGCACATAAAGCAATATAGCTTTTTCAGAAGCTACCTGGCTATCACAAATAATAGCTAAAAAAATTGGCTTACCATGTGGAAATTTATAGCAGCCAAATACTCTTAATACATGCCCCACATTTATGACGTCAACCAACACAGGGGCCTTCCGAATCAACGTACGATTGCTCGTTCGTATATTTTGTCTCACGAGCAGGGTGTAGCCTCTTCAACAAACACCAACCGGAAACCAGCGATTAGGGGCAAGAGACGTGCCCCAACGCTATGGGAAGCAAAACGAGCGGCGGCAGAAAAATGCATTACCCATAATTACTTTGCAGCTACCCACAATTCCCCTTGGGTAGCAAATTCACGTAATTATCGTCTGCCGAAAAATCAGTACTGGCTCCGCTGTATTAAACAGTCGTGAGTGCTACGCCTATGCACACTACTGGATTAGAATTTTTTTATTTTAATCGTATTTTATTAGGTAAGGCACACTGAGCTATATAGCACTTTCAGAAGCTACCTGGCCACAAATGATAGCTCAACGAAGTGGCTTATCATCACCTGGAAATGTATAGCAGCCAAATACTCTAAAACGCATGTTTCTAAATGTGGAGGGAAAAGCCGAAGGACCCAGTGAAAAATACACGGGAACGTTCCCCTTGTTCTCAAGAAGAAGTGCCATTGCCCGAAATGTCGATTATACGTCTTCTTCAAGGCAGCGTTATTGGTGAATATGTCGAGTTGTTTTTGTTCAACGAGCTTTTGCACCAATGTCAAAGCTGCACCAAATAATTCCTTGCTCAGGTCATCCCCACTCCATTTCAACAACTTGCCTCCCTCTTCTACACTGCCCTCGTCTAATTGTGTTAACCTCTTCCCAACACATAGACACACGCACAGGGTATTTATCATCCGGTCAACACAGGCATCAAAATCTTCGGCCATGTTCTATCCACCACTGGACAAAGTGTCTCCCACCCCCGACGCCATTGCCACCCCACGTGGCCCAACGATGGCACCCTCCGTCTCGCTACTACCCTGCGCACGCAACTTCTCACCACTCCATCTCTGTGGAAATCGTCCCCCTTGGATTTTTTTCCCCCCTTATGCTGCCATTTTGTCACCAGTCTCCCCCCATCGGCTATCGTCCCTTTGTAGCGACGTGCCACTATCCAAGCCCATTTTACGTTCCTCAACTGCCAGCAAAACTTGTTTATAATATAGTATAATGATAGGATGATGATAGCATGGTCGCGTATCTCGTGCATTTGCGTGGGATACACGACCGGGATGGTAGGTGGTTGGGGGCCTGGGAGGGGGGGCATGATGTCATCACGACCCACAAACCTGGCTCGACACTGGCATGCAGATGACGTCATGACAGAGGTGCGCAGTGACGTCACCGTCACACACATGTGCTTACGTGGCCACACGCCAGGAATCCAGCCAGGCAGCCAGGAACCCATCGAGCAAAACCTTTTTCTACTATCATAGCGACATGCCCCATCCAAGTCAGCTTTACGTTCCTCAACAGTGAGCAATGTCTTTAATTTATGATTGTCTCTGTCCCCCCCCCCCACCCAATTCCCTTAAATTGCATTTGTCCCATGAAATTACTCAATTTAAATGTACATAGGGCAATCATTGCCCCCTTCTGCAAAAAATGGCAGGAAGCTTCTTAAAGAAATTCACGAGACTTGGTGAGGCTTTAACGAGTAAAATAAGCGCAATTGATCATAATAATCTTCCCATCTCCGTATAATTGCAAATATGCGCCCTCTATGCACACTTTTCAGCCACCTTCTGCTCATTTTCTTTACCAGCCAAGTATTCACGCATTGCTTTTCATGATCGTTATCTGTTAAATACCCTCAACAGCACTCCATCTTGCTCCGCTCCACCTCATTTTGGAAAGTCCAAGATTGGTTGCATCTCAGATTAAAATATATCTCAGATTACACGACTTGCTTTTGAGAACCAGGCATTTGTATGGAAAAAAACAGCAGCCCACACGTCCTTTCGACGTGACCGGCCGTCCGTTCTACCATCACTATCTCCCTCAAGCAAGCCAAACGTTTTTCTAGTCTAGTACAATATGATAGTACGCTAGCGTATCTCGTACATTTGCGTGTGCGTGAGATCCACAGCCGGGGTGGAAGGTGGTTGGGGGTGGGAGGGGAGGCATGACGTCGCCGGCTCGACACTGGCATGCGGATCAAGTCATCACACAGAGGTGCGCGGTGACGTCACCACCGCGCACAGGCCTTTGCGTGATCGCACGCCAGGAATCCAGCCAGGCAGTCCACGAATCCATCCAGCAAAACTTTTTTTCGAATATCATATGATACAATCCTTGAAAGCTCTCTTCAAAAAGCCTCCTACATGAATCAAGGATCATGGAGTTTTACAGACACAGCCCTCTCTCTACTCGAATCTAAAAATGGGCTTCATCGCGAACATTAATCGCGAAATATACATTTATATTTGCGAGACCATAGTTTGTGAAAGATCTGTCATGAAAGACGGAGGTAATGAGTTTAGTCGGTGTTTTTAAATGCGTCGCTATCCCTGCGACATAATGTTTGTGCGCAAGGGCAAGTCAAGGCTGATTGGGTGGCAGTGGATGGATTTTAAAAACCCGGCAGTTGACCATGTCAGGACCGTCTCAGGTGTTGCAGTGTTCGGCTATTTGGGCTGCTGTTAGCATGCACGACACGAGACACTCAACTATTGTCAACCCAGTGAGGAGAGACTTGGCCGCATTAGGCAGGAGACAAAACCCCACACAATACACAGACCTCCTTTGTACGCGCGAGCTTGCACTCGAGACTGTGTGAACAATGTAAAGGTGCGGTAATTTACCTAAACAAATGTCTAAACTACGTAAATATTCACAATAAAAACACTGTAGTCACGACTAGAAACACAACTCGGTGATCCGAATCCATGAAACCTTTGTTATCATTGGCAACTTATTTTGCTCTCGAGAATGGTCTTGCACTGAAAGCGTATCTTTCCCAAGGGACTTGAAACTATGTTTGCTGAGCACAGTTGCCCTGTTGTGCTTAAATGCTGCGAGCTTTGAAAGACGCTGACGGATCGCTGTCCCACCGTGCACATTAGCCAAAATACGCAGTTCCGTGAAGTACAATGCACAGACCCGAGTGCCTAAAACAGAGTGAACACGAATAATATCACAAGTCTTCCAACTGCAGACTGAATCTCGTATTAAATACGCCATTAAACCTACAACGAACACATTTAAAATGGTCATAGCTTCAAAGCAGGAAGGAGGCATTTCAACTCTTCCATACCTATATTGATAAAAATGTAAATACATTAAAAAAATCACATGGCAAGCATGAAAAAAACATTCTGTACATTCTCCCCATCCCATCTCCTTCCGGGGGGGGGGGGGGGGGGGGCGAGGGGGGGGGGGTCTCTCACTGGCAGTGGTGCAGCTGATGCGGCTGACGCTGGCGCCCAGGCAGGTGCAGTCCCACACGAGACCCCCCTTGGGGCGCTCCCACGTCTCGCCGGCACGGTAGCGTCCCCCCGTGTACTGGTCGAAGCACGATTCGGCTAACCAGGGCACAAGCGAGCAACAAACGCGTCGTGTCAAAAACCGTGCGTGCGTGTGCGGAGCGGTAGTGTAGTGGTGAGCGTGCTGCGCTATGAGCCCGGCGACTCGAGTTCAATTCCTGCTCACGGACAATTATCTGAACCGGTCGTGCGCCTCCCATAGGATGACTAAGCCTCAAATGAGTACCTAGTGTGGTGTTTAAACATCGCCACAAGGGAGACAAACGCGGGCAGGTGTGGTGCTGGCCACCCACCCCTTCGTGTGCTGTGCTGGCCTTCATTAGGTGCTCGCTAATAGCACTTGCCCCAACAGTTTGTCAAGGCTATACGGCCAATCTTTGTCTTGGTTTGGGGAGTGGTGGCGCAGCGGTTAGCACGCGGAGCTACGAACCTGGCGTCCCGAGTTCGATTCCCACTGACGACCAATAACAGGTAACAGTGGTGAATATCTCAACCAGTAATGGGCCTCCCATGGGTCAATTCAGCCTTAGTTTTATCTGTATACATTTTTTAAGCGATTTGTTTTCCTTTCTAACACTTTGCACTCCTATGGTATTGTGTATTGTTTATTGTTGCAACGTTCTGACCCCGCCCCTACTGGGCATTTGTGAAAGAGCTTCATAGCTCAACGGATTCCCCTAGTATAAATAAATATTCTGATTACGATTATAAATGAGTACCTTGTGTGATGTGTAAACATCGCAACTCGAGAGACAAAAGGCAGCCGGGCGTGGTGCTGGCCACCCACCCTTTCATATGCAGTGCCAGCCTTCATAGGTTTTCACTAACAGCACTTGTCCCAACAGTCTGTTCAGGCTGTATGGGGGACCTTTGTCTTTGTATATTTGGAAATGGTCTCAGTTTTTATTTAAAACCTCATAAGGCTTGGGTCCTCACATGGTTTACGCATTCCAGGAAAAATAAAATAAGGCGAATGGTACAGTTTATGGTTATGACATTAATAAGACATCCCAAAATAAATGTGTTGGAATATAAATAATTCACCACCATCTTAATTTAGACATTATTCAAAAGAAAATTCCCTTCGGAGTAATCGTAAGACGTTCTTCTTTAAATAGCCTTCACCTCTGCAAGTGATATTTATGGCAGCACACTTCTGAGGAAGGATTATTAAACTTCAAGGCTGTTATGCGAAAGCTGCAATGGCACACTTTAGCTCAAGAACACGCTTGGTAGCACTCAGTATTGTGTGCATAAGGTCCACAGTGGGATTGGTTTATGCACAAGGGCAGGTGCTTTGGCAGGGATGTATTTTTCACTCGTTTCACTCATTGTGCTCGACTAAGCGCCTACTAAATCCATAATTGGAGTAATGCAGAAAAAAAATAAAAGAATAAAAATGGGTAACGCGTACAATGCAAGTTTACTCGCAGAGTACACAAAGTTCAATGCCGCTTTTGACAAGATTTAAACCTGGATAGCTCGATAAATTATTGCGGTTTATCCCGGCAACTCGGCATCTGTGCACGAGGGGGAGGGGAGAATGTTTACTCCGTGCATATTAACCAGGCTCAAGTGAGACAATCGTATAATTAAAGTTGCCGTGACATTGTATTCTTCACAGTAACGTGGTTAAGGCCATTGAACAGGCTACATATGACAACCTGGTTTTTCCATGTTGGCTGGAAACAAAAGTTATCCGATGCCGTGTGTCGAAGTTGTACCACGCGTCATTAGGCCAACAGAGCTTATTCGAGAATGACATTTAAATTTCTGTGAGGTCATGTGCCCGATTCAGGACGTGGTGTAAAAAAAACCGTCGGACATCGTGCCGAACAACACGTGGTACAATCTGCACAACCGGTGGGAACTAAATTTAGAAGACAAAATATCTCAGCTGCCAACTCAATTGTGACAAACAGCCGCAACGAATAGGACTTGGGCGACTGGGTGCATTGCGAATAATTACGTTCAGGTTTGCCTTCACAGGTCCATCCACGATCACCGCCAAAGCAGGTACAGGTGAGCATGCGGCCCAGGTAGACCCGCTCCCAACGCTCGGCCACAGAGTACATCTTCCCATTCACGTTACATCCACCTGCATACGCACACACACACGCACAACAATGACTACAGTATAATATACAGAACACATAGCATGCGGGCTGCCGTGGCTATCTACATCTGTAATCCAGTGCTGTGGAGGCAAGCGAGGGTTGGTGGATTACACACATGTTTGTGAACCTCCTGTCTCATGGGCGTTGAGGAACCGTATCCTGGCTTGCCAGGGGAATGTGGTACAGCAAAAATCAGGCTTAATTAATGTAATCCGTTCCTTATTTATGGGATAGAGGTATCCCCTCACACGTGTAGCTAATCTCCAGGTGCTCCAGTTTCCGCCACCATGTATATAAAATACTCATTAAGTGGCTGAAAACATATATAAGGATCACAGAGCTTAGGCGATTGTTGGCACTGGCTCACTGCCTATCTTCCAGATTATCTGTGGTTTCTCAACATTGTGAGATGTTATTTGCATGAATGACACTATATAACATTTTAAAACGTATTATTTAAATGTTACACTACGGAACACACCATCTATGACAACAGGCAGGTCCAGTAAACCAAGGGCAATTGCACATGACTGAAGTAACATTGTTAGAGCACAACTAATATACAGTTATCGATATTTGTCGACCTGAAATTTGGTAACTAAACCAACAGCTGTTGTTGCGCAATAGTTAAGGTGCAATCCAATAGGTGATCTTAATCAAGATCTAAAAGACAGCGCATTGCAGTGCATCGTAATTGCACGTGACAAAACCCCCTGGGAATGCACCCGATGCCATCACACATGGGTGAAACGAATTGTCACCAAAATTGCCAACACTGCTTTTAAATGTTCACCCACAGTTGGCATTCCTCCGACAAGATTTAGCCCTCCACCGATTGCGTTTGACTCCACCTCCACTGCCCTGAACCTCTGGCCCCCTGGGCAGTCTTCACCCAGGGATATGCTCGCCACCTGCAGTGATGGCCAGAATGCGGAGGCGATAGCTGTGTCTCCGAATTAATTATTCAGCTTAAAATTGTTCACATCTATTGACCGAATCCGTAAAATTCCACATCAGCTTTAACAGCACAGGCCGGATACGTACGGTGCGAAAGTAGCTCAACATGTATGCTACAATTCCTCATACAAGCTAGCGACATTATCAGGGACCTTTTAGAAGAGAACATTCACCTCTATTGCAAACTTGCTCGTGGCCAGCGCAATTTACAACTCTGCGGGCCCACCACATGAGTTACAGGCGTTGGCTGCGTGCTTTTTCAGCCTCCCCTCCACCCCCTCTCGCGCTCTCTAGCCAGGGAGCAAACATTCTTACCACAAAATGCATTACTTTGATGTTCGCTAGAAAAAGCAGATTTCCATCCTCGCAAAATTTCCACGAATCCGACGCGGAAAGAAGAATCTCGAGGCCGTGGGCACTGTGAACTCTCCCTCGCATGTCGCGTGTTGGAAAATGGCCCGAGCAGAGAGTTTTCCACTTGTGGCAGTAGCTCCAAAACTCTTTGCTTGTTGTGCACAGCCCCAATCACAACTATCAACTGTCTGCGTACGCCTACCGTTAGAGTATTTTATGGCTGTTGAACTTCATTCGCACCGTACGTAGCCAACCATGATAAATCAGAGGTCAAACCGTCAACGAACATTAGGACTGGCAAGAAATTCCATATAATGAGGAGCGAAACTCACGTTAGATATAATTCTCTGGAAACCCTGACCGTGATACTGGAAAATGGACGAGGAGCGGGAGAGCTGAGCAAGGTAAGGGAGGGAGGAGGCCACCAAACTAAACCAAACACAAAAAGCACTTCTAAGGAAATTAGTTTTCAATCTAGATGATTTAAAAGTTCATAGCTTCCTAATATCGGACGAAAGAGCGTTCCAGACGGTCACAGAAACGCATCTGAAAAGTGCACAATGTGATGACTGTCTTTGTTTGATGGCGAGCCAAAAGCTGCTACTGCTGCGAGGATGACCGGAGTTTGTGTGATGGTTTTTATGCTCCTTGACGAAATCAGCAAGGTACTAACCCTTCATTTACGGCAAGCACTTTGGTGTAATGCATGCGACCTTAGAAATCAATTTACACAATTTTTTTACACAAATTTCATGGAGACAGCACTTAAGAGCAATTGACTAAATAGTGTTATTCAATAGGTTTGTTTAACCAAAAAAGCCTCACCGACTCTCAAGACTCTTTCAGGAGGCTCCTGCCAAGTTTTTTGCAGTAAGGGCTCGGCGATTGCTTTGTACATTCCAATCGATGAATTTGTAGTAATAATTTTTCTTGTAACTTGGACCATGACAACAGCCCGCAACAACGGCCCACCCTTGCGAATGACCTCGCGGGATCTTTAACGTCCACCGCGAAACCGAAGGCGCGCGGTGTCATTGCACTTTGGGTACTCCCGCAGTAAAAAAAAAACCACACCACTGGATTCGAACCATGAACCCCTGCGACAAGCGGGCGAACGCGCCACCGCTCGGCCACGTACATGCTTTAGAAAACACTTAAAACGCTCACTCATATAAAATGCACCAATCAACTGCAATCATTATGGACCGCCATGCAGCCTCGATACTTCCCCCCCCCCCCCGTCACGCGTGAGGACACAAGACCAAGGGCCTTCCAGCCCGCGCGAGCCATACAAGGCAAGGAAACAAGGAAATGCCATTCTAATTCAATTTAAGTGATTTCAGTGGGGGGGAAGGTGGAGGGGGGAGTCGGCAAACCCGTTAGCTAGAGCACGAACAACTCGGCAACAGGAGAAATGATGAAAATACCAAATACCGAATTTGTCAATAACGGTTATACTTTAATAAAGCCGACGTAAAATAAACCTAACAATGCATTTACGTCGTAGTTAGAAGAACGTCGCATTTCCACTCTGGCGGAAGGGGAAGCAATCTCAGAGCGAGGCGTTAAGTGCGAAAAAGGAAAAATCGGTATTCATTTTTCATAAGCCAGACAGGAGATCAACCCAGGCTGGAATATCATACAACAATCTCATAACTGCAAGAAGTTACCAGCTAACCTATACTCTCGTTACAGTATTACAAAAAATAACACTACCAATGTAAACAAAAAATACAATACCATTGTATAATTGAGAACAATGGAGTGGCGACACACTGGTTAACACACTGGACTAAAACCCCGTTTAACCGTGTCCGGTTCCCGCATACAGCCCAGCAACCAAGGCTGGTGATATCTGAAACAATTCTGGACATCATCTCTTCGGCAACCTCTATGAACCTCTACTAAATTAAAAACTAATTTCTTTATAACCTTGCTTTTGTGTTTAGTTTGTTGTCCTCTCACAGCAGCTCCGATTAACTTGGTTGGCCGTGTACGGTGGCGAAAGAAGTCCAACATACATGCATAAAAAGACCACCGTTGCAAAAGTACGATCAAAGAAAGCTCGACTAGTATCAGACGGTTTCAGTTCATAAGTGGATCGAGAAAGGGCGGAACCATTGTAATACTCTACAGTGAATTATAGTGCCTCTAGTGGCTGCAGGGGTACTGCAAACCCATGATATACAACTTGATAATGAAAACCACGTAGATTCCTTTACACAATTCAATGCATGAATCAGGCGTAGGATGCCACTCAAGTTTGTCGTGTTCAAGGTCGTGCCTCCTGGTTTTATTCATATGCCTGTTACGCTGAAATACAGCCTGTTTAAAGACAATCAACATTTACTGGTTGCTCAGAGTTGAGCAATGCATTAGAGTAAATACATAGAGCCATTGAGGCAGATGCAGAGAAGAATCGGATAAGATCCTAAGCAATCTGTGAATACGAACCAAATAGAATGAGTCTCAGCTGTTGACTTTTACGCAAAAAAGTAACAAATGGAGGGGAGGGAGGAAGAACACTTGAACTTTGCTTTCCTTTTGGGGCACCTTAATCAGGAGCAGAAGAATTAAAATCTAGCTATGCATAGTTCCACCCCTACCTAAAAAGAGCAATCAAGCATACATGCGAAAATGTTGCAGATGTTATGAGCGAGTCATCGAGGTCACACGGGTTTAACGCCATTTCTAAAGTCTCGTAAAAAAAAAAGCAGCTAGCCGTCCTGAAACAAGGGGCAGGAATTGATTGAAAACATCTTTTTTTGTTTTATAAAACTAAAACTTGTACTTGGGGGATATTTTCTGATTCCTGTCTAGTTATAGTGAGCCAGCTTTGTGGCAAGGAGGTGTAACGCTTCAGTGAAAATTAACATTTACAGTGAAATATGCAGAGTTTCGTACAAACAATAGATATCACGTGCACACATTCGAGCACGTCAATAAGATTTTATTCAACAAAAATAAGGGCAAAAAAGTGAACAAGGACTTGTATTTTTACCTATTTATAATTCAGCCGGGTGAGTGCCAGTAGTGGTTCGAGTAGACATCTGTGAAAGAGCTTAATAGCTCATCGGAATCTTCCAGTAGAAACAAAATCTTACGATTCTGAGTGTGCAGCTCGCGATTGAAAGGTGGCCGGTTCAAATCCTAGCCAAGGGTAGTCTCGGCCCTTCGCGTCTCTCCTGGGTCAATAAAACGAGCAGCAGCTTATATGGGAAGCCACTGGCTCGAACAGTAAATATTCTGGATTGAGCAGGAAACCACATTGACTCCTCGTGACCACAGACCAGTGGCTGTGACCTGTCGGGATGGCAGGCTATGTGAACCTCTTTTCCCATGTGACCGTCAACACGGCCCACAGCATCCCGCGAACACCGTGGGGAGGCGTAACTTTCATCGGTGCCCCAGGAGCAATCTCATTTCTCAACGAAGCGAGATTATCCTTCACACACCACCGATGCTCGTTAAGGAGACCTTTGATGCCAGAATTTCACGTGCACGGAATTAGGCCATAGGTGGTGGAATACAATCGTGGAATTCTTTCATGGAGGCCACAAACAGCATGGGAGCTGGGGGGGGGGGGAGGTTGTCCAGTGCCATTACTGGTGCTGTTGCACTCCAAACCGTGTCACTACGTGGGTTTTCACACGTTCGCGCTACAGGCCGC